GTAATATGAAAGAAAGAATGATGCAGCTAGCTAACTAGATTCCAACAGGCATTAATTAAGTTGATGCCACAAAAGGACATGTGCAAATCATAAAACTATGGATTAGTTTGCTTGCTTTGAACTTTCAAATCTAAAAAAAAAAAAAGAAAAAAAAAAGGGCGGATGTCAATAATTGAACCGTCTCTTTCAGCGATGAGACATTTAGGTCTAATCTCAAAAGATCCAATCCATGACCATCTCTCTCTTTTACTTCAAAATCAGTAGTAACCCTCATCACCTCACTGCCAAAGATGGATCATATATAGCCGATAATCCCCTTGAAGTCACTTCAACTGGCTTCCAAAAATATCTCGTTTCAGACTTTTTCTTAATGATTTCAATTCCATCTGATCCAGAGTTGAGTTGGAATTCCAATTTTAGAAAATAAAACTTTACAAATCTTATTATACTTAAGAGTGCACATTGTCAGTATGAATTAATATGGAAATATCAAGTTATAACGTAAATTTTCTTTGTTAAGTGTGTGTGTATATATAGTATCAAAGTATATCTATATATAATTTACACATAAAGAAGAAGGAAACTTAATTATTATTATTTTTTTTTTTCTGACAAATTAGAAAAATGAGGGATAGAGGCATACTCATTTGGGGGAGCAAAGAAGATTACTCCGTAATTAATTACGTAGTAGTACACTAAAGTAGTTGTATATACTCCGTATATAAAATACAACTAGTTGTGCTGTGTGTGATATGTATGTATGTATGTATGTATATATAGAGAGAGAGAGAGAGAGAGAGAAAGGGTAGAGAGCGATGACATGACTAGTCAAGTGTCAAATCGGAGCTCTTTAAATCATAAGACAGTCAGTGATGTGTTGTCAATCAATTGGATTTTGTTTTTCGAAACGAGTTCTGAGTGAGTTTTCTGGAGTGAGAAAGGGCAAAACAACAGTTGGTTTCACCAACACTTCGCTACTTCCACGTTACAATTATTATTGACACTCGCAGTTTCATTTAATTTTTCTCAATCTGCACGTGTCAAGTCTTGTCTCACGTGCACGACAGTCCAAATCAAAATTAAACTTGCTCTCCGTATGGTATGGTATGACCCCTTAGACCCGGCCGACACGCTTTTCCACGCTCCAAAACCTTGCAGGCCCTGCACCATCACCACACACACATATTCTCTCTCTATCACACACGCACACTGTATATATGTCCACTATTAATTTCTTTTCTTTTCTAAGAAAATAAAATTTAGTCTTAAAGGATTTAAGCAGATTAAATAGTCTAACATTATTGCAATAAATGTCGATTGGGCATGATTCAAGAACCATCTCACAAGGTGCACGAGTTCCATTATTATAATTTTTATCTTTTGTGAGAGAGTCAGACTTAATAATATTTGGCTTGTATATAATACTCGGTGTTGTCTTTTTGAAAATTTGAATTACCATATTAATCTACATATATATCTTGTTGCCATAAAGAAGGGAAAAAAAAATAAAAAATGGAGTCTCCGTATATATCTATAGTGTTTGATTGAACTAATTTAAAATTTAGAATGGAATAAATTTTAAATTGAATTTTCTAAAATATCCCTCTTACTCACAAATAAATTAAATTAACAAAATACATTCTTTTATAATTTTTTTAAAAGAAACAACAGTGGTGGTGGATAACGGTGACGGTGGTGCAGTGGAAAGTGGTAATGGTGTAGGTGGTGGGATTGGAAGGCGACGGTGTTGGTGATGGTGGAATGCGGAGGCGGTAGTGGTGGAGGAAGAAGGCAGTGGTGACGGTGGAAGGCGGTGGCGGTGGCGGTGGTGGTGGTGGAAGGCAGTGGAGGTGACGGTAGTGGTGGTGGGGGAAGGTAATGGAGGTGGAGGTTAAGATGGAGGTGGAGGTGGTGAAATTCAGTGGCGGCAGCGGTGGTAGAAGGTGGCGACAGTAGAAGGCGGTGGCCGTCATGAAAGTCAGAGGTGGCGGAAGCGATGAAAGGTAGTGGTGGTTTTGGTGGAAGATAATGGTTAAAGGCAATTGTGTTGGTCGCGATGGTGGTGGTGATTTTTTTACTTAGAAATAAGGGTTTTTGGGGAAGATAATTTTTTTAAGAAAAAAAATATATATATATACTTGGGAATGGAATGGTCATTTTATAGGTTTAGTAATTGTGGAATGGATTTTGTGGCAACCTTGTGGACGGGTGTGTACGAGCATGTATGGGCGGCATTAGTAGGTTACCACATTGGGCGAGCTGCATGTGCACAATCCCAAATCGCGTGGGTGTAGAAAAGACAAATGTTATATGTAGATTCAACACCTTTCTATGACATAACGTGTTTTAACGCTATGAACCCATTAGAACTCAAAAGTTAAACATGTTTAATATGGAGTAGTACTATGATGGATAACCCCATGGGAAATCTCTAGTCCGGGGGAGACAAAACCGAATAATATTGTGTCTGGCTAGGGTGAGAGTTATTACAAATGGTATCGGAGCCTGACCTAATAGGAAGTATGGCCAACGAGGACGTTGGGCCCCAAATGGGAGGGGGTGATCGATTGTAGAGACCTTGTGGGTAGATATGTACATGTGAGCGTGTGTAGGTAGTACCAGTAGGTTACCACACTGAGCGAGCTGCATGTGCATAATCCCATATCGTGTGAGTGTGGAAAAGACAAGTGTTATATGTAGATTCAATAGTACCCTTCTATGACACAACGCGTTTTAAAACCGTGATGACTGTGAACCCATTAAAATTCCAAAGTTAAACGTATTTAACCTGCAGTAGTACTAGGATGGGTGACCCCATGGGAAGTATCTGGTCCGGAAGAGTCAAAAACGGACAATATTATGTCTGACTAGGGTGAGGATTGTTACAAATGGTATCGAAACCTGACCTAGCAGGAAGTGTGGCCAACGAGGACATTGGGTCCCAAAGGGGAGGAGGTGATTGTGGCGACCTTGTGGGTGGGTGTGTGTAGGTGCCAACAGTAGGCTACCGCACTATACGAGCTACATGTGCATAATCCCACATTACCTAGGTGTAGAAAAGGCAAATATTATATGTAAATTCAACACCATTCTATGACACAATGTGTTTTAAAACCGTGATTGCCGTGAACCTATCAGAATTCCGAAGTTAAGCATACTTTACCTGGAGTAATTCTAGGATGGGGTGGAGTAGTATTAGGATGAGTGATCCCCTGAGAATTCTCTGGTCTGAGATAGCCAAAAACGGACAATATTATATTTGACTATGGTGATGACAAACGCACCATTATAGTCTTTCTAGGAAGAATTTTATTTTATTTATTTTTTTCCAACCTTATTTGAGCTCTCACTAGTTAGTTCAAATCTAAGAAGCACAGATTCTTCTACAAGAACAATGTACCCGTATTGGATATTAATACTCTTTGGATACGTGTCCGATACTTCTTAAATGTATCCATAATTTTAAATATATTTTTAAATTCTTGACACGTATATATTTTGACTAGTATTGCGTATCTAATAATTCTCAAATACTTCATAACACATTTTTAACAAATTTTCAATATTAAAATATAACTTTGTCAATAACAATAACTTTATAATTGTTAAGAAGAATTCAAAGCTTATTAAGTGATGATTAAGAATATTTGTTTTATGTGTTGTAAAACGAACTCTTATGTTATAATAATAATTGTATTTAGATTCATAATATTATAATAAATTGATAATAAAAAATATATATATTTTTTTGTATATAAAAATGTTTTTATTTTTATTTTTTTTTATGATATCTCACCGTTTTCATATTTTTTTTAGATTTATCATATTGTCATATCTGTATCCGTCTTTCCTAAGTTTGAAAAATTGCTTTAGATAATGGTGAGACAAGTTGATTGATTTTACTTCTACAAAAGGACAGAACCAATTAGCACATCTTAGTTGATCTGAAAATGGAGATAACATATATGGGATGAGTCGGTTCACCAGGCCATCTTAGATACTAGTCCAAAATTAGTTTAGAAATGGCATGTGTTATGTATCAAGAAACAATATTGCTTCAAAATGTATTATTTATGTTTTACTCTTTTAAGCCTTTTGTTTTGTTTTTTTTTTTTCCCTTCCTTTAAAACAATTAATATATATCTCTACAATCTTATTGAAGGACATGCTATTACTGCTGTCAAAAAAAGAAAACAAACACTTATCTGTTATAAATAATTTTTTATTATCTAAATTCTTAAGAACTATTTTTAAAATTACAAATCAATCAGATTTTCAATTTTTAAAATTTTAGACTGTCTAAGATTTTTGTTTTAGTGTCAATATAATTTTACAGCTACCAAAAAGTTAAAATTATTTATGGTCCATTTCTTTGAGTACTGCTGTACACACCAAGAAAAATCACTTGAAACATGACATTTCATTCATGTTGATGTGCTAGTAGAGAATTTTTTAGGAATATAGTAATAAAAATTCAGAGTCCTTTAGCTTGACAAAATAGGAATTCTTTATGTCATTGTGTTATGTCAATCCGATAATAAAACTCTGGTTATTCACCACAGAGCCACAGACGCCTGTCCACACATATTATAGATCATAAAAAAGAGTTTTACGACTATCATTTTATGCCACTGTATCTAAGACTTTTCATATCATCCACTATATATAGTATTCTTCAGAAATTATAAATCATGTTATACAATAGCCGATCCGTTTATGTCAATTATGGTGATAAGAAAGTCAACTTGTGATCTAAAATTTTCGAATCATCATTTTTTTCCCCGAGGACGAATGGTTAGAAATTAAGTATGAGATTCTAAAATTTACAAAAAAAATACTAACTCATTAAATTATTAAGACATCTACTAACATTTAACAGTGGCATAAACATAGAAATTTATTTTAATCAAATTATTTTGCTTGTCTCCATTTTTGATCAAATTATGTACCTTTCCTTTTAAATACCTGAGCCGCCCAGAACAGCCACTCAAATTGCCCCCCGCCCCCCTCTCAAAAAATATCTCCCACAAAACCATCAAGAGAATCTCTCACAAGAAATAACAATAGTACATCATCAGAGTAGAAGAAGAAATTAAGATGAAAGCAGCACCGAGCTATTCCCTATTCTCATCCTTTTCTTAGCTTTTACCTCCAAAAAGAAAACCCATCATCTCTCTCACTATATATATACACACACACTCAAACACACACATATATAGATAGATATCTCATCTGACTAGTTAACCATGTCCCTTGAGGACTCTTTGAAATCTCTCTCTCTAGACTATCTGAACCTTCTCATCAATGGCCAAGCCTTCAGTGATGTGACCTTCAGTGTTGAGGGTCGTCTGGTCCATGCCCACAGATGCATCCTAGCAGCCAGGAGCCTCTTCTTCAGGAAGTTCTTCTGTGCGTCCGAAACGCCGTCGCCGGTGGGCCTCGACCCGGCAGGCTTAGGGATGGGGTCGTTGGCATCGTCGCCGAGGGCATCCAATTCTCAGCTGGTGATACCAGTGAATTCAGTTGGGTATGAGGTGTTCCTTTTGATGTTGCAGTTCTTGTATAGTGGGCAGGTCTCAATTGTGCCCCAGAAGCATGAGCCGAGGCCCAATTGTGGTGAGAGAGGATGTTGGCACACACATTGCACCTCAGCCGTTGATCTTGCTCTTGACACACTCGCTGCCGCTAGATTCTTTGGTGTGGAACAGCTCGCTTTGCTCACACAGGTTGAGGTTCCATTCCATTGTGTTCTCATCACCACCACTATATATATAACACTTCTTTGCGTTTTTCTTCTCGTCTCTAGCTAGGTGCTCTAGTCATCTCATATGATTATGGATTTTGATTTTGTGCTCATTTCTTAATTGGGTTTTTTAATTTTTGGGATGTGGGATAAGATTTTGAGGTGGGTTTTTTCTTTGGGGGATTTTATTATGATATCATGTGATGGAGTGGGTGGGTTGGTTTTCGGCCATTAAATTTTTATATGTTATTCGATTTCTGCATTTGAAGTAGTTGGGTTGATCCCACACTACATATATCTACTATTATCTCTTTTTATCTGTTACTATTACTAGAATTTTCCTTTTCAGTTTCTTGTAATCATTTGCAGTTTCCATGTTTAGCTTCAACAGCTGACAAGAAAGAGATTTCTTTTTCCTCCTTAATTTCTTTCTTTCACTGAAGCTTCATATCTTTGATTTCATGTACCATTAATTTGAGTTTCTTGAATTGTGTTTCTTTTATCTTTATGATTACAAACCCAACACTTTCTAAATTTAGATCTTGATCTCCAGCCTTGTCTTCCACAGTGATCACATCAAATCTTTTCCAAACAATCTACTTTCCTCATTAGGGGTTCAGATTGAAAAAGAACAATAAACTATTACAAGAGGACTACCAAATCACAATTTTGATCAAACACACCAATTATTAACAAGTGCAATATTAGCACACCATATATATATATATGCAGTACAGACCATAAATTAATATCCGATCAGTATGAATTTTATATATTCTATATTCACTAAGAATTCCTTGTGCTTAATTGATTGGGTATATATGTTGGTTGCAGAAGCAATTGGCAATCATGGTAGAGAAGGCCTCAATTGAAGATGTAATGAAAGTTCTGATAGCTTCAAGAAAGCAAGACATGCACCAACTATGGACTACCTGTTCCCATTTGGTTGCAAAGTCTGGCCTCCCACCAGAAGTCCTAGCCAAGCACCTCCCCATCGACGTTGTGGCCAAGATCGAAGAGCTCCGCCTCAAATCATCTCTTGCTCGTCGAACCCTCATGCCCCACCACCGCCAACACCACCACCACCACCAACACCATCATGATCTTGATCTGGAAGACCAAAAAATTCGTCGAATGCGACGAGCCCTCAACTCCTCGGATGTTGAACTTGTGAAGCTGATGGTGATGGGTGAGGGGCTTAATCTTGACGAGGCATTAGCCCTACATTACGCAGTTGAGAATTGTAGCCGGGAAGTAGTGAAAGCGTTGCTGGAGCTTGGGGCAGCCAATGTGAACCACCCAGCTGGTCCGGCAGGGAAAACCGCGCTTCACATTGCAGCTGAAATGGTGTCACCAGACATGGTATCAGTTCTTCTAGACCACCATGCGGACCCAAATGTGAGGACCATTGATGGGATCACCCCTCTGGACGTGCTTAGGACCCTAACTTCAGATTTTCTCTTCAAAGGGGCAGTCCCGGGACTAACCCATATCGAACCCAACAAGCTTAGGCTTTGCCTGGAGCTGGTTCAATCCGCGGCTTTGGTTATATCTCGCGAGGAAGGGAATGGGAATGGGAATGCTCCTTCGTCGGCCCCCATTTATCCTCCAATGAGTGAAGATCATAATAATAGCAGCGGTAGCAGTGGTAACATTGCTAATATTGATTCAAGGCTGGATTATCTCCATTTGGGTTCGGGTCAGGGTCAGATGGGGTGTAAGATGGACGAGGGAGACGTTCCTAATAGCCAGAATAATAATCAGAGAGAGGTCATGAATCCACATGGATCACAAGGTGGTTGTGACCCTTCAATTTACCATCATCATCACGAGTATTAACGTACTCTCTCCATCTCTATATATATAATCTTCTTTTTATGTATTCATGATCGAACTGGGCTAGACAGCAAAATATGATGAAAAATCATGGAGATTTGAAATAGATTATATATATATGTGCGTGTCTTCTTTTTCGTCTTCCTTAATTTCTCCTGCTTTTGTTTTATTTTCCTCTATATCTCTGTCGCTCTTTCTAGTTGTCTATCTGTTCTCTGTGCTGTGTGTTTCTAGTTTTTGTAGGGTGTTTCAGTGATCGTCATGCGCACTGCAGAGACCAATGGAATAACTTTTCTCTTACAACGAAACAGATAGATTCTGATCAGCTTTTGCTCTGGGTGATGGAGGTCAAATTTTTCAACCTCTTGCCTGTCAGCTTATTTATTTGGTATATCTGTGTCATTTTAGCCTATTTATAGTGACCTATATATATTTTTCATGTCCCCCATCTACCTTTCATGTTTATATATATATATATATATATATATATATATAATAGAATTCCAATTTATAAATATGTAAAACTTTTGATTATGTGGGTACGTGTTAACGTGTACACGCGTTCATCTATATATGTGTGTATTTAATACACTTGATGATCATAAACATGAACATATAGAAGAATGGATGATTTGGTTTCTTGTGGTGGTGGAAACACGGAGGTTGTATGGACATGGATATATAGGTAGCTGTAACTCTAATGAACCAATGAGCTGTCTGTCTCTTCCCATTATTCCTTAAGAATTTATTGTGTTGCTTTAATTTGTAGGAATTTAGAGAAACTTGATAGGGCTCTATTTAGCTAATTATTTTCCAAAATGACACCAGCAGTTTGGCTATGGAGTATGGACAAATGGATTGGTTGTTGTCTTGCATGAATGCAACATTGAATGTGACCACACACACACACACATACATACATGTACAAGAACTTATTTTAGTGGTAATGTCATTTTCTGGATTCCCTCCATGTAATCCTCTTTTTTGTCCCCTCTTGCTTTTTTCCTGCTCCATCTTCTACTTGGACAATAACTAGCAGTCTAGCAGTTTGATGAACCCTAGGGCTGTGTCATTTAAACTACTTACTTGGTACGTACATTACTCTATTTTAGCTCCTCTGCTTTTACAAGTATCACTGTGTCTCTCTCTCACACACTCACACATAGTTCTGATTTATTTATTTATTTATTTTGGGGTAAAGACTAGCTATGAAAACATGGGCATGTATATAAGGGAGTCATTAAGAAATAAAGAAGTTGTAACTGCTTTGTTTTGTAACTCACAAAATAATTTTTTAAACTCTTGATTCAGTTTTCAAAACTAAGTTATAAATAGACTTATTTTCAAATAACTTTATTACGTAGTTTTATGATAAAAGTTTTTTGTATTGAGGATTGTTTTCAGAATTACAAATCAAACATATTTTAACTATGGAAACAGTTTTTTGTTCTTAGAAAATTGTACAAAAAATTTTGCTTATTTCAATTTCCTGAAAATTGTTTTGTGAAAATTCAGTCATAAAAAGACTTATTTTATATAGCAGTCTTTTATAGTTCTCCTAAAACTGTTATCTGAATTTCTGATAACTGTTTTTAGAGTTACAAATCAAACATGCCCTAAAATTTTTTTTAAATGCACTCTTGTCACTATTACTTGGATTGTCAAGATAGAAAACAAAGTCATTATTTATAACTATAAATATATATATATATATATATATATATATATATATATATATATATATATTGGTTGCCATAGCAGTGGATCAAAAATTATTATATCATTTGAATATTTAATTTGTTTTTGAAATAAAGCCATGAATATTATCTTATCATCAGGTATCTCCTTTCATGGGTTGAGTATGTATGATCTCAGTTACATGGACTCTTCAAAAGTATTGAAATATTCGGACACGTATTCCTCGAATATAGGTATGGAATATGTGTTCAACATTTTTTGATTGGATATGTACTTAAAAAAAAACATATCATATCATTTAATTACATTATATTATTACTTTAAAATGAGTTAAATGCCTACATTAAAATATTACTTTACTCTAGAAAAGAAAAGAAAATAATTAATAAAATAAATATTTAGTCGTGTCTTTATGTCCTTCTGTTTAGAGGTTTGACACGTCCGACACATGAAGACGCACCTATGCCAAGCCCATGTAATATAATGTATGATTATGTGATTATACACTTTCACATACATATGGAACTCTTGTTTCTTTCTTTAGGCTAAACCATGAATAAGAGATTAGATAACTACTTTAATTATGATATAAGTGATTTTACCCTCTAATACATGAACTCTATATGATGCTATATATACTTAAGCTGATTGATAGCGGGGTAACGTATTTATTCGGGTAAAAAAAAGAAAAGAATGGTTCATGAGAAAGTTGAAAATAGATGACATGGACATTAGAAGCTCTACAATATCCTAATCAAATCAACCCTCACTCAAATAAAAATAAAATAAATGTATTGGTTTGGGTTACAACCATACGTGGCATTTATCGGCTATATGTTGGTAATGGCGGACTTGTTGAGCATTTCTACCATTAGAGATTTAGTTATCCAAAAGAACAGAGGTATAATTAATAATGTAGAAACTTGAAACTATGGTTTTCTTTTCTTTTCGTTGGTCTTGTGAACAATATATAACAACCTGATGGTGCGTCAACAAATATCATATAATTAATGAAATTAATATCCTTTTATCTAGGTAGTACCAAAATGGATTAATGGAATGAGAGTACCATCTACACTATGGATAGGTTTTGTAAAAATGTATCTTGAGGGGATGAGAAGAACGTTGGGAGAAAATTCACTCAATGACTTGTTAGTTGAGTCATGAGTGGTATAAGAGGAACACTAAACTAGCTAGTTATAAGAGCGGATTAGTTTAGAGTCTGGTTGAAACCATGGGAAAGTATACGATACCACTGCGTTACTTGGCATGCATGCATGTGGTATTCCTTTCAATGAAAACTCCTCATTTCTCTTAAAAAATTCCCACATGCACTTCTTTATTATCAAGAAAAATAGAGAGTTTTCATTAAGAAGGGTACCATGTGCCAAAATACAATTGGGGTATTATAAATATACTTGGTCATATTTTGCATTAATTGTATTACCGTACATTTTTCTGGCATCATTATAGCTAATTAAAGATGGCTTGCATGCCCCCTAATTTGGAAGATGCAAAAGTATCAGGTTGTGGATATGTAAGAATGAGGTTTCCATATTATGTGTTTAGGTATCATGTTTTTTGTGCTGATATGGTTCTCAATATTATTTAAAAAACAATCTTAACATAACTAACTTGTGCTTAAAATCATATATATATAGGCAGGCATTTTAGCATTATTCGAATTCAAACTTGAGGAATATATAGTTGTAGTTCATTTCAAAAGGCTCTTTGTTAGAGACGTAACTTCTGCGAGTTAGAAAGAAAATTTTGCAAAACTCCAATAACTAGAGTTGGACTACTGAACTGGTGTTTTTCAGTGTATATTTCCTTTTGTTACTCTCTCCTTTTATAACTACATTGGTGATGAATTCGGGATCCCGTGGTGCATGTAAATTACTAACTAGTGCAATAAACTACTTCTTTTTTTCAGTAAATTATAATCAGCACATGCATAATATTGACGTGACATCGGAGAGGATCCAATTAAGTTCATTAATCATGATAGCTTCTGGTTCCTTCCATATATACTCTCTTTATTAAACCCATCCTTGTATAGTTAATGGAGGGAAGGAAGACAAAGGAATAAATGATTGATGGAGTATTAATTCAAGGAAATTGAGAGAATATTAAAGAGATACTGGACAATCTCAAGAGAGGAGCAAAAGCTCTTCCAATTAATTACCAATGGGCTACTAGCCCAATAGTACAACCTCTCCCTCAAAGGTGAGGTACTGAGGGTTTCTACAGTGGACAATTTATAAAATATGTGTGCAAGTTTGCTTTACCTAACCAAAAATAATACTAATAAATCTTTCAGTTATTGCTATTAACACATTCTATCTAATGTAAGCTTGAACTTAGTAAACTTGCTTTCCATCTTCTTAAATTTTTTTGCAGCATAAGGAGTCTGCAGTGAAACAGTGTACTAAGGAATAAGAAAATTGAAAAGTTACGTTGTAATTACCCCATGAAGTGACAATCTTTTCTCCAACATATTCTCCTATGAATGGCATAAAGATAGAGGATATCATGTAGAAGAAGCTTCTGCCACCAAATATAATAGGCCCAGTTAGGGATTTACTTTTCCCTGAAATTAGGTACCCTGCGTTTTGCATAAAAACAAAATACCCAATCAAATCAGTTAATGGGTCAAAAATTGGGCTGCTAATACCACCAAATCTAGTATTGGTTCGACCAATTTTTACTTCATTTAGACCGGCTAATTAAGGCAGCGAATGGATTGTTTACTCCAATGTTAAATTTGATTGAAAATTTTGGAATGACATGCTATCAATTTCACTTGAGGTACGTACCACATCGAAAAGAAGCCCAACGTGAAGCGCATGGAGGCATAAATTATGTTCCAAAACCTTAACAGAGGGCAAAGTAAAGAATGATGTTATTATATTCTTTCTTTTTCTCTTTGGTTGCCAAAGACAATTAATGATTGCAATTCAGCCAAAGGACAAGTTGTGCCTTATTTACTAATAATGCACTCTAACTAATAAGTTAGACCTAAAATACTAGCTGAGGGTCTTTTATTCTTATAGATATGTTTTAAGTGATAAATATAGGCTCCACTTGAAACATATCTAAAGATAAAATAATAAGACTTTGACTAGTGTTTTAGGTCTAACTCTTCTGTTTAGTGTTATTTAAAGAAAAGTAGGCTCAATTAAACTGGGCTTTGCTTTTGATGCAGCAACATGGCAATGGACCATCTAAGTACTCCCAAATTAAGCTGTCCAGCTTTTGGAATGTAAGGAATGGAGTTGTTTTAACCCATCAACATTCTTAGCCACTTAAGTCCTAATATTTATATGGGATGTAAGTTATATACAAGGAAAAAGAAAAGGAGAGAGCTAGCTCTTCCACAACAAACAAGGTTGGACACACCATATTCAAATTTAATTAATTACATTCCAACAACTAATTTCTTGCACAATCATATTTTATTTGTGTGCAAAAATAAATTAGCTTGCTTTAGAGAAGAACCACAACCAACAGCAGTAAACAAAGAACCAACAACAGCAAACAAAGAGCCAACAGAAAGACAAAACAGAATTCTAGCTAGCAGCAGCAGATTGCTCCTTGAGGGAAAGCAATCTTTATTGCACCCAACAAACTATACCTTAAGATGGACTGACCTTAATTGCTATATATATATCTATAACTAGGTTTGATCATGTACGCGGAAAAAGAGCAAGGTAAGTCTGAACGAAACTTAGGACAAGCGCAAAAATTGCAGCAATGAAAGCTAAGAGAGTCCAAGGGGTACTAAAATGAGTGTGCAGCCATTCAGCAAGCCAGACCTTTACCTTGTTCCTATAATGGTCTTCAATTTCCTTTTTAATAGATTTGTAAGCATCACTGTCGGGCACTAAATCATTGGCTATCTCATTGAAGAGGTCTGCCACTTGTTGGTCGCTGCCAAGAAAGTTGAGAAGTATGCCCTTATGCCGCAGCTCCTTCACATCATCCACTAGATCAATGAGTGAATCGATGAAACACAAGAATGAAGTGACCCCATTCCAGTCCGGTCCACTGGGACTCATTTCATATGCTACCAAATTCAGTAGCAAGGACTTGGTTGAATCATCAATGGTCATTGGAGGAAGCCTTAGGACGGCTTTTAATTTGTAAAGCTGAGGCTCAAACTTGACATCTGTGAAACAATGACTTCCGCTGGGCTTGAAGTGGATCCCTGCCGTCTTGAGCTCCTGGGCAGAGCGATAAGTGTGCCAATCACTGCCATTCGGTGCATCTTCTGACTGCTCATTAGTCTGCTTATTTGCCATTGCATCATCTGACTGCTCATTAATCTGCTTATTTGCCGTTGCATCATCTGGCTGCTCATTAATCTGCTTATTTGCCGTTGCATCATCTGGATGCTCATTAATCTGCTTATTTGCCGTTGCATCATGCGCATCAGCATTGGTGATAAGTTTTGCCCACATAAGGTGTAGAAGATGAGGAGGAGGAGGAGGAGGAGTTGTTGCAGCTGCTGCTTTCTTATATGCTACAGATGCTGATGGGCTATTGAACTTGTTGAAGAAATTTTTTACCTTGTCTTTACAGGTATTTCGTGCAGCAGGATTTGCCCATGTCCGCTGGATGAACATATCCATCCATTTTAACCCTTCAGCTGAATCTTTAAACTTGACCCTCATAAGCAACTCCAGGATGTGAAAAGGGAGTTGATTCTCGAGCAAGAATAAGTCCCGTCGTACGAAAGCCATGTCATGACTCTTCATCTTCGATGTTGATTGATCAGGACCACTACTGATCTGCTGCTGATCATCCTTATGTTGTGGCGGAACACAATCAATGATGAATTGTAGAATAAAGCAGCCATCAAGAAACATCATCCTAGTGAAGTCTCCATCATTGAATTTTTTTGTTGGCTCCTCATCAGTGTAGTATGTCTTGGCTTTGCTACATGCAGCTGCAAATTCATTTTCTGAAGGCATAGCATAAATAGTACCTGCCTCGACATAGTGTCGAGCCAAAACAATCTTGAACTTCTCCATTGACTGGAGCTTTGAATTCCCGTGGTGATAGGGACCAATTGAGACAACCATGGGATCGTAGCATTCCTTGTTGGATTCCTTGTTGGATCGTCGACACAATTGGGGAACCTTTGGCAGCAGCAGCTTTTGCATTTGCAACGACTTTCCTTCGTTACCCAATATGGCTTTCAACCAGTCATTGGAATCGTCAACGTTAATAACCCAATCATTTTCAGTTGCCATTGTTAATTAATTGGCAATCAAGTAGCTAGCTAAGGCTGCTAACCATATATATATATATATCTTGTCTATGCTTCTCTACACATGTACAATATATATTGTTTATAATTTATACCACTAAATTGAGTACTTCATAACTAGTGTGCACTTTACGTGACTTCACTTTTTTGCCTTGTCAGGTAAATATTTTTTTTTGTGGGTAAGTTTATTAGGTAAGAATCTTCATCTTCTCTGTACTATACATAGATGCAAAGATTATCATTAATTAATTGCTTCTAAGGAAAATTTAAGAGTTAGGATCGCTTTATATCTTTTACTTTATCCCTTTCTTTTTTATGATCATGGATTGAATTCTTACTTACCATTTATCATTTTATGAAGTACAGAGAACAATCAACTGGGCCAGTGACCAGCTTTTTACTTTCCAAAGAGAAGCCTAGGAAAAAAAAAGTATAGACAACAATTTTAAAGGAGAAACTTCATCTTCTATTATGCAAATTAAAGTTTAGCATTGCTTGATGCTACTAAGAGTTTGGTTCTCTTTTTTTCTTTCTTTTCATCTTCTTCTTCTTTATATATTCCTAACTCCAATCCCAAGCGTGTTCAAATGGAATGGAACGAGAGTATCAACTCATTCTGTTGTGATTGTATTACACTATGGGTAGATATTTATTACTTAAGAATTTTCATCTTCTCTGTACTACATATAGATGCAAAGTGTGGTCATTAATTAATTGCTTACAAGCTTCTAAAAAAAATATTTAAGAGTTAGTGTAACGACCCAAAATGATACGAGTCATAAAAAAAATTTGGCATGACCTCTGCTAAAAATGGTCCTACCACAACCTGTTGAAGTGCCAAAAAAAAAAAAAATGTAATGGCCTCACTTAGCCATAAACTAATCTATCATGTCCCAACGCACAATGCAAATAATATAAAATATTCCCAAAACAATAATATACATATAAAAAGAGTCCCGTTTCTCTAATTCCTTCAAAAATATGGAAACGTCAATCCACTACCTAGTCTCATACTCCTTTATAAGGAACATACTCTAATTATGTCAATTTACAGTCCATGAAATACAGCTGAAATCAAAAGTCTATAATTTACAACATTGTACAAGTTATACTAATGTAAAATTATACTAAAGTTTTACAGAATAGTCAAGATTTACATTTACAAAATATTAAAGTTCTAAAACAAAAATAGCAAAATATAAATCTCCAATCCCGTCTAAACTTGTGGTGGATGGTCGTCCGCCACCTCTTTTCCATATCCTGAAAAATATTAATAATAAAGGGGTGAGCACAATGGCTCGGTAGGAGGTGCCTAAGACACACCTCTTGTAACCCCGTGAATTCAAACGAGAAATAGAAAAAAGAACCGAGATCATGCCATTTCCGGAAAAAAAAAAATATAACTACAATATCAACAACAATAATCCAAGTCATAAACGAACAATATCATGCTATGAAATGCAATGTCATACAATGTCGCTCCCCATTTTCAAAACTTTTCCCATCATCATTTCCAAACCGTTAGTATAATCCGTCCCATGGCTGCTCCATGGCGGCACAAGAGAAGGATTGGTTAACTGTCCCTGACCCATGGCAACTCCATGGCGTCATTTGGGGCCCAGGTAACTCAACCATGCTAGGAAAATCTTCTCAATTCCCTCCAGGCCTCACCAACGTCGTGGTCCCTAGGCGGCCGGGTTTTCGCAAACCCTTTCAAAACTTTTTCCCCAAAACCTTTTTCATTTCCTTTAAAATCATTTTTCCATTTCTTCCCAATGTTTATGCATGAATGTATCATGTCAATTTCATGTCCTGTCAATATTCATCATCATGATTTTAATTTAAGCTTAACCACCTGACATGCTTTACAATAATACAAAGAATATATCATACTTCCAAATAACATAATCTAGCATGTTAAGCACATAATATATGAAACAAATCCACATACCCGGCACACCCCACTGTGTCCGGCACACAAAACGAGAAAAGACGAAAATTCTCTTAAAAAAAATCAAAAAATTCCAAAAAAATGGAAAATTATAAAAATTGTAAACATTACAGTTAAAAACGCTTTATCTTTTACTTTATCACTTTCTTTTCTATGATCATGGACTCAGCTCTTACTTACCATATTATGAAGTACATACAACAATTTTAAAGGATTGGAGAAACTTCATCTTCTATCATGCAAATTAAAGTTTTGCATTGCTTGATGCTACTAAGAGTTTGGTTCACTTTTTTTCTTTCTTTTCATCTTCTTCTTCTTCTTTATATATTCCTAACTCCGATCCCAAGCGTGTTCAAATGGAATGGGATGAGAGTATCAACTCATTCTGTTGTGATTGTATTACACTATGGATATATATTTATTACGTAAGAATCTTCATCTTCTCTGTACTATATATAGATGCAAAGTTCGTCATTAATTAATTGCTTACAAGCTTCTAAGAGTTAGGATAGCTTTATCTTTTACTTTATCACTTTCTTTTCTATAATCATGGACTGAGCCCTTACTTACCATATATCATTCTATGAAGTACAGACAACAATTTTAAAGGAGAAACTTCATCTTCTATTATGCAAATTAAAGTTTAGCATTGCTTGATGCTACCAAGAGTTTGGTTCTCTTTTTTTCTTTCTTTTCATCTTCTTCTTCTTTATGTATTCCCAACTCCGATCCCAAGCGTGTTCAAATGGAATTGAATGAGAGTATCAACTCGTTCTGTTGTGATTGTATTACACTATGAGTAAATATTTATTACGTAAGAATCTTCATCTTCTCTGTACTATATATAGATGCAAAGTTCGTCAACACATATTTTGTGATTAAACCAATTCTAGCCAACCATAAATTTAGATAGTCATTGGTATTGACTATAAAAATGTTACAATAAATTCTATTTCACAGCTCAAGCACTGGTATAAAACATGGATTGAATACGAACCTGTAAGACAATATAGTTCATGTTCATTACAAATAATTGACTCATCATACATAATGATGGGTAAAATTAATATGGCTCCAACTAGTACAACAACATAAGGTAAGGTTGCTTCATTTTTTAGGTGGATAGGCTGTGAGGTAAGTCTGAAAGGCAGCTAAGATGGTCTGAAGGACACCCAAGTTAATGACAATTATAGCTACAACAAAGGCTATTATTGTCCATGGAGTACTAAAATGCATATGTCGCCATTCAGCCATCCACACTTTTATATTGCTCTTGTAATGGTCCTCAATGCTTTGCTTAGCCCCCACAAATCCATGAGGGTTCGGCACCAAATTGGTGGCTATCTCATTGAACAGGTCTGCTACTTGCTGGTCGCTGCCGAGGAAGTTGAGGAGTATGCCCTTTGAACGGAGCTCCTTCACGTCTTCAGCGTGATCAATCAATGAATCCATGAAACATATATAAGAGGTGACTCCAAAGTCATCAGGAGTATCCGGGCAGGCTTCGTAGGCTACTAAGTTTAAAAAGAGAGACTTTGATGAGTCATCGATGGTTACTGAAGGAAGCATGAGTCGAGCAGAGAAGCCACGGTTGGGCTTGAATGTGATGTCTGAAAAACGGCGCGTGTTGCTAGGCCTACAGTAGATTCCCACCTGCTTGAGCTCCATGGCTGACCGATAGGACCACCACTCACCCTTCAGATAACACCCTCCTTGGTTAAAAGCACCAACATCTATGTGTTGTGTCCGAACAAGTTCAAGCAGATGAGAAGGCTGTTGCTCTGGTCGTATCTTCTCTTTTGCCTCCAGACTGCCTTGTGCCGCCCTAGATTCATGAGGATGCTCCGGCCTAGAGCGCCAGATGAACCTGTTGATCATTTCTTCCCCTTCAACTGTTTCAAACCTCATGCTCATCAATAGCTTCAGGACTGCAAAAGGAAGCTGATTCTCAAACAAGAAAAAGTCACGGCGCACGAAAGCTATGTCGTGACTCTTCATCATTAAATCTTTGGACTGGCCGTATACAATGCAGTAAATGAATTGGAGAATAAAGCAGCCATCAAGAAACATCATCAGGGCAAACGCTTCATCATCAAAGCCGTCTGTTGAGCCCTCAGCATAGCAATTCCTGTCTTCATTTACCATCTCTGCAACTTTTCTGTATAAATCACTGATAGTTGCTTTACTTTTATCGGCAAATTGGTTTGCCAATAAAATCTTCAACTCCTCCGTAGGCGCGAGCTCTGGTTTCCCATGGTGGTAGGGACCAATCGAAACCACCAGGGGATCATAACACTTTTTGTTAGATTCAATCTCACGAAGCATCAGAGGAACCTTCTGTATCTTGGGCTTCTGCCGCTTCTTATTTTTGAACTTCCGATCAGCACCATTAACCATTGATCTTAGCAGCTCGTCATCATTGCGACTGCATGAATGTGAAGCACTCGCATCTGGATTGATTACATTAATGCTGATCAGCTCATTGCGGCAGCTACCGTTAGAGCTCCCTCGATGGGCTTCATTTCCAATCGGTACTTCTCTGTTCATGGAAGGCTCCTCCATGTATATATGACCCCCCCAGCAGCAGCCACACAGATTACATATATATATATATATATGGTGTTATACAAATACTGAGGATGAAAGCTTACACCAACAGTATAGATCTCTATCTATCATGCTTTTCTTTAATTTATTTGGAGAAACTTTTCTTAATAATCAAGCTTGGTATTGTATTCATCCATGAAGAAGTAGGTTTTCTTTCTCTTTATTCTTTCTCGTTCAGAAACGGAATGCATTAACAGTATATTACAAGAAGAGATTCTATCTACCAAGTTCCATCTGCGATATATTTAAAGTACACCATTATTCAAAGATTTTCAATAAATTTTATACACACCATTATTTGAGGACTGACGTTGACTAAAAGCAGGATCTACAAAGGTGAATTGGAGAGCATCCTCGCAAAACTCCATGACAAGTTTGGTATATAAGCTTTTCCGATTTTTTTTTTTCTTCCCCATCAAGAGAAGAAAGAACATTTTCATTGTTGCCACGTCTATGATTTTGCAGGAGAGAGTAAACTAGAACTCTTTAGTTTTTAGACACTTTACGCAAGGGATAAAACAAAGTGTGTTCAGCTTTACTGTTTTTAGTTCAAAAAGCCTAAAACTTCCTCCTTACATTACTAAAAAGACTGAACATTAGCTTTATTGTTGGCCAAGCAAGCAAAATCAAAACTAGCTTTGTGAAAGTTCTCGGCTGCGCTTGGTGGCAGAAACAACAGCATTCATCAAGATCCCACGAAATCCACTCTTCTCCAGCTCATGAATACCAGCAATGGTAGTTCCACCAGGTGATGCAACATCATCTTTGAGCTGACCTGGATGCTTCCCTCCATTGGTTGCCATAGTTGCTGCTCCTAGTACCTGTAAAAGAAATACATTTAATTCCTCAAACAAGTCAGAATATCAAGAGAAGTGCGCCTTGGCGATGCCTTATTAGTCATTGAGGAGAAGGCTACAAGTAGACACATGTATGCAGGAAAGTCACATATTCTAGTCCAATTTTCTCTTGTAAAAGAGAGAGACAATCATGACCAGCAGGGTCCAATGTGGTTTGGATAGGAAGTTAAATAAAAGTAAGTAACAATTTAAGAGAACCGGTTAAAAAGTAGTGCACGTTCTTCACCTGTCTTCCATGTGTACTAAAAATGTCTGTTTTTACAAAATAAAATAAAAAATAGAAAAAGATTATTACGTCTAGCACTTGTCTATACAAGTCGAACATCATTATGAACTCTTAGGGAATTGTCATGCTTCTTAAAAATCATCCATTCCACTAAAACTAGTGCCTTTTATCTTGATCACACCATGAAGCAAAGCCGAAAACAGATGGGATAGCTTGCTGCCAAGCTGTTAGGTGAATCACAACAGGGTGGAACTTCATTCGGAAGTGATAACATTTTATGTCAAAGTAGTAAAAAAGGCCCGGGGAATGGCAATCTCAACCAGTGAGAAAGTGTGAGCTTTGTAGACCAAACTAGGTGCTACTGTGGTACATAGCGAGTTTGTCATTATTCTCAGTCACAGAGAAGCAGAGGTCAAATAATGAAGCAAGCCACACACCATGTTCTGCTTCTCCTGAAGCACAGCTCAGGTACAAGCCTGCTAAATAAGGAAATGGAGCAAAACCATGCAACTCCAGCAACAGCAAAGACCCAGCAAGCCATATGCCCATGGCTGCAGAATAATTGTTTTACCAGAATTAAGCCTTCCAGGATGTACACCCACGGATAGAATTTGGCCACATCACATGCATAGGGATTTAAGATTCTCGATTAACAGTTGAAGGCCAATTGAGCTGTATACCCATTAACAATCAGAGAGATAGAAAAAAAATGAAAGAAAGAAAAGTAAAGAAAAAAATGATGACCCTAATCAAGGCATAAATTAGAAAATCAAAACACTGCATTGAATCAATGTGCCATCTAATATCTTAAAATAGGCTGGCGGCTGGCGATGGTTATTAGTCGAGCTTGGTAGGAAGAGGACAATAATAATCCCTTACATACCCTGTAGAACGTCATAAAAAGATGAAGAGGAAAAGTAGAACTCTTCATTTTCCCAATAGCTTATTTCACAAGGGCTACTTTCTTTTCCGATCTCATCAAACATAAAGTTGTTACGGATCCAAAAGTTGGTTCTAAAAGGACTAGTGGTTGGCAGAAATTCTCTCTTCACAGCCGAAGGTGCAGCTAAATCTCACAAACTATATCCACTAACACAAGCTAGAATTTTAATCGTTCAGCAATCATAACATCCATAAAACTAACAAGCTTTCCTCTCTCGTTGAAATATGTTTATTTACAATTCCAATGTCTAGCCAAATTCTAGGTGTCAGGTCCTGGGCTCAATTATTTTTTTTTTCACTCCCCCTGTTACTGCAACTAATCAGCATCCATTTCGCAGTCGCGGGCGTGGATGCAGTGTAATGGACTCGGGCCATTATTTGTATAACGTAATGGAATCGGTTATCGCAACCGTGAATATTTTTAGATCTCACACATAAGCCCCAAAAACGTACTAATACACTACTTTTTACAACATTCAATATAGATGAGTTTTGGATGAATTTTAGTGATTTTTATTGATTTTTTGAAGAATAATTAGCACAAGTAGTGACCTATTTATGAATTTTAAGTCGTTATCGTTATAAAATTAATAAAAATAACAATAACTGAGAACTGAAAAACACAAAATAAAAATAAAAAATAAATTTATAGATTAAAATAAATGAAATATATAATACAAGTCAAAAGTACCAAAAAATTATGAATCATAACATATGTAACATGTATATCACAAAAAACTTAGCATTTATGGGAGAAAATTTAAAAATTACTTACCAATTTGTGCCTACTTCAACCATCACCCAAATGTGATCATTTCTAATTCTATCATTTCTAGTCATATAGCACATCCATCTCAACTGTGCTATTCTTGCTTTTATTATGTTGACAGCAATTAAAGAAACTCAAGAATCACACAAAACAATTTCTGCTATTTACAGACAAGCTTGATATATAGGCAATCACACCAGTGCCTGACAGAATCATAAGTGGCAATCCAGGCAACCAAGATCTTAAGCTTGCTCCTCTGGCCCTAGTGCAAGATCAAGCAGACTCAAGTACGAAGATGTTCACCCAGGCATTACTTGGTTGATACCTTCCGCTTAAATATAAAAGCAAGAACACTTCCCTTCAAATGAGGCAAACTTTGTTTCGTTATATTCAGTCTTGGAAATACTAAGAAGAATAATGTACTAAAGAGAGGGAACACTGAAGATAAGTTTAAAAATAAAGGCTTTAACGTTTTTTTTATATTCTAGGTCATTTATTGAGTTGGTTGAAGCCTATCATTTACTGATAGGATCTTGAATGATGTTTTAATAACCCAATATACAAATTCTACATCGAATTCATTAGATTTAGCATGCATCTAACTGCCAAGAAGTCAGAAATTAAAATGTACTAGTTAGCTGCTTAAAGGGCGTGCTATTACAGAAAAGCAAAAAAATATATAGATATATGTATAACTGATGCTCTAATCTTATAGAGAGTATTTATCAAGTAACCATTCAAATATTAAATCCTAATAGAAACAAAGTCATACTGCATGTGTGTGGATACTAGATAACAAGTTCCATAAGCTAGCAATTCAACTTACGGTTTGAGAAGCAAGACCCAATGCAAGTTCTCGTGGTAGACCTGCTGCAACCCCTCCATCAGCTAAAGCTTCTATTGCTAAGAACATATATGCTGGGCCGCTGCCACTGAAAAGTTTTTGGAAAGAATTTCTTGTTACAACAGATTACAATTTGCCATCTCTAATTTATCCAAACATGGGCACTTCCAAGTATGTGTATTTTCCACGAATGAGAGGGAGAGTATCTACCACGAACCAAAAGTCAACAACCTCAATTAATAGCAGAGTCTAGAGTTAATAAAAATATAGAAATGGCTTTATATATTGGGCATTAATTGGTGTGGTTTTGAAATAATGATGGAAGCCACGTACCTCAGGCCCGTAACTGCATCAAACAGTTTCTCATTGGCTGTCCATATCTTGCCAATTGCTCCAAATAACTGCTCTATTAGCTCTCCATCTTCTTTTGTTGCATCTGACCCTAAGCTCATAACTGTCCAAAGGCAACTGGGTCATGAACGGTAACATCTTTTGCAATTTTTACACACTTAACAAACAAATTAAAAAATGTAATCACAAGCTAAAAAGAAAAAAATCATAAATTTGGTTTGAACTTTGAAGTGGAAAACCACAACACATATGATGAGATCTGACATAAACTTTTTTGGTACAGGGAACATTATAATATGCAAGTAAAAACATTTTCAACTTTATCAGAAACATATAAATGGATCCTACCAGTTTATTTGATCACCCCATTTTTAAAAGACAACAAATGTAAAAAAGGCACATATTTCTTTATACAGAAATTATAAGATGGTAAATTAATAAAAAGAGGGTTCAGGCGATTTGTGAGAGCTTGGGTTTACGTGTGGAAGACAACAAAAATTCTCCATGGAGGAGGGCTCTACCTCCTCCATACAGCCATTGGGAGTGACTATAGTCCCTTCTTCATCTCCCACACATAAAACATGGAGGAGTATGTTTGAGAAAAACTCGAAAGGCTCCTTCGTTAATCTGTCGTATCATGCGTAGAGTAGATCAGAAGAAAATATTGCTATTACAGATGAGGATGTTGAAGTGGATGCACAGTATTGGAAACATTCATTAATAGGGTATGTAATGGGAAAATCCATATTTTCCATTCTTCCAAGGTTTCATTCATCATAGATGGGGAAAAGAACTCAAGTGGTGCAACTCAAGGATGTTTTTTCCTGGTGAGATTTGATTCTGAAGTTGCTGCAGAGACAATCTTGCAACGCGTCCATACCTACGAGGGACATACGATCATCATCAAAAAATGGAATAAGAATGTCACCTTAGGGAGAGATGTTATGGGTTCTATTCCTATTCGTATCAAGGTTTCAGGGTTCCCTATGCATTGCTATAATAAGACTGTTCCTTCTAACGTTTTTTTCAAAGTTCTCTAGACCTCTATTCATGGATGAATCTTATGCTCAGGACTGTGGTCAGTTTGTGTGTGTGATGGTGGAGGTTGACATGCACACTCCTCTTCCAGAATCCCTCAAAATGGTTGTGCATGGTGTGAATTGTGCGCTTGCTTTCGAATATGACTGGAAACCTACAGTTTGTAATTACTGGAAGATCATGAGGAGAGGCATTGCCCTAAGAAGGTGATTGATAAAACTAAATTGAAATCTGTTGACCGATGGGTGATCAAGAAGAAGGGAAAGGAGATAGAGGAGGATAATACTCTTGTTGAGACTGTTCAAAATTATCCTAAACCTTCTCAAGTCATGGTGGGAGAAAATGTCGTTTCTGCAAATCATTTTGCAGTGTTAAGTGAAAATGTTGCTGCTGCAAGGGATGATGAATGTCTTCAAGAAGTCAACCCATTATCTCGTACAAATCAGGAGGTTAATCGTATAGGTAATTTGGATAGCAATGTGGGGGAAGGATGCTGCTGAACATGCGATTGTATCCAGTGTTATTGCATGGGGTGATGGTAATGGCAAATGTATTTCTCAATATTTCTTCATCTTCTGGTGGTTGTCAGTCTTTTGGCTCTCAAGTTCATGGTTCTCCAAATCTGTCACAATCGTCTCAATCCACAGGGGAGGATGGTCAACTTTCTGAGAAGGATATTGCTAATGGTAAGGATAAACAGGATAAAAAGAAGCAGGCTCCAGTGGTGACTGAAAGGGTCACAAGAAGTAAGAATAGGCGTCTACCTCCTCATAAAGCTAGTTCCCAATGACTGAATCATGGAATGCGTGTGGGCTGAACAAGGCTCGCAAACAAAGAGAAGTTAAAAGTTGGATTGCTTATTTTTCTCTTCAAATGGTATGTATTCAGGTAACTAGAGTTAGAGAGGAGAAGTTGTCTAAATTTTCTGCTAAAATTCAGAAAAATTGGGTGTGGACTCATAATTATAATTCTCTGTCGGTTGGGAAGAATTTGGGTTGGGTGGAATCCTTTGGTGTTTAGTTTTGATATATTGGATCAATCTCCCTATTTATTGATGCTTAAAGTTACTATTCTCAGTTCTCAGAAAGTTTTTTATTTAACTATTTACGCAGCTAATTTGCCAAGGGAGACAATTTATTAATGGAATTCTTGGGCGAAATGGAATAATTTGATATCTGGTTCTTGGATGTCCATTGGTAATTGGAATCATTTTCAAACTCAAGAGGAGAAAAAAGGTAGTGTTTTTATTCCCCAAAATGTTTAAAACAGTTGAATGCTATAATTCATACAGTTGATTTTGGGGATTTGCCTCTGATTAATGGTACCTGGACCTGGTGCAAATGCCAAAGTGTTAATTCAAGAATTTATGCTGCTTTAGATAGAGCTCTTATTAATTCAGAGTGGTTGATTGATGGCTTTTCCTACTTCTAAAGCAACTATGTGTCCTGCTAGACTATTGGATCACCATGCTTTGATTGTTTCTTTAGATATAAATGTGATGAATGATCCTAAACCTTTCAAGTTTTCAAAGGTTTGGTCTCTTCAAGATTGTGTTGTTCCTTTGGTTACTCAGACTTGGCAAGAAGAGGTTTCTAGTAATCCTTTGCACCAACTTCAAAAGAAGCTGAGAAATGTTAAACAAGCAATTAAGGCCTGGAATAAAAAAAATTTAGGGATATTGGGAACTAGGAGGAGACTGCTAGAGCTAATATTCCCAAAAGGACCACAAGGAAGGACGAGGAAGTTTCTGCAATCATGCCTCCCTGACCATCACTTCCCAAAGCTAAGCCACAAGTCCTACCTGCTCAATCTAAAGAGACCGAAAGGAAGCCGCCTGAGATACGCAACGGGGTCTTCACCCTGCTTGGATGCTCTTATACTGTCCCTTGGTAGGGTACGATGGGAAGCGGGTAACACCCACTGGAAGCATTGAATTGCCGGTCATCACAGCAGCCAAGACCTTGAGAGAGAATTTCGTCATCGTGATAGTCTTCAGATGCAACTTCAATCGCAGCCTATGGATGGTACAGTTATAGAGGAGGAGAATAAGGCTAGGTCTCTTTTGGAGTCTGCTATCTCCAATCAAGAGATTCTAATAGCCCAGAAGCCTAGAGTTCAGTGGCTTGAGGAGCAGGATAGGTGCACAAATTAATTTCATAGAAAGCTGGTTCAACACAGAAATGTCAATTCCATTATTCAGTTACAGAATGATCAAGGCGCGTGACTTATGGAGGGAGACCCCTTTTTGCATTTGGTGGAGCCTTTGGAAAGAGCGGAATAGAAGATCTTTTGATGGGATGGAGTCCTCCATTGGGGTGCTGAAATTTTCTATTATTTGTACTCTTTTTTGTTGGGGTTGGGGGAGAGATTATTCTTCTCTTGAGGATATTGTGGACCTCTTGGGTTCTTTGAGTTCATAGGTTCCGTTTTGCTTTTTGTTTTTTTGTATAGCTTGGGATGCATTCCCCTTTTGAACGCTTTCTAATACATTTTACTTATCAAAAAAATAAATAAATTACTCCTAAATTTCTTCAGTAGGAGAGGGGATGTCAGTTCTGAATCCTTAGTTCAGCCCAGGTCAATTCTTTCAAAAGAAAATGCTGAAGTGTTGGAAGCTCCTATTTGCTATGATGAGGTTATGGGGGTTGTGATGTGGTTTGCTCCTGATAAATCTCCTGGACCAGATGGTTTTCCAGGTAGATTTTACCAGAAATTTTAGGTACTGATTGACAAGGATGTTGTTAAAGTAGTTCAATATTTCTTCCAAACTTCTACTCTTCCTACAGACATCAACAGTACCTTTTTAACTCTTATTCCTAAGAAGAATGCAGCCTCAAAGGTTAAAGATTTCATGCCTATAGATCTCTGCAAGTTCACTTATAAAATTATTACTAAGCTCATGGCTAATAGGCTTTCTCTCATTCTTAAAAAGACTTGTTGGGGTGGATCAGTGTGCTTTTATCAAGGGAAGGAAGCTTCAAGATAATGTCATCATGGCCCATGAGCTTGTAAAGAATTTTAACTCTAAGAAGCATCCTACTTCGGCTATGAAGATTGACCTACAGAAAGCCTATGATTCCATTTCATCGAACTTTCTGGTTAGGCGTCTTCATAGTTATGGTTTTGGCTCTTCTTGGATTGCTTGGGTCTCTGAATGTCTTTCTGCTACACACTCTATTTTGGTGAATAGTACTACTGTTGGATTTTTCAGTTCTGGGAGGGGATTGAGACAAAGGTGTGTTTTCCCGTGGAAAACTATTTGGGAGATAGATGAGGTATGTGTTTTTTTGGATCTTCTGTATCGGCAGGAGGGTGTTGGCAGAGGAAATGATGATTTGATTTGGGTTCCTTCTTCCCACGGTCGTTTCGAAGTAAGATCCCTGTTCTTATGTCTGTCTCATTTTGTTAATTATGTTTTCCAGTGGAAAACTATTTGGCGATCCATGGCTCCAACTAGGGTGGCTTTCTTTGTTTAGACCGCTGTTTGGGGAAAGATATTGACAATTGATAATTTACGGAAAAGGGGCAATTGCATTGTTAATCGGTGTTTTCTATGCAAGAAAGATGGGGAGTCTGTTGACCACCTCCTTATGTATTGCCCTGTGGCGAATGACTGTTGGAATCTTATTGTTGGGTTGTTTGGCATGTGTTGGGTAATGCCACGATCTACTAAGGAATTGATTCATGTATGGAGAGGTTGTCACGTGAGAAGGGATGTACGCGATTTCTGGAGAGTTATCCCACATTGTGTCTGGTGGTGTATTTGGAAGGAGAGAAATAGTAGAATGTTTGAAGATAAAGAGTCGTCTACGGCAATGGTGAAACATCACATTCTTTGTTCTCTATTCAATTATGTGAAGAGGAGTTCTTGCTCTTCTTCTGATGATTTAATTATTTTTTTGGATTCTTTGGGGCCTTAGTCCCGGTTCCATTTTTGTAAAAGGAACGCATTCCCCTTTTGAACGCCTTTTTATGTTATTATTACTTATCAAAAAAAAAAAAATGCTTCTCTAATTTGATGGCTCAAGCTACTAGATGTGGAGAATCAACTTGTTGAGGTGGGGCAGTATGTTTTTAAATTGTGTTTTTACTACTGAAGTATGCAACTGGTTTGCTCATCTTCTGGGTTGACATTGGCTTCGTGTACATGATTTATGCTTTGCCATCTGGTTTTCTACTCGGTTTGGCACTGATCAGCTTCCAAAAATGATTTTTACAGCAGTCATTTGGAGTATTTGGAAGAAGAGGAACTTTAGATTCCATGGTGGAGTTTCTAGATCCAGCTCAGAGGTTGCTAGAGAGCTTTGGTTTTCTGTGTTAGATGCTGCCGGTATGTATTCAGAAGGTGCTCTTAGTTAAGGGCATTTTATTTCATTTGTATTGGAAGTGGGTGTATTCTGTTCTAATTTCTACCTTCTGTTTTGTTACTTCAGTACAGTGAGGGTATACCCTCCTTTCTCTTGTGCTTCATTGTCTTATCTTTATAAAACATCCCATTTATGGAGGGAAAAAAAATTTATAAGATGATCAATTTGTTACTGAAACCACACCTCAAATTATCAGATTTGCTGTCCTTGGCTACCAGCATATTTTCACACAAAAGTAATTTTGTAACTCAAGTTTGTTGCAAGCCTTTACTCCAATGAACCTTACTAAAACTGCCACATTGCTTATTTTTTGTATTAACAAATGTATATGTCAATATTTATATTGACAGGGTCTGTTAAAAATAACTATTCAACTGCCGCTCGTCTATTCCAGCATAGTTGATATTTCCAAAATGCACCATCATTACGAGCCAACAATAAGATGTCCGGATTCATCATAATCCAATGTATTTGCATTATGAGTCATCCAGCTCAAATAATATGGAAAATTAAAAAAAGAACGATATTTAAAAACTAATTAAGCTCTTGTTCAACACATTCTAAATTGTAATGACGCGTAATTGCATTCTAATTTGCAATTTGTAATTTTGAGCAGTGATTTACATATAGAGGAATCTTAGTGTAAAATAAGGACTACTAGAAAACAAGGAAATTTTCAGTATATCTGAGCTGTCCCATGCATATCATACTGTTTAAAGTAATAACAAGAAATCATGACAAAATTTCAGGTGATAATAGACCAATATCTGTCCATTTTACAATAACAAAGAAAACACAGAAACTAACACCGTAAGAAGGGGAGAAATAACAGTTACCAGATGCGGCCTGGCCTACAGCAGCAGGAGTATTCGGCATTACCCTAATAAATCGGCTGTGACCAGCCCATTCCTGTATAAAACAATGGATACATCAAGACACGTGCAAAAAGATTAGAAGTTTTGAACTGAAAGATGAAATGATAACAATGAGATGCGGTTTCAATCATAAAGATGATAAGGGTCAGATCATAGAGATACAGAGCTGGTGTGAATCAAGTATGACAAGGCGCTTAAAGATGTGCTCCTAAGAAGCATTTTGCAATAACAGGATCAGCAATACAACAAAAATGGGGACTAGTCCAAGAAATGAGCCCCTCAACGTGTAGATAAATCAACTCATCAAGCTCCCACTAAAATCCACACATTGGATATCACTGCCATTTCTTGGTTGTTAGCAGCACGCGTCCAAAAACATCCGGGCAATTGTGGCACTGGCTTGTTTGAGACCAAAACAAACCAAAAAGGTGTACCCAACATGATTTTGTTGTCATTTTTATGTTTTGCACAAAACAAAGCATCCCCAAACGAGGCTTTAATGAAAACTAAAGGGAACAAAATGTTTAACAACAAAACATATAAAGACCAAGTTTGGAAACTATCCAAATTAGTGACATATGTATAGACTAACGAAAGAACCAAATAAAAGGTAAGAATAAATAAAAAGAAGTTAAAATAAACTTAAGTGATGAGAATTCAGCCATAAATTCACCTATTCAGGAACGTTACATACAGTGAGGAGCAAAGGGCTCTAGACACAAACCTGTAGATCCTTTAATTTAACTCCTGCAACAACTGACACAAGAAGCTGCTTCTCTGAAAGTTTTGGCCTCAATTGCAAGACCACATCTTTAACTGCATTCCATAAAATGTCATAATGATCATAGGTTAAAAAGAAAGACCAAATACATAAAGAAGAACAGGGTCAATAGGCAGAAACCCATAGAATTATAATTTTATGATTGCTACTCTACATACAACAACCTCATATGATTTAATAGTTCTCACTGTGTAGCAGTCAAACCAAATCGTAATGTTCAACAAACATAACTAGAGCTGTTTCAAACAACAATTTCTATATTTGTACTATAGCATGGAATGTTTAAAACTTCAAAGAAGTCTCATTCTCTCCATAATCAAATTGTTGTATGAGAAAATTACGTGAAAAGCTGGTAGTATTACTGCACGGGCTTCATGGTGGTGTGAAATAGATGGCATAAAATTTTCACCTGATTTTATACCTAATTAAGACATCCACAAGTAAAATTTTGGTTTTAGCTAGTCCACAAAAACTAAATCACCTAAGAAGCATTAAATCATTCAGTTAAGTATCTAGTCCATCTCTGCATAGAGTTAAGCATCGAGTAAATCTATATAACCAACACACTCATAAATTTACATGTCAAAGAAGTTCATCTGTGTTATACTTGCTTTCCAATGTAGGGTTTACATTTTCACATTGAAATACACCCCAGGAGAATAAGGGGGGAAAACCAAAAAGGAAATTAGAAAATATGATGAAATGGGATTGCCCAAAGCAAGGAACATCAAAGGAAACAAAAATATCTGGTTAAGAAAATGAGTAGCAGGTAGTGTGGTAGGTAGTGTGGCGAGAACAGGCAATACCAACTTGAGGTTTCACAGAGAAAATCACCACATTGCTGTCTTCAACAACCTGCTCACGAGACAAAATTCAAGTATAAAATTAGTAAACAACACAAGTAATGAAACGTAAATATGTTTTTGACGGAGTAAAAAGAAACACTAGATCGATGTTGAGAAAATAAAATAAAATAAAAATGAAGCTAAAAAAAAAACAAATCCAAGAAATTAACAAAATTCTGATCATGAATCAATCACAGATGTAGAAATAATTTGAAAATGCACAACAAAACAAAGAAAGATTGCAATATCAAAATCTTAGGCCTCCTTAAATGGTTGGAAAATCTGAAAATCATGGGATTGGTTAACTCTAATGAAAAATCCATTGTAAAATTTTCTAATTTTATTAGCATTGAAACAAACAGAAAAGTTTATGCAGCAAGCATAACCAAGCGAAAGATCTGATTCCCGAATATAGCATAAGAAAGAAAAGAAAAAGGAAGCAAGATTTGAAAATCCAATTTATTCAGCCAATGAAAGATCAATCATACATACATACGTACATGTGTGTGTGTATAGATGTGTGTGTAGAGAGAGGAAAATTGAGATACCTCGTGGTTTTGATCAAGAACTTTAACGCCAAAGGATTCAAAAGCAGTCCGGCGAGCGGAACCGAGGTGGGCAGTTCGGATTCTGGAAGCGGGCAAGACACCCGACTTGACGACGCCTCTGGCGATACTCTCCGCCATTTTGCCCGCTCCAATAAACCCTAACTTGTACCCATCGCTCGGAATCGGAACAACGCTGGCCATGGTGTCTCTGTCTCAAGACCGTATTGTGTCGCTCTCTCTCTCTCTCTTCAACTGGGATGGTACGTCCCTGCGAGTGTTTTTCGGAGGGAAATAAATTCTGATTTGCGCCCAACTTGTTTATTTAATACCATACGAACCCCTTTTAATCTAGTTTAGGGTACGTTTGCAGTGAGATATTTGGAGGGATACCGAAAAATGAATAAATAAATAAATAATGAGAAGATAAGGAGAGAGAGAATAATATTTAACTAGTAGTTTCATAATTTTAAAATTATTCTTAATAATTGAAAGAAGAAAATTATTATTTCACCTTGATGATAATTTAAATGTTATTATTTTTTTTTTTCACCCCTTTATTATATTTAAATAAGAATATTATTATTTTTTTTATTTTTTTTCACATATATATCCAAACGTTTTTCTATTTGGAATCATGCGGGATGTGTTTATTTATCTATTTTTTAGGCAAGCGGATTATTTATGACGAAGAATTATGCATTTTTTCAACTTGCGTGCCCCTGGTAAAAAAAAAAAAAAAAAAAAAAAAAAAAAAACTCAATCATTTAAAAAAAAACCTAGATGAAAAAATAAGTAGATAGATATAAAATATAATGAGATATCTAGTAGTGAGTTAGAGATTATTATCGTCTTTTCATTCTTTTCTTTTCTTCTCCCATAACTAATAATACTACTATAATCTCCTTTCTTTCTGTTTTGTTTTTCTCCTCCTGTACATCCAAAAGGAGCTGGGCATGTTGGGAACTCAACCCAATTTCCATAGGTTTGGTTTGGACAATCATTATTTAATTTGGGTTAGACCAGTGGGCTTGACTTCTCAATATACAAACCCAACCCACTGCATTGGGCATATTGGCAAGCCCAACTTCTATTTTTAGGAACCCACTACCCAGTATCAATGTGTAAATTTGTCCAACCAAAATAAACCTAATTCTCCCTCGCCCCTCTCTCCTCTGCGCGTTCTCTCTCTGCGGCCTTCCCTCTTTGCAGTAAAACCAGCATAGCGTGGTGCTTCTTCCTACCAGCTGCTGGGTTATTTTAGTCCATGAATACATGAGCTATTAACACTTTACCATTGCTGTGAAAAGGAGAAGCCCAAAAATATATATTTAAAAGTAAAAATTAAAAGAAGAAAAAAGTTATCGACCATCCTTGATTAAGAAGTCTTATCAATTTTAACAGATTGATTGGTTTAAAACTTATGTCAAGAAAAGGTTTTAGAAGTAGGATTCAATGGTTTGATTTAAACATTTGTTTTTTTTTTAGTGGTCTTTAAAATCAGAAAGGTGAGCTTCTTGATAAATTTTGGTTTTATTGAAATTTTTTAGTTGTTAGTGGTCTTTATTATCAGAAAGGTAAGAGCTCTTTGATAATTCCTCAAGAGCTTTGCTTTTTAATTCCTGTCATATATAAATATCATGTCACGCATTTTTACTCTAAATTTGATTAAAGGTAATTGTTAGAAAATAGAGACACTTATATGTTATGTTCTTGTCTAAAATCAACACTCAATCTCTAGGGACACTCCTAGTATCCAACACTTAATATATATATATATATATGTACGTAATTAAAAATTAAATTTTATTATTAATAGACACTTCGTCAAATATTTAGCGGACATTTCTAACCCAATATAAATTAGTTTTGTCCGATAATCTTAAAATATAACACATGCTAAAGTGTAACTCTTTTCTTTTGACAAAAGTTGACTTAATCTTTTAACCTGGATTATATGGTCTGGTCACAACAAAATGTACTTGTTTATGTAAAACAAAAATATTTTACAAAAACATTGTAATGACAAAGTAGTTTAACTATATATATATATTAGGAAAAGGCACGTGCGATGCACGTGTTAAATATTTTGTAGATAATGTGATAGAGTTTTATAAAAAATAAAACAACCAATTTGTGGTAGAATTTATAAAAATTATTTTATTTTCTATAAATATATTATTGTTTAATTATATTTTCCTTTATTAAAAAAACTCATAATAAATAGATAAATAGGTAATATGTGTTACAATTTTATAAAAATTCTTTTAAAAACTCATTTTTATATCAATTAATAAATATTTTTTTATATTAATAATTCTTGTCTAATTATATTTCAATAAATAAACAAATAGGTAATTTGTGTTAGAGTTTTATAGAAACTCTTTTAAAATCTCTTTTTATATCAATTAATAAATAATTTTTTATATTAACAATACTTGTCTAATTATATTTTTTTTATTAAAAAACTCAAAATAAATAGATAAATAGGTAATTTGTAAAAGAGTTTTTATATAAAATCTTAAAATATATCTTTGTCAAATGTATTATAATTTTATTGAAAATAAAATAAGTAATTTGTGGTAGAGTTTTTCTAGTCTAATTAGATTTTCTTTTATTAAAAAACTTATAATAAATAAATAAATAAGTAATTTGTGTTAGAGTTTAATATAAACTCTTTTAAAAACTCTTTTTATATTAATTAATAAATATTTTTAAATTTTAATAATTCTTGTCAAATTAGATTAGCTTTTATTAAAAAAAAAAAAAAAATCATAATAAAAAGTAGTTTGTGATAGAGTTTTAGAACAATTATTTTATTTTTATATCAATTAAAAAATATTTTTCATATTAATAATTCTTGTCTAATTAGAATTTATTTTATTAAAAAACTTATAATAAATAAATAAATAAGTAATTTGTGTTAGAGTTTAATATAAACTCTTTTAAAAATTCTTTTTATATCAATTTATAAATATTTTTATTTTAATAATTATTGTCTAGTTAGATTTACTTTTATTAAAAAATTCATAAAAAATAGATAAATTGGTAATTTGTATTAGAGTTTTTTTATAAAAACTCTTTTGAACCTCTTTTTATATCAATTAATAAATAATTTTTTATATTAGTAATACTTGTCTAATTATATTTTCTTTTATTAAAAAACTCACAATAAAAAGATAAATAGGTAATTTGTGTTAGAGTTTTATAGAAACTCTTTATTATGTAGATTTTAGTGTTTATATATTTTTTTTATATATATAAATAAATAAATACCGAAACTCTTTACACATCTAATAACAGTATAGATACAAACTTTTTTTAATAAATACTGAAACTCTTTGGCATGGCTTCTATATTTTACTCTGTAATTCTAGATTTCTAGAATTCTCAATTTGTATACCCCTTCCTCCATGTCTCTATTTATAGGCTTCTTGGATTAATAGGATTATGACATGTGTCCTTTTCTGATAATGACATAATCATAACAGAGCAGGCCGTTTATATTGTGATAATTATCCATAAAAAATAACTATTCTTTTTATATTGAACTAAAAATAAGAGTTTTATATAGAATGTGATTGATATTATTAGGTAATTTTGTAATTAATAAATATTTTTTATTTTAATAATTCTTGTCCAATTAGATTTACTTTTATTAAAAAAAAAAAAAAAAACTCATAATAAATAGATAAATAGGTAACTTGTGTTAGAGTTTTATAGAAACTCTTTTAAAACCTCCTTTTATATCAATTAATAAATAATTTTCAATATTAATAATACTTATCTAATTAGATTTCCTTTTATTAAAAAAATCATAATAAATAGATAAATAGATAATTTGTGTTAGAGTTTTTAGAGTTTTGTAATACCCCTAGTTTTCAAAAGGATAAAATGGGAATTTAATTTTGATTATCTAAGTGACTTATGTACTTATTTGACTAGTTGTGTTTATTGTATTTGTTTAAATTAATTGATTGATTAATTGTGTGTTTAAATTAATATTGTTTAAGTGTATTTTATTTTATTTTTCATTTGACTTGAAATTTTATGTGTGTTCTGTGTGGTTTTTAGTCATAATTATTTATTTATTTTCCTTAATTATGTGTAAGGGTAATTAATTAATTAGTTAGTTAATTTTATTCCAGATATATGTATAATGAATGTAACTGTTGTGGTCACTTGTTTATTACCATATTGGGTGATAATTAGGTTTAGGGTGTTATGATTAAGTAATTAGGTAGCCGACTTGTAGTTGGGCTGGACTTAGGGTTAGGATTACTGGATTTGGGATTAGGGTTTCAAAGGAGTCTATATATATATAACGATATATTTTGCAAGGGTTTTTGGGATAAAACCCTATTCGCGTAGGGGTAATTTAAGAGGAAAAACAGAGATACATAGAGAGGGTTGTATACACTTCAATGTGTATATTCTTGTGTAGTCTGTAAGGGTTAAAATAAAACATTATTCACGTAGTATTAATCTATGAAGCTAAGGAGGAAGAACAGAGGAATGGAACAATGGTCAGAGGTGGGAGCAGTATAAGAGAATTCTGAAACTTAGAGACGATGCGGCTGTAAGGTTTCAAAACGAAATCTAAAGGCAAGTTTCATTCTCTCCTTCCTGTAAACTTGTGTTCTGTGCATTCTAAATAGACTCCAGGAATTTAATTAAAACTTTTAAAACAAATTTTATGCATATTAGTTTAATCTGAAATTTGGTTAACGTATAATAACTGAAGATGGCTTTCCTTGCATAAATTGTTAGATTATGTATTAAACCTCTGTAAATTAATTTATAATGGAATGTGAGGTGTTGTTAGGATGGTTAGGAAGTTAATTAACCTTTATAATGGAATTTTGACACATGTGATCAGACTTTAGATTGTTCATATGTTCAGTTAACTGTGATTGGCGTTTTTGGATACGGTTTTGTTTTTGTTTTAAATTTTTGTCAATTAATGCATGCTGGATTGTGAAAAGTTTCTAGGGCTTTAAGAATTTAAATTGAACCCTAGGAATGTTAAAATACTTGGGACAGGAACGTCGGACTTCGCCGGAAACGCAGAAAAATCATCGGACGAAGTAGAGACAAGGCAGAGGGGCTCTCAGGGGGGAGAGCCGGCTCCCATGAAGAGAGAGCCGGCTCTCCATGAGGGGGAGCCGGCTCTAGAAGCCTAAGAGCCGGCTCCAATAAAGGGGAGCCGGCTCCCATGGAAAAAAAACCCCTACGGGTGTTTTCTGTAATTTTTCTGAAGTTCAGGGGCTTAAAGGTAATTACTGGAAAGTGATGGGGGGTTTTAAATGATTAAAATTAACTTGTTAAAGCCTTCAAATAGTTGGTTTATGCTAAGGTGCTAAACCTAAATGCATGTCTTAAAACATAAGCTTATAATAGGCCTACTGTCAAGGAAGGAGGAATGCTTGTTTTGCTAAGTTGTTTTGACAACTTAATTTGGACTGACATTGTAGTTATTGTTAGAATTTATATCAATGATATATTTAGCATAGTTCAGTTCCAGGAATGTTGGTTATGACGTCATGTACCCTTATCTAATAAGCTGCATATTGTCGGGAGTAGTGGAAGATTAGTTGCTAGTTTTGTGTTAGCAAATTAAATGGAACTCATATAAAATACTTTTTAAAGTTTCATATGATGTACTTAAACTTTGGAGTGTCATTATATCCGACACAGAATTTATAATGGGGAATTACATAGATGCCATGAGATTTAATTATAAATTTGCATGCCGTAAAGGATATGGGAGGATTTAAATGATAGTCATCATTTTAACATTTTAAACGAACTAGTATGGATGTGTTGTTTTGGAATTCTAGTATAATGTGCAGTTTAAAATTCTGATATTCATTATATTATGTTACGAAGGATAATTGCTGAACTGTCTTAATTTCTGTTCTGTCAATTACATGGAAATGGATGGTTTAAATTGTTTATTCTTATTTTAACAATTTAAAAAGAGGATCTATGAATATAATCATATACTGGATGCATGATAGGAGCTTATCTATATCTGATTTCTATTATGTTGGTTCTGGATATACTTGATGTTCATTTTGAGTGTGCATCATGTGTGGATCATATGCATTATATGTACCGGTATGGGACGGTGACATATCAGGGATGGATTAGATCAAAAAGCTAAGTCCTACCCCTTTCATACATACGGAATGGATTAACTAAAATAGTTAAATCCTACATGGATGCATGTCCTGTCAACTAAAACAGTTGAACGACATAACGGATATTTGTTTTATTTTTCTGCATTAGAAAAGAATTTATATATATATTTACGGTACCGTGATACAAGCTTGAGTCTCCTGATCACGGTTAGGGTGCGTATATTGCAAAGGTTGAGTAGCTAGATATAGCTGATGTTCCCTGGTAGGTCTATGTATTTGGCCGCTGAAAAGCGTGTTTTATATGTCACCTTCTACCCAGGCTGAACTATGTTATAGGCTAGTGAGCATCCTATAGTGTGTATTTATATATTTATGGACTATTGTAGCTATTGTTGAGCTATCTAGGATGTATCTGCGTATCGGGTTTATGTACGGATTGTAGGAGGATGGAACTTGCATGTGGGCCTGACCCACCTTTATTTTTCAGGTGTTCGTGAGTACCAGGCTTAGGGTTTGATCGTGGTGATGCAGATACAGTCACTCACTCTTCCGACTAAATAGGATTTTTCTTTCTGGTTTTAGTTTTGGATTTTATTCTGTAAAGTTTTATCAGTTGAGATTATTAGGGGTCCACTAGTTGGATTCCCGAGTTGTACGGATTGGAAAATTAATTTATATTAAAACTTTTATTTTTGGAGGTTTTACAATTAGAATTCTTTTCAGCATATCAGCTATTTCATTTTTATTGTATATTCTGTGTTCAATTACATATTGATTGTTTGGTATCTCTTGGGTCTGTGCCCGGACTTGATCACCCGTGGTTCTAGATTCGAAGGGTATCACAAGTTTTATAGAAACTTTTAAAATATATCTTTATCTAATGTGATAGAGTTTTATTAAAAATAAAATAGGTAATTTGTGATAGAGTTTTGGAGAAATTATTTTATTTTCTTTAAATATATCTTTATCTAATTAGATTTAATTTTATTAAGAAACTCATAATAAAAGCTAATTTGTGGTAGAGTTTTAGAAAAATTATTTTCTTTTATATATCAATTAATAAATATTTTTTATATTAATAATTATTGTCTAATTAGATTTCATGTTATTAAAAAATTCATAATAATAAATAGATAAATAGGTTAGTTTAAATTTTATTATTTAGATTTTAGTTTTTTAAATATTTTTTTATATAAAAAAATAAATACTTAAATACTGAAATCGGGAGCGCCGTGAGAGCGTCTATATATTTATTTTTATGCAATTATTTCACTTAATATATAATTATTTTTAATTATTAAATATTATATTTTGTTATTTTTATTATGAAATTATTAAAAAATAATCAAATTTTTAGTTATTATTACTTTGATTAAATAAATTTTATGGAGTAGTAAATATACTTCATATGGCAAAGCCCAACCAAAATATGAACAAAAACAAAGGGCTATGACTAAAGCCCAACCTAAAACTTAGATGGCAATGCCAAAAACCCCAATCCACGGTTGGTCCAAGAGACAAAAGACAATTTACAATATTATAGTCTAGAAAACCCTAGGCAAAGTTACTGAACATTCTAGAAGAGAGAGGAAAAGCCTCCAACGCTCAATCCTGCTCCGGTGGATGAGTCTCCTTGGGAAGACAAAGTCACTTGCATAGAAAGCAACCTTGTCCAGATCCGGTTGATAACAGTGAAGAGGAAGGTATGTACTCTTCAATCATCTAAAAATCATAATACTCAAACCTCAATCTGATGAGTTAATTTGTTAGGTGAATTCTGCATATATTTCGACCTCTCCAATGGCGCGATGCTCGGCTGATGAAGTTCTCCCAAGGAAGATGAGCCACCTGAAATCTGCATTTGGACTACAAGAAAGCCTAAATCGGTCTAGTAAAGGGGCAAGAGCTGCAAGAGAAGAAGAACTATGATTATGCGGTTTCAAGAATTTCGCGAATTCAAAAAACGAGTTCGCGAATTTAGAAAAATGAATTCGCGAATTTTGCACGATTTCGTTCCCAAACTACTAGTCTAGCCTAGTTGTAGTTTTTTTCTATTAGTTGCGATGCGAACAGGCCTTTACTTATTAGATTAGTTGAGTAGGCTTGCATTAGTTGTCTGCCATAGCTAGTTTTGGGGCTTTCGAAATCAAAAAGTCTATCCGGCTTGGCTTCGCTATCGCTCATGACTTGTATTTACGTCGGCCCGGAATGCCCCTATAGTCTTTCCAATCCGCCGATCCGCGTGCGGAGCTTGGGAGTCTGATCCTCATACACGAACTGTGTGACTAAGACTATCTAATAATAATATGGATAAAAATTCTTTTTATATGGCAGAGTTTCTGTATTTTACTCTTCTAGAATTTTTAATTTATTTGATTTATAGAATGATGACATGTGTCCTTTTCTAATAATTACATAATTATAATTGGGTCGAGCGATTATATTGTGATAATTATTCATAAAAAATAATTATTCTTTTTATATTGAACTAAAAACAAGAGTTTATATAAAATGTGATTGATTTTATTAAGTAATTTTTAAAATTTTATAGAAATAATTTTTACAAAAATAATTTTTATATCAATTAATAAATACTTTTTATATAAATAAATAAATATTAAAATATTGAAACACGTTGCATTATTTTATTAGGTAATTTTTAATTAATAAATATTTTTATTTTAATAATTCTTGTCTAATTAGATTTAGTTTTATTAAAAAAAAAAAATTCATAATAAATAGATAAATAAGTAATTTGTGTTAGAATTTTTATAGAAACTCTTTTAAAACATTTTTTTATATCAATTAATAAATAAATTTTTATATTAAAAATACTTGTCTAATTAGATTTTCTTTTATTAAAAAACTCATAATAAATAGATAAATAAGTAATTTTTGTTACAGTTTTCATAGAAACTCTTTAAATATATCTTTGTCTAGTGTGCTAGAGCTTTATTGAAAATAAAATAGGTAATTTGTGATAGAGTTTTATAGAAATTATTTTATTTTCTTTAAATATATATCCTTGTCTAATTAGATTTAATTTTATTAAGAAATTCATAATATAAGCTAATTTGTGGTTGAGTTTTAGAAAATTTATTTTGTTTTACATATGAATTAATAAATATTTTTTATTTTAGTAATTAGATTGTTTTTATTAAAAAATTCATAATAATAAATAGATAAATAAGTTAATTTAAATTTTATTATGTAGATTTTAGCGTGTTAAATATTTTTTTTATATAAATAAATAAATATTTAAATACTGAAACTCTTTGCACATATAATAGTAGCATAGATAAAAACTTTTTTTTATATCAATTAATAAATATTTTTTATATAAATAAATAAATACTGAAATAATGAAACTCTGGCAGAGTTTTTGTATTTTACTCTGAAATTCTGGATTTATAGAAATCTTAATTTCTGTACCATTTTCTCATTCCCTCTACTTACAGGCTTCTTGGATTAATAAGATGACGACATGTGTCCTTTTCTGATAATTACATAATCATAATTGGACCGGTTATATTGTGAAAATTATTCATAAAAAATAACTATTCTTTTTATATTGAACTAAAAATTAGAGTTTTATATAAAATGTGATTGATTTTATTAGGTAATTTTTCGAATATTATATAAACTATTTTTACAAAAACTATTTTTATATCAATTAATAAATATTTTTTTATATAAATAAATAAATACTGAAATACAAAAACACTTTGCATGAATTTATTAAGTAATTTTTAATTAATAAATATTTTTGATTTTAACGATTGTTGTCTAATTAGATTTACTTTTATTAAAAAACTCATAATAAATAGATAAATAGGTAATTTGTACTTAAATACTGAAATTCTTTGCACATCTAATAATAGATTATATCAATTAATAAATATTTTTTTATATAAATAAATAAATACTGAAACTCTTTGCCAGAGTTTCTGTATTTTACTCCAAAATTCTGGATTTATAAAATTATCAATTTATGTACCCTTTCCTCCTTCCTCCATGCCTCTATTTAATGGCTTCTTGAATTAATAGGATAATGTCATGTGTCCTTTTCTAATAATTACATAATCATAACTGGGCCGGACTGGTTATATTGTGATAATTATTCATAAAAAATAAATATTCTTTTTATATTGAACTAAAAATTAGAGTTTTATATAGGATGTGATTGATTTTATTAGGTAATTTTTAGAATTTTATAGAAACTATTTTTACAAAAACTATTTTTATATCCATTAATAAATATTTTTTTTATATAAATAAATAAATACTAAAATACTGAAACACTTTGCATGATTTTATTAGGTAATTTTTAATTAATAAATATTTTTATTTTAATAATTCTTGTCTAATTAGATTTACTTTTATTAAAAAAAAACTCATAATAAATAGATAAATAGGTAATTTGTGTTAGAATTTTATAGAAATTCTTTTAAAACCTCTTTTTATATCAATTAATAAATAATTTTTTATATTAACAATACTTATCTAATTAGATTTTCTTTTATTAAAAAACTCATAATAAATAGATAAATAGGTAATTTGTGTTAGAATTTTATAGAAACTCTTTAAATATATCTTTATCTAGTGTGATATAGTTTTATTGAAAATAAAATAGGTAATTTGTGATAAAGTTTTATAGAAATTATTTTATTTTCTTTAAATATATCCTTATCTAATTAGATTTAATTTTATTAAGAAACTCATAATAAAAGCTAATTTATGGTAGAGTTTTAAAAAAATTATTTCATTTTATATATCAATTAATAAATATTTTTATATTAATAATTCTTGGCTAATTAGAGTTTCTTTTATTAAAAAATTCATAATAATAAATAGATAAATAGTGAATTTTAATTTTATTAGGTAATTTTGAGTTTTATAGAATTTATATGGTGGGATAAAATAATTAGAATTAAATTTTTTTTATATTTTGTTAATTTGAATTAATTTTTATTTTATTAGGTTATTTTGAGTGTTATAGAATTTATATCAATTAATAAATAAATACTGAAACACTTTGTATATTTAATAATAGTATAGATATAGATATATCCGTATTATTATCAAAAATTAAAAAAAAAATTGAAAGATTAATATGTATGGACACATTGGGCTTTTATTTTTATTTTTTATTATTATTATTTTTATTCTGGTAAATTAAGAGGAGATGGGACTCAAAACACAAACATACCTACCCGGACAGTTGAGTTATTTACCAACTAGGCCACTAAATAATACTCATAGGTACATTGAATATTTAATATGTAGTATGGACAAATATGTAGTATGGACATAGACACGAAACACTGATAGGTTAACATGTCAAATTTTTAAAAAATAAGACACGAGTATGGCGTGAATACTACTATATATAAATATAAATTTTTATTTATATACTTTTATTAAAAAATGATATTATAAAACTTTGATTTATTTTTAATTTATATATTAAGAATTGTTTTGAAATGATTTAAAAAATAAAATTATGTCATTATTATAATAATTTTAATATCATATATATACTTTAAAATATGTTCATATTATTTTCAAGATTATCGAAAAGACTTATATTAAAAATGCTAAATTTAATTTTTATTTATAGAGACTTATATAAATCTATAATGGGAAAACTACGTATAAGTAGACTTAGTATCTTTAAATAACAAAATAGTCTACTTTTAAAGTTCATTTTTCAATTTGATTGAATTAAACAAAATAATTACAAATACATCAATAATAATTATTAAGGTTCAAAATACCATCCAAACTCTTATTCTAAAATACTAAAATATCCTTACAATTATACAATTTCAAAATACCAGATGTCAATTAAGAAACTATTGAATCTTCACTATGGATCCTAAGTTTGGAATGAGCTTGGAAGGAGCCTGAGTGAGAAAATTTGTGAAGAAAATCAAATCCATTGCAACAAGCATGACAAAAGATTAGGGAATATCTTACAAATCCATTTTTTTTTTACACGACATTTTCTCCCTCTTTGGTAAACAAATCATTGTGGATAAAAAGATGAAGCTTAAGCCACTGTATAAGAGATATGAAGAAGACAACAAAGTCAAGCCAATTAAAGTTTGTATAATAATCGACATGGCGGTCGCTCCCTCATAAGAGTGGTTGTTCAAAAAAGTTAGACACGATGAAGATAGAGAGGGGCACGGAACGAAGAATGGAACCCAATCTAATTGAAGAGAGAGAGACACGTCCTTTTGGAAAGGAAAAAAAATGGTAAGAGCGATGATGTGTCCATGCCGGGTACGAATCAGACCAAATTAGGCTCTAAAATATTGGATCAAGTATCATTATTCCTATATAATTATAAGGATATTTTAGTATTTTAGAATTAAAGTTTAAGAGGCATTTCGGACTTTAATAATAATTGTTGCTGTATTTATAATTATTTTATTTAATTTAATTAAATTAAAAAATAAATTTTAAAATTAGATTATTTTGTTATTTAAGACTATTAAGTCCCTGTACCTAATTTCCCCAATCCATGTGTCCGTCGCTTCGGCGTCTAGTGTATGTGCTTTGTTTACAAGTGGCGAAAACAAATTTTGCGAGATTGTTACGGACATATTGGGACTTGGACTTACAAGTGGCAAAAACAAATTTTGCGAGATTGTTACGGAGATATTGGGACTTCAAGTGGCAAAATTTGTCGTGGAGCACAAGATTGAGAATAAATATTTTAATCCCAATAATTTCATGCTTCAATCGTGATCATCAAATGTGCGTTCGGGATTGGCGGGATTGTTATGGACCACAAGATGAGAATAAATATTTTAATCCCAATAATTTCATCCTCAATCGTCATCATCAAATGTGGCGTTCAATACGTTAAGACTACCACGTCTATAAAAGACGGTGTGCATCGCAGAAAGTAGTATATCAGTATCTGATCTCAAGTTCTACACTATTATAATTATATCAAAAGGAAGAAAAAGAAGCATACATATCACCATCCAGAGAGATGGCAGATCTGTTCCATAAACAGGCGAAACAGTATTCGGAAACTCGTCCCAGTTATCCCGACGAACTTATCCAATTCATTCGATCCAAAACACCCGATCACCACCTTGCTTGGGATGTCGGGACTGGCAGCGGCCAAGCTGCAACATCCGTAAGTTTCTCTCTCTACATGTAGGATCTAGGGCGGAGTCAGTATGTGCGCTGTATCACTTACTATAAAATATAATAATTTTTAATTTAATTTATATATTTATAAAAAAAAAATTATATATTACACCTTTAAAATTTTAAATTTCTAAAATTATATTCTAAATTTTTATTTTGCTCTAAATATTTCTTTGATTTCCTTTGGAATTCCTCATTTTATCCTGACTCCGCCCCTAGATCATCCAACCATGAATTAATGAAGAAAGCATTTTAAACATATATTCTGTAATAATAATTACTAATACAAGTCATTATTTTCAGTTAGCTGGGATGTACAGGAATGTGATAGCTACAGACACCAGCCAAAAGCAACTGGACTTTGCACCCAAGCTGCCCAACGTGCGATGGATATGTACAGCGCCCAACATGTCCATGGCCGAGCTCCAGCGCGACGTGGTTGCAGAAGAAGCAAGCGTTGACCTAATCACCATTGCTCAAGCCCTCCATTGGATTGACCTCCCAACCTTCTACCAGCAAGCGAGGTGGGTACTCAAGAAACCCCATGGAGTCATCGCTGCATGGTGCTACACTGTCCCTCAAGTCAATGACACCGTCGATTTGGTCTTCCGACGCTTTTACTCTGATTCCGATCCTTACTGGGACCCTGCTCGCAAGTTGGTGGATGACCAGTACAGAAGCATCGATTTCCCCTTTGAGCCATTGGATGGAACCGACCACACCGGGCCTTTCCTGTTCAAAACACAGAGATTGATGGATTTGGATAGGTATTTTACATACATAAGATCGTGGTCCGCATATCAAACAGCTCAAGAAAAGGGTGTTGAACTATTGAGAGATGATGTTATTGAGGATTTTAAGCGTGCCTGGACCGAAGACGCCAATGATCAAAAGCTTGTCACGTATCCAGTTCATCTAAGGATTGGAAAAGTAGGAAATTTAAAATAAAGCATGCATCCTTGACCGTGGAGCTACTCTGTTTTTCATAACATTGTTGTATTGTATCAGCAGAATCCTCTATAAAATTAATGGAATTATTACTTGATTTAGAAAACAAAATGATACTCTATCTTGCATCTCAAAATTATATTTTGTTACTTGACCGTGGAGTATTTGACAAATAACTTGCACACTCACCTTGCCTCTATAGAAAATTGAACCCAGAACATTTCTCAGGTAAGAAGATACCCCTAGAATGAATAATGCCACTTGTAAACTTAATGAACTAATAGGGATAAACAGAAGGGATTCATGAACCAAACATGATGTATTGACTTTACTCCTTTTCTTTCATCTGATAACGAGTAGTACAATATAACACAAACCCAACAAGCCGCAATTCACCATTTTTCCAATTGATCTCAATTTCCTTAGACACTAGTTGTTCTTTTCTTCTAATAGGGTACTCTAGAAGAAATTATACTAGCCCAAGCCAAATGAGAAACACCATGAACTATACTCGAGCTTTGATTCGAATAAAATGAGAAACGATATTTCCATGAGAAGTCTGATGACCCGGAGCTGAATGTTTTCACAAAATAAAATTACCCTCTTAATGTCATTGTATATCATTTAAATAGTCGGTTTACACAAAATAAAAGCCAAAAGGAACCATCACCAACAGAAATAAATAAATAAAGAAAACGGAAAAGAATTCATCACTCAATAGGATCCAAATAGAAAGGGAAGTATATAAAAAGTGAATTAAACACCAAAGCGGTATCTGCTTTTTACTTCCTAAATGAAGATCAGGGGTTCAAGTCTCAGAAGAGACGTGTGTGTGAGTACCAACTAGGGTAAAAAAAAAAAAAAAAAAAAAAAAAAAGTGAATTAAACAATTACTTTCAAACACAGGGAAATGGGATCTCACTCTGTTGTGGCAAGAGCTGCCTACCATACATCTTCAAGCTACTTCTCCACAGCAGCAGCATACTGCCTCTTGTTCCCGATGTTTCCTTTTTATAACAGATCTGTAGTACACAAAGCGTTCTTCAAGGGCGTGTACGGAAGAAGGTTCTACGTCAGGGATTACATCAGTGGAGACAATAAATAAATAATAGGTTTAAGTGTTAGAACTCACATCGTTTCTTAATCCTAAAGATTCTTGAGATGACGAATTCTGCAAGTTTCTATAACCACATACCATAGCAACAGTTTTAAAGAAAACCACATAACATAGCAACAGTTTCAAGGAAAACCACATACCATAGCAACAGTTTCAAAGAAAACAACACAATTACCATCATGTCATGATGACTTCAGAAAGACAAACCAGATAAGAACATGATTTCAGTCCCAGTAAAATAATGAATACTAAACCATACACTCTACTTCACCAATATGAGCAATCATAGAAACAATCAACTCAGAAGGATACAATTTGAAAATCTACTAGAAGTCTTTAACTTAAGAAAGCAAAATAAGAAATTCTTATTTTCCAATTTGCGAAAATTAAAACAGTCATTCAAACAAATATCAAATTAAAACCAGTTGAATAGATTTACATGAAGAATCACAACGATGAACATGGAATAGCATACCTTCAGCCAAATTTAATGAGATAGCATGTTCTTAACTACTTCAATAATAACATTCTTCAGCAAGAAATCCATCTCAAAAAACTATACACCATTTAGGTGTTGTGATATCGATGTTCACTTGGTGCTTGTTAAAGGTGTTATTGTTAAATGTCAATCTATTCAGTTCATTTCAGAAAGTTGTAACAAGTGAGACTAGGAAAGGAATCATCTCACAATAAGTGTTTATTTTGTTCTAAAAAAGAGATTTTGTCAAAAACAATATCTAACAATTGAAAATACAAAAAAAAAAATAATAATAATAACATGACAATGAAAAGATGAAATGTAGTTCATCAAACTTGATCATAAAGCGAAGCGAGAACCTGTCTATATGACTCTGATTGGTTCTTGGAAATAAGGAAGATGGAAAGAAATATCAAGGAATTTCATTTTTTTTCCCTGATTTAGTTGCTATGAAAAGTGATGGGAAAGACACTGACAAAAACATCAGGAGATTTTATATTCCCTCATTTACTTTGTTATTGCAGCAATTAAGGTTTTCCACAATGAGGGATGATCTTAGAACTCCTAGTCTATTACAGTTTACTTTCTCCTCACCTTCCTCCACGCAATTGTATTCTTCTAGTTAGCAATATGTAATTTTGAGCAATGATTTACATATAGAGGAATCTTAGTTTAAAAAATAAGATTAATAGAAAACAAGGAAATTTTCAGTACAGCCGGGCTGTCCCATGCATATTATACTCTGATTAAAGTAGACAATAACAAGAAATCATCATAAAATTCAGTGCGATAATAGACCAATCTCTGTCCATTTAATGACAATAACAAAGAAAAAACAAAAACTAACGCCATGCGAAGAGGATAAAAAACTGTTACCAGTCGCAAACTCACCTACATCAGCAGGAGTATTTGGCATTACATAATAAATCAGCTCTGACCAGCCCATTCAAACGTGCAGAATATTATAAAGTTTAGAACTGAAAGATAAAATGATAACCATGAGATACAATTTGAATCATGAAGATGATAAGGGTCAGATCATAGAAATGAAGAAATGATGTGAATAAAGTAACAACAGGGAGCTTAAAGAAATGCTCCTGATAAGCCTTTTGCAATAACAGGATAAGCAACGCGACAAAAATGGGGAGTGGTCAAAGAAATGAGCCCCTCAACGTTAGGTAAATCAACTCATCTAGTTCGCACTAAAATCCATACATTGGAAATCACTGCTGTGCGTTGGTTGTTAGCAGCAATGAATCCAAGAACGTCCTGGTAAAAATATGGGTTTCAATATAAGTTCCAAATTAGATGCTGCCAAAGGAAGTCGCAATGCCATGTGCAAAAAAGAAGAGACTCCTAGAATGGCAAAGGCAATGAAGATGGTGGAAATTACAGAAGGTGTGATCCTTAGTTCATTTCCAGGCTTCAGTTTCTCTGCCATGAAGAAGTATGTAAATAGTCCAATCAAGCCATTATAAAAGTCTGTGCTTAAAAAATCACCATCCGAAAGATCTGATTCCCAAATGTTATTAGATAGAAAAGGAAAAGGACCAGCAAGATTTGACTCTGTTGTGGCAAAAAAATGACTCCAATACATCTTCAAGCTACTTCTCAGCAGCAGCATACTGCCTCTTGTACCCATAATCCCCATTGTTTCCCTTTTTTATGATAGATCTCCATTGTACACGAAGTGTTCTTCAAGGGCGTGTACAAAAGATGGGTTCTATGTCAAGGATTATATCAAATAAATAATAGATGTTAGTGATAGAACTTAAATCATCTCTTAATCCGAAAGATTCTTGACATGGCGAATTCTGCAAATTCCTATAACGAGATACCATAGCAACAATTCCAAAGAATACAACGCAGCTATCGTCATGTTATGATGACCTCAAAAATGCAAACCAGAGAAGGACTTGATTTCAGTCCCAGAAAATAATGAATGCTAAATCATATATTCTGCTTCACCCATATGATAAATCATAGAAACAATCAACTCATAAGGATACAACTTGCATATCTACTAAAAATCTGGAACTTAAGAAAGCATAAGAAGGACTTCCATTTTCCTCTTTGGTCGAAAATTAGAACAAAGTCATTCAAAAAAATATCAAAGTGAAACCAGTTGAAAAGCTTTACACGAAGAATCATAAGGATGAAAGTGGAATAGCATACCTTCACGCTTCAGCCAAATTTAATGACATAGCATGTTCTTTAGTCTTTACTACTACAATAATAACATTCTTCATACTACTACAATAATAACATTCTTCAGCAAGAAATCCATCTCAAAGCAACTGTATAGGTGTTGTGATATCTTTGTTCACTTGGTGCTTGCATAGCATCCACTACCAAGGACACTACTTTTCCCGGCCTCCCTTTCATGCCTTCAAACCCCAAAGGCGTTTTCAAATGTCATTTTATTTAATACATTTCAGAGAGTTGAAACAATTGCATCTAGGAAAGGAATCATCTCATAATAAGTATTCATATTTCTTCTAAAACAGAGATTTTGTCATAATCAATAATCTAACAGATGGACATTTCACAAAATAATATAACAATTAACTCGGATATGCAACGACAACCTGACGGTTTATCATCAAAAAGATAAGAATTGTCGTTCGTCAAACATCATCTCAAACCAAAAGAGAATCTGGCCACGACTCTTATCAGTTCTTGGAAGTAAGAGGATTGAAAGAAATATTGAGGAAGTTCAAAAAAAAAAAAAAAAAAAAAAAAACCCTATTTTGGCTACTATTGTAGTTTATTTTCTCTTCATCTTTCTCCAGCAGGGGAAGGAAAAAAAATAATACTAATCACTCTAATTTTCCTTGGACAACCGAACAAGAGAGAACGTTTCATTTTTCTCTCTTTTCTTTTGTGCTTTCCTTTCCATCCCTACCTCTAAAAACTCAATAGACCATAAATAATGCAAGGAGAGGACAAAAAGGGGAACAAAGTTAGAAACATAGAAGAATGCATTATAACAAAATCCAACTTAAATGTTACCGACCCAAAATAGTCATCTAGTTGACCATAACCAGTCACACAAGTTATGTTCCCAAATTGACAGACAATGTCACTAAGCAATGAACATGCAGAAACTTCACAAACTTCTCCATTAAAGGGCCACAGGCATAAGATGCTACTTTCTTATTTTTTTCTTCTTGTTCAGAGAGACAGAGAACAAGAATATCGAAAATCCAAAGCTAGATAATATAGACAAATCTAAAAATTAAAATAATTAAAGAAGTTTCAAATAAAACCCTAGCAAAGAGGGATCACAGCCTTAGTTGTAGTGTTCTTTAAAAAAGCCTCGTGATAAATGCCAAAACATATGCATAACTCATAGGTAGCAACATTAAGAGCAGCAGCTGGGGCACCGGATCAACCCGTTCTCATTGCAGTCGGGACATCTCCTCACTTTCCCATCATCTTCCTCGAAAACCTTTCGACTCCCATTACAATTTGGGCACGGTATGAACCTGGCATCCCCACAGCTCTCACACACAAACCCTGGATCCCGAATTGAAAAACCTTCCAAAAGCTTTGACAATTCTCCAACCTCATGAAGTTGCTTAATCTCATCTGTGCCCCCAACGTACTTCCCTCGAATAAATACTCGAGGCAAACTCATCCCCTTCCCTCCAAACACACTCTGCAACTCCTTCCGATATGCCGAATCCATTGAAATATCCCTTTCGTCTACAGACACACAATAGCCCCTTAAAATCGTCCGAACCGCACAGCAATCTTCATAAGTCCTTCTAATTCCTCTCAAAGTGGTATAATACAAAACAATTCTATCTTCTGTCCCCGGTAAATAGAATTGACTATTAGATGACATAGAACTCACATCACTACTACATACCAAAGGTCGAACTGTTTTGGGCTTTGTATCTTTGCAACCCAATTGTCTAGAAGACAATGCTTGCCTGTAACTCAAGACCACATCCGGGTCCATCTTCGCTAGCAAAGATTCCTCTGATAAATGCTTCCATAACGGCTTCGAATCCGTATGTTCTACTATTTCGAAAGTTTCCACCAACTCAGACGAGTCGCAAGCTGCCTCCTTTTGAGGGGACTTGATTGGACAATCATAAATCGATGAATTTGGTTCTGTGGAGGGGATGAAGTCATACTCGAAGACATCAAGATCTTCCATGAGTTCCCATGTATTGATAACAGAGTCTGGCGATGAAGGCTCATTTGGGTCAGTTAGGGTTTTGGTGATGTGGGTCGAAGATGGGGAGCGATTGGTACGATCATGACCTTTCAAATTGGGGTTGGGGTTGGGGTTAGGGTTAGGGTTGGAAATGGGGTCAACAAGGACGAGAGAGCCGTAAGTGGTGGAGGTGAGAGAGACCAAGTGGTTGGTGTCGCCTTTGCGGAGCGGTGGGTGGTGGACGAGAGGGGTCGGAAGAGAGAGAGTTCTTGAGACTGGGGTTGAAGAAGAATCTGAATAGGAAGATAAAGAGTGAGAAGAAGAAGAAGAAGAGGAGTTGGAGGGTTGTTCGTCGGTGGTGCGTCCGGTGACGAGGGCACGGGAACGAGAAGCAGAGCAGCCCATGATAAAAGGAATAGGATACTTTCGAATGCCTTTTTGCTCTCCGACTCTCCTACTTTTGCTTTGCTTTTGTGTCTTCTCGGCCGCCTTTTTGAGGGATTTTGTGTTGCATTGTAGAGAGAGAAGAGTTCAGTTGGAGGAGATAGATGGAGCAATCGGCCGGTCACCGGAGAATAAGAGTGAGTACGGACTGCAGATATAAAATCTGATTTTCGTGTATAGAGAGAGAAGGGAACAGGAGATAGAGGAGTGAGGGGAAGGGAAACGGAGAGAAGCGTATGATACCTAACGGCGTTGTATATTACTATAATATAATCGTATATACATAAAGCTAGAGAGAGAAAGAGTGTGCGTTGGTGGGAGGGAACTATCGAGGGAAGTGGGAAAGACGATGAAATGAATTAAATGCTCAGTAGAAGTATAATATACGGTTAGCTGTTGCTTCAATTTGATCATGATAGTTTCTTAATGGGTTCTTTTGGGAATTTAAAATTGTGAAAAAAGAAAAAAAAGGGGCGGGGGAGGTGGATGGAGGTAAATAAAACTTTTTAATATCAATTTTGTATTATTCTTTTATAATTAAAAAAAAATCAAAATACCACTGAGTTCTTGGCATATTTTTAATCTCATTATTTTTTCTTTGTTTTCATATTATCATTTTAACTTGAATAATATTTAACACATTCTTTATATTTTGTCTTACCTATATTTGTCATTCAGCTCAAATAACATAATTTTATAAATAAATCATCTGCCTTAATTCTTCACATGAGGAATTTTTTAATAAGCAAATTTTGAATTTCTTATTTATGTTATTTATTATTATTATTTTTTTAAAATGATATATCCTTTTGAGGATGCTAGATAGAAGATAAGTGTTTGGGATTGTTTCTCTACTATTCAAAAGCACTTTCATTACAAAAAGTTAATTGCCATTTAAATGTGGTAGATGTTAGGTCAAAAAAAACGCGTTTAAGTGAAGTTAGGAATTGTAGTTTTTAAAACTGTTTTGGAGACTAGCAAAAAGTTTATAGAACTCGCATTTATATGCCACACGAGTCATATTATTTTTAAGGATTTAGGAGAGAATTAATTAAGAAATAATCATTCACAATTAAGGAAATAAATCAAGCTTTTATCTCTCTCTTCTCTCCACGGTGTTTCTTTCTCTCTCTTGGTTAACACTCTCAACTAATATGTCTCTCTCTCTCTATTGGTTAACCCTCAAAGAATCTGTTTCTTTCTCTCTCATAGATAATCCTTTGTCTTTCTATTTGAGATTTTTATTTTCTATCACAAAAATTTACATGTTGTTTAATTATATTTTGATATATATTTTTTTATTTTCATGTTTTTGAGCTTTAGAATAGCCTCATCCTAAAAAATTTATGCATTCAAACTAATAGAGAGAAATAGGAAGATTGGTTGAGGATTAACCAAGAGAGAGAAAGAGAGAAGTGGAGAGAAGAGAGAAAAAAAAGCTTGATTTGTTCCCTTACTTGCAAATAATTCTTTCTTAATTAATTATTAAGATCACAAATCCCTAAATATAAGAATTATGTGGTTTATAAGTGCGAGCTCTTTGGACTTTTTACGAGAGCGTTATCACAATAAACTCTTATCTTTTTAGGTAACCAATTTTTTTTAGATAATGTAATCCTTTTATATTTTTTAAAAATACAATTTTGTCCCTGCTATAAATAAATACCAACCAATATCCTAGTTATTTTGGAATTCTATAACAAGGAATATTCTTATTTATTCTAGGATTCTCCAACCAGCTTCCATTTATATTTTAGTATGAAATACAAATTCTATATCATAAATAAAATATGTGATATTTAAAAAAAAAAAAAATACAAATTGATATTTATAAATTATTTAAATCAATGAAATTTTATAATATTTAATATTAAGAAATTAACAAAATTTTAGTATAAGTGTAATATAGTAGAATTAGTAATAAAATATTATACCAAACAAATTTTAAAGTATGTAGAGTATAAAAATGTTTTATACAATGTGTCACTTTATTGACAATAAATTTATAACAGCTCTATTAAAAAAAAGCATTTTCAACATTATAATAGTAATTTCAAATGGACTCTAAATTAGTGCGAGAGTCTCACCATATAATGTCAGGTCAAATGGTATCATGTGGTGGGCTCACACTTTCACTCATCATTTTCTATTTATTTTAAATAATTATGTTTAAAATGAAACCATAATTAACTCATTTATACAAATAGAAAATGAAAATGCATTTGAGTCTTCAATTACTCTATATTTGGACTTCACATATTACTCTATATCATTTTGCATTACTTGGGGCGCGTTTCATAAAGTTTTCTCGGTTTTTGTTTTTTAATTAGAAAAAAGTTTATTAACACTTATGATAGGGAAAAATAAACCTACCTTACCTTAACATAGAGGCAACTAAGCAGTGACTAGCTGTCAGACCTCATGTTTCCATTGAATAAGAATGATTATAATGAAATCTGACGTGGTTCAACAGGGTAAGGATAATCCTGGCACAATTGGAGGAAGTAAAAAGAGTTAAATCATATTCCCGATAATCTGGCAATAAACGGATCTCTTCTGATCTCGCACAAACAGATCTACTCTGATCCTGCAAATGAACTGAGGGAGAGTGACTATAAAAATGAGATCCTACCGGTTAATAAAGGTATGACAAAAAACTATTATTAAATCCATATATTTCTTTTAGACCTCCGGTGACTAACTTGATCGTCAGAGAGCTCTTGGCAGGCATCACACCGGTGTCGTCAAGATTCATAGATTCATCGATCTTCTACTCTCGTTTTTTATAGAAAAACGGTGTCGTATCGGACCGCGTGAATTTCACCCTCAACAACTTATATTACCATAGTTTTGAAGTAGAAAACATATAACATAACGCATATCTATTAACACAATTTTTTAAAAAATAAAATCTATTTTGCTATTAATTCACCTATTAAAAAATTGACCTTCAATTACAGTAAAAAGATATAATTACAATTAGTCAATTTTACATTTATCAATCAAAATAAATAAATAAATTATACGTCAAGCAATTTAAACATAAAATATTAAGAAAGACAGGCAAATAGGCAATAGTAGTAGTGATGGGTTACATGATTAACCAAAGTTACACAAGACACATTGTGTGAGATGACATATAAGTTATAACACGATAATTATATACGTAGTATTTTGGACACTATGAATTTATAAGAATTAGATTCAATACAATTTTAAATTAGTGGTTTCATTTATGATTATATAGATAAAATAACAAAATATAATTAATTAAATATAATAATCACAAAATGAATTCAGGAATTTGCGTGATTTTCATAGATATATAATTCAAAAAAAGAAAATTCACTAGTATTAATACTAGGAAAGAAGAAGAAAATTCAATGGGGTCAGTTGCTCCCACCGATAATTAACCAGAGCCGTTCATGATAATAATTATATTATATTATTATTTTTTGATGTATATATATATATATATTAAAAAAAAAATTTGTTGAATTGTAGTACTTTTATTTGGTGTCTCTAATCTCTATCTATGCTTCTTAGGTTGAAAAATAATTTAGGAAAATATTTTGGTTCAATGTATTTCAAATAAAGGCCACCCTCAGACGATTCTATCCTAATTTCACGGCACTGTTTGCACTAGAAAGTTAATCAATTATATATGAGTAATGATATCTAGAGCTACTTGTGAAGTTTACTTGTTGACTTGAGGTCAACAATGATCTTAATTATTTTATTTTGGCAATGTATCTAACAAATTAATATGAATATCATTTTTCATTGTATATATAAATACATATATGAGATTCTATATAAATGATAAAATTACAAGATCATAACAGTGTGAGGATTTTTTCTTTGCTCAAGCCTCTAAAACACTAAAAGAAGGTTTGGTGCAACAAGTTTAGTGACAAGAAGATGATAAATATTATTTTTACCTTTAAATTGGAATTATAAGAGAAAAAAATTTTCAAATGTACATTGCCTATAAATAATGATCATAATGATGAATGAAGTGTATTATTCATATTATTAATTTATTACCATTATTATTTATACTACAAATGGTTGTCATCAAACCTGTAACAAATTGAAACGGACATGTAATAAAATATGGAGGACCACAATCAACACAATTATTTTGTCAAGATGTGGATGTGAGCTGCTTCATCATGGCAACCACTTTACTGTTTTTTTCCTTTCAAAAAAGGGTGAGGTTGCTATCACCCTATCACACTCAGCCAGTAGTACCATGCGCGCGCGCGCGGCACACACACACACACACACACACACACACACACACACACATATTCACTCAATTTATTTATTTATTTTTTCTTTTCTTACAAATACATCTCCCTTAAGTAGTACCATTAATTAGCTACACGTTACGTGATATGATATCCAACAAACAGAAACAACAAAGTAGAATAGGTAAGCTGCCATTCGAATTGGATTTCTAAATTTGAAGAAAGTAAATATATAAAAAATAATAATAATAATAAATGAAAAAAAAAGGTTAACAAACTTGGGAAAAAGAATCTTAAATTCAGAATTTAACAAACACAAAAAATAAAAATAAAAAATTGTGGTAATAATTTTCCTCTTAGGACTTTCATCCGACATTACTAGATTGGCACTAGAATGGAATAGCCTACTCATTCATACTTGTCGAAAAAATAAATAAATGAAAAAGAGGAAGCTAAAAAATCTTCAAACGTTGTCTATAATCTTGGGCTGTGTTTGGATAAGCTTCCTGTTGTGAAAAGTCCTTTCAATACAACGGACTTTCAAGAATCACTTATACAAATGAATTTATAAATAAAAAAGGCGTTTGGTTAACCTTACTTTTGAGAACTTCTTTTATGTACAAAAGTGATTTTACTCACACGATATGTGTTATCCTTACATAATATTTTTCTATATTCTATTTGACACAAATATTGAATCATATCAACAATTTAGTAATTAAAAAAAAAAAAAATTGTAATTAACATAAAAATATAATGAACAATTAGATAGAACACTTCTACCACTTAAAATGGATACTCGATATGTTAAATATTATTTAAAGAAGATAATAAATTTCCATTTATATATAAAGTAAACATGATCAATAATTTAAATATAGAAGGAAAATAACATATTCAACAAAAATGAGAATAATTTTGCAAAAGAAATGAATTGTGCTATGATGCACTTAAAAAATCATGTCTAACCTGAGTTTTGCAACTTATGAATCGTGCAAAGAATTTGCAGAAATTGAAAGAGCTACGAAAGATTGAAAGGGAGAAAGATAATATATATAGCTGTAGCATTTAGAGAATTGGAAATTTGTTGGATAGGAATGTTAGTCCTAAATTTTCTCTCGGAATTTTTTTTGCCCGCCTATTCCATACAAATATTTTTTGTAGGATAGGAAATTTTTTTGCTTATTCCATAGGAATTTTTTTCCCGCAAATTCCATAGGAATTTTTAAACTTTCCATAGGGGATGAAACATGCCAAAACTCTTCATTGGTCAAAGAAATTCTAGAGATTGATAGAGGTGAACTTACAGAAACGATGATTGGATAATGGATTCCAGGGCAGTGGCAAATTAGGAATGGAGAATTTGATGAAAAATACTATGATTAGGAGTGTAGCAATACTCAAATTCATCTTCAAAATCCTAAATACATAATATTCTCCGGTTAAAATACCAACACTTGTGGGCTGAGTATCTCTGTGGAACTTTGGGAGAAAGGAGAGCACGCGAATTTTCTTTTTCCTATTAGTTCGTCATCTCCCCAGTAGACATAGATTGCTCTTGTAATAAAATTGAGAACGAAGGTTAATTTGGAAAAAAAATTATAATTTATAAGGTCAAAATTGTAACAACAATATTTATCACTTAAAACCCTCCTTGCTTCCCGAGAAGTAAATTTGAGAAGCCTCATTTTGTTGCTTCGGTAGAACAGACTTTTGAAGAGTTGGGCTTTATAAGGCCTTTTTAAAAATATTTACCAAACACTCACTTTTTTTGTAGAATTTCTTCCTGGGCTTAAAAGCCCGTTTTGGAGCTTCTAGAAGCCACGCCAAACACAGCCTTGATTATTATCATTAGACATTAGTCATACGATGATGCAGAGTCAAAAGGAGTGAGATTATGAGATACAACCAAATGCCACAATGAGGACGAGAAAACATAATAAATAAGTTGAAATTTACAAAAACCCCACAACACTTAAATCAGAAAAATAAATAAAATAGAGTTAAACTCCATTTGGGGGAGTTCTCTCAAATTAAAAGTCATTTATTTATAAACCCTTTCTGAAAGGAATTTTGTTGAAAAGAATTCAAAAGAAAGAGACGGGGATCACATTTCATAAATTTACTTTAACTTTTAAATTATTTTTTCTTGACAATGATATCTTTTATCCTTAACAATAATTGCAAACTTCCAATAAAAAGTGTGAAGGCGATGGCAATGTTGGTGGTGGTAGAAGGTAGTTGCTATGGTGGTGGTGGTGGAAGGTGGCTGTTGAGGGTGGTGGCGGTAGCGGTGGAAGGTGGTGATAAAAGGTCACGGTGGCAACTGTGGTGGAAGGTCACGGTGGTGGTGGAAGGTGGCGGGTGGTGGCGGTGGCAATAATGGAAGGTCACGATGGCGGTGGTGGGAAGGTGGTAGCGGAAGGCGACGGTGAAGGTGGCGATGGTGGTAGGGCGATGGTGGTGGTGGAAAGAATGACCAAAAAAGAAACTCCTATAAATCAATCTATGAAAAATAGATGGGAAAATTAATAAAAGAAAAACTACACATGGGTAAAGTTAGTAAAATGACAAATTGATTATTAGTACAATGAAAAATTTATTTTTTTAAAAAAAATTGGCTTCTTAAAATGAGATTTCAAAAGTACCATGTTTTTTACTTCTCTTAAATGAGCTTTTCGAGAGTCCTTTACACATGTGTTACCGAAGGTTACAATTTTTTTCAAATGTACTTTTCAAGTTTGGAAAGGCTTTTTGAGGTTTCAGGTAGCTCCCGGGGCACCTCTTCCACATAATAAAACAATAACCAACCAATATCTTAGTGGAGAAACTGTTCTGCACTCTTAAAAAATTCTGTAATGGTAAAATCAACAAAAATTCAAGATAAAAAAAAAAAAAAATTACAAGAGAGATTGAAATCAACTGAAGAGTATAACGAATAGGAATTGGCAGAAATAAAATAAACAAATATAAAGAAAATTAAGTAGTGAAGGGGTCCAGTTGGAGAGAAGACGGAAAAAAAATGGCCACCACAGCTACTTAGACATGGGATATGATATAACCAGATGAGTGCAGAAACAAACATTTAAATGGACAAAGCAAGAGATTTACTAAACAAGGACATATGAAATTTCACATCCATACGAACTAAGCAAGCCAAAAGGACTAAAAATCTTTTGGACAATTGAGGTTAGATTTTTTTGATAAAGTAAACTTCTCCAAATTAGTACATTACCATCACCAGTTTGTATTCATTCCCATTATTTCTCGTAATTGTAATTGAACAGAAAGGTACAGTAGTTTACTAGAGTTAACACGCAAATTATATAAATGTTTTAGACAATACAAAAAGATCATTTTTCATCTCAATATAAAATGAATGACATGGGCACTTAAACGAAAGGTACTGAATCCTGCACAAGAAATCGATTCGATCGAGGAGAAGTGGACTGAAGCATCTAAAGCCAATCCACAATGCAACTGATTTTTTTATAAAATTTCCATCAACACGTGAAAAGGATACAACACAGGAGAAAGTAAAGTTAAATTACCAACATAATCCACCAGGCAAATTTGAAGGCACTAGTCTTGAGCATCCTAATTGTTTCTTGTATATTACTTATATTCAAAATCCACAGATAGTAATAGAATAAGACCGTATAGAATACAACATCAACAACCAAGCTTTTTTTTTCCCAACTACTTGGGGAATAAGACGGTATATAATCGATCTGAATAATCATGCTTGGAAGTTCAGTTGTAGTTTTTTCAATTCAAAAAAAAAAAAAAAAAAAACATATAAGAATGCAATGGTAATAGATCGCGCCGACAAACATGAGGATGGACGTTCAAATTTGTAAACAGCAACTCTGTACAAAAAATACCAAATGTCAGGTCAATCTCTATTCCAATCTTTCCTCTCAACACCTCGCGTTGGACCAGCACAGGTAAGTCCCTTTCTTAAAGATAGTCAACTATTTCAAAGAGCAATCCCTAACAAGAAAAATGGAAAAGCACAGGGTAAAAGCGAGGTATCACAAATTCGCTGCAATATCATTATATAATCATTCTGTTATGCAAAGGAAGGAGAATAGCATAGTATGTTCCAACAAATTGTTGGCCAACACACTGGCTGAACCCAGTAACCACTGTCACAATTTATTCAGAAGGAGATGATTAATATCACATTGATCTGAAATCCATCAAAATGGATCCTAAACTTGTTGCTTTTAACATTTCCATCTACAAGCAGTCGTTGCAAAAGAATTTGCACCCTAGCCCTTGTACCATTTTGCATAATTCTAGTTATAGGGCTGTTATCCCTGACTTTGTCAAGAAGACTGCATCTTGAAGATCACAAGAGTAACATCCATAGTACCCTTCAGAGCGTATCTCAGTTCAAAGATCACCGCACATCATGTGTGTGTGTGTGCGCGCGCGTGCACAAACACATGCTGTGTTTACACTTAGTTGTGTTAGGCATGTATCTTTTTACGATCTTCTTTTTGCTTATCAGTTGCATTTTTTTCATGAAGGATCAGTGTGTGCCAGTCATGGTAAGCATGGCAATCTATTTTTGTTTGGGGGTGGGAGGGAGTCATCAAGTCAAATGGTAACATAGTCAATTGAAACTTATTCTAGTAGTTAAAAGACTTCGGCTATGTGCTTACTAAATAAATAAAACAATTTCTTAAACTTAAAGTATATTTACAAAAATGCACCAAACAAATTCTCCCTTTTAAATTTATTCTAACGAAGTTCTCTCCACAACAATCTTTCTAGTGAAGAAATTTTAGCATTAGGAAGATTCTCTAATTGTTAACTAAGTTTCTACCAAATACAAAGGAAAAATCAACTATATGTGGCCGTCATTTGAAACTTCTATCAGCTTTTTGTGGTATTTGACACATCTACAAAAGAAGGGACTTTATAAACAAGAAAATTGCAATAAATTCCTAACAAAGTTGGTGCAATTATAGCTTACAAGAAAAGCTCATTAACCTAAGAAAATGATAGTGCATCCTACAACAAAATAGGAAAAAACTAAATAAATTGGCAGTAAGACGTTGGTACATCAGCCTAACAATGCTACATTCAAATCTAGTGAATTAAAAATTAATTCTGTTATAGTGGTAGTCCTTACTACAACATATCAATACTACATTCAAATATATATATATATATATATTATTTATATGAATTCAAGAGAGGAAAAATGGATGTTCATTTATCAGTTACAAGCGTGCTCCTCTCTCTCTCTCTCTCTCTTTGCCTTTCGTCTTAGTTTTTTCATCTTATTTATTTCAGTTGTTTTATCCTAATTTTTTAGGTTATAAGTACCTCATTATTCAGCTTGAAAAAAGTTTTATGCTTACTAATCCAAAAAAAAAAAAGAGAAGTTTTTATGCTGAGTGCTCTTACTAAGCTTGCGCACTTTGACCATTAAGCTGCAAAGCTGTAAAGGTCAGCCTAACATGTAACAGTTACATGGATGCAACCCACTAAAAGTGTTCTCATGATAGACATTAGACATACCCGTGATAATCCATATTAAGATCTATGTTTTTTTGAATAAAAATATGTCATACTATTTTTATAATTTTAATTATATAATGCTACGTCAGCCCCCCAACCGAGTATTTTTAGCTCCTCCCCTGGTTCTGAGTATAGGGGAAAGCACTGAAATCAGAAGCAAATAGAAGACGTCTAAGCAAAAAAGTGCACTATGATGGAAATGGTTAAGTGCCGGCTTAACTAGTGAAAAACCAAAACCTACTTTGACCATTGTAGCCTAATTGCTATGGGCACCAAGCATTGGGGAATAAAGGATGCCTTTAGAGATCTACTTGATTTGTCATAGAGAGAAAACTTTAAATGAACTTATGCTTAAATAAGATGAGACACCCCACTTATTGATCAATCTAACTGCACCAGCCCACTAGCGGATTCCAAGGTCCTAAACTAATTTAGAACAACAAAAAAGATCTCAAACTGTTGTCCTGTTCTAGAACTTTCTTACATTATCATATGATATTCTTATTACTTCCAAATTTAATAGATACTACAAATTCATGTGAATTGTCCATGCCTTTAAATAATAGAACTTTAATCAACTACAGGAAGGGAAATAATTAAACTCCAAACCCCACCCCCCAAATTTACTAGCAGAGCCAAGCCCTCTTCTATAAGATGTATGAATAAAAGTTACCCTTCACTTCTTAGTACAAAGCATACTCTAAATTGAAATTTACAAGTGAATAGTTCGATAATACTGAACTTTTCAAAGACTAATACCAGAGATAAATCTTCTTCACACAAAAATTTAGAAGAAGGGAGAAGCTAAGGAGGAGGAGGGTAGTGGGATTCGGAACTAGAAGCTGACAAGCTCATTAAAATTATGCATTTATCATTTACATATATAGTTCTGGGATAACTTTGCAAGTACCGCATTACATTGAATCTAAAACTAAAAACTAATTTATACGAGTTCCAGTAAAACATAATAGGGTTCTCTTTTATCAATCCCAACACTATTTGTGTCATCAACCACAATTACAATATATCATCTGTAAATGAACATCAAATGAGTTGCCAACCACACATATGAGCTTAAGCAATCCAAATCAAGGTTAGAAAATTCAGCTTCAGGTCCGAGTTCCATTAATCAAGAAGTGGAAACAACTCAGGAATTTTTTTGAAAGCTTAATGCTGTCGATGCATTCAGAGACAAGTTAGTGGCTCTATAATAACATTAAAACATGTCCAAAGGGTCTTCCGCAATTATAATGTGTTTACCATAATTCACCAGAACTGAGTAAAGTTATATTAAATTTGTGGGGACTATAACCACAACTAGACAAAGATTTCTTCACCAATTATTCTAATTGTCACTAATTTAATTTGCCATCTCACCGTCCATCCTAACTTGGCTGGAAGCAATGAGTTAGAATTGATATTGCCAATTTGCCCAACAAAGATTCCAAAACATGCAGCAACACAATGGAAACAATATATTAGGAAAAAAAATACTATGTCATAATTGTTACACCAAATAAAGAGTCATGTGAAAGAAAGATATATACATTAATCCTCAATATAGCACAGCACCATCACTCATTTTATTTGGGCAAGTGGAAACTCAGATCATCAAACGGACATTTACAATTCAGATCATAGGTAAAGGTATTCAGAGGAAATTGATGTTAAAATAAAATTAATGAACCACTAACCAGGAAGTTCAAAGGATCAAACCAGAACATGGGCTTAATTTAATGTGCAATTCTTCAATCAACCAACATGGAAAGGACCGATCTCGCCGGTTCGGAGAGAACCAGCGATCTCATCAGCAACAGTCAAGCATGATGTGACCCACCCAGTCAGAGCCACCCACACCATCTTTGCTATCCAAAAGGTCATACTCCATGGCACAGCCATGGTTCCACTTGTTTTTCTGAGCTTCAATTTCTTCCTCAGAATGAATATCTAATCAAAAGACACATACCATCTTCTTCGGATTTAAAGAAAATCCTTTTGAATTTGAGGATCAAACGTTATTTGCAACATACCAATATATGTATATATATATCGTAAAGTGAGAGATTTGTTTTCGTGTTACCTAATACGGAGTATGTTTTTCTTGGAATGGCTGACACTTCCCACGGTTTTCTTTCAGCCGCCGACGTAGACTCGCCGAAATTCCGAACAAAAGAGATGACGGTGGTTGCTGGAGCCCACCACCATTCGGAATTCTACGATCCAACTTTTTCCAAAGGTGAAGCTTTCCGAAAACTCATCTCTTTCGCTTTCTTTATTTCATTTTTTTTTCTTTTCTTTTCTTTTTTAATAATTTCATAAATTATTTATTTATTTATTAGACACTTCTAGTACGCTACAAGGCAATGGAATATAATAAAATGAGACTCCATATTACAAATATATTGGGCGGCTCTATGTACAATATTTATATTACAGACTTACAGTAGGTTTTTATAGATTTTACATGATTTTTGTTTGGCACTCTTACTAAATGATATGTGGCATTGCAATATTTTTATATTAAAAAGGGCGTTTTTGAGTATATTTATAGGAAAAAGTGTAGTTTTCTCTTTCCTCGATTCTCTCCAATTCTAAATATATAAAAGATATGTACTATATATAATTATGGTACAATATATAAACATATATATAGTTTCAAATACTTTTTGGATGAGATCAATTAGAAGTCAAATTCCTAATAATTCTAGGAAACGTTGGAGCTTCAACGAAATATATAAAATTACAAGTTTTAACTCAATAATTCTAATTTTGAGAAACTTTGGAACTTTAACGTTAATAAGTGGTGAATCGATCCTTCACAAAAAGTAAAATGATATTATTGACGACTTTAATACCCAACTTAAGACCAACAGACATAAAAATGAAGTAGTTATTCAAAATTTCAACTTAAATATGCATTATTTGTTTCCATAAAATACTCCCTTTCCCTTTCCTTATTTTTTCAGTTTTCTCAGTTTTCTTTAGTCCATTTCCTTTCCATAGCCATATCATCTTCTTTTTTTTTTTCACGGTAAGTTTCGTGGTACTCGAATTTAATAATTTGATTTGTACAAAATCTAGAGCAAAAACTGCAATGTTTTATAATTTTTCCATACTTACTACCAATATACAAGTTTTTTTTTTTAAATTTCTCTTCTTGTCATTGTTTTTGGGAGTTAGATAGATCATTAGATTTGATCATTATTGACAGCTCCAAAACTTTCCTAGTTTTGCTGTTAATTCCATATTAAAAACAAAAAAATTAATTAATTCAACTTTTGCTCATATGTGTTTAATCAGCATACAACCTTTGTGTTTAATCAGCATACAACCATTGTGGCAAATTGCAATAGAAAATTCCACTTTTGCTCTCTATAACTCAACCATTTGCTTGTTCCACTTGCTGAAAACTTAATTCTAACATTTTTTCAATTATTCTCCTGAATCGAGCTTCATTTTTTTAAATTTCTTATTGTTCTTATTTATTTATGTACTACTGTAGAGAATGTATGAGAATTTATAGCATTGCTTTAAATTTCATTGTGACTGGTGAATCTAAATTTCACAAAAAGATGAGCAATCTGAATATTTTCTTTACCCGTTTCTGTGTCAATGCTAATATATATGATCTTTGATGGTTTTGTTGGAGTAAAAAAGGAAGAATTTATAGAGAAAGCAAAAGAGTTATATAAGATATTTAAGGATGACAGAAGGAAAATAAAGAGGAGAACAGGATGTTGGGATAATAAGGGGTTATTCTTGTCATTTTCTTAATATATATATATATTGGAGTGAAGCGCCTAAGTATGATTTTGAAGCGGCAATTTCAGCTCCATTTTAAAAAAAATAATAATAATAATATGGCTCTTTTTATATTATAGGAGTTTCTCTGCTTCACCTAAGTATAATTATATTCATATTATTGTACAATTTCAAGGAGCCATTACGCAATTTAATGGATAAAATTCAAATTTATAAGCATGGAAGTGTCTCTGCACAAAAGCTTCATTTTAACTAACACACTGCCAATCAAGGGCCTTCTGGCCCAACGGTCTCAGGCATGTATGTCAACATTATGTTTATGATTAGATCCATGACTGCAACACATAATAAGACTGACTATACACCTGCAATGTGGCATCAAAGACAATGATATAATAATAATCCAAGTTGGTTATCATTCCTAAAATTCTTGATCGTAAGATGCAGCAATTCACACACACACACACACAATTTCAAATCCAAGTTTCAGAAATCCCATGCGGGAGTTTTATCCTCTCCAAATGACAATTGTTCCCAAATTTCTTTATTCATAATTAATTAAACTGTTTCAGACAAAAACATAATTAAAAACCCCATCCTACCTATTGCCAACCTCGCCACCACATCAACTATAGGAGTAGGATCATATCCAGAATTATCGATGGCATCGAAGAAACAATTTTTTTTTTCTTTTTTTTTGTTGAATTGTTTCCTACTCTTTTCTCCTAGAACCAAATCCACCAAGAATAAATTATTCCCACAGCACACACCAATCAGTACCTTCAAAACGTTCAAAATTTTAGAGCCTCTCCATTTCTAAGAAGCTATTACAAAAACTTCTGTGCTAGCAAGGCACAGTACCTGCAGCACATCACAAAACAAAGGATATGAATAGGATAATCACAGGTGAGTTCAAAGGAAAAAATAGTTTGCAAATCACCACTATAGCTTATCGTGCAATTTGCTAAGGAATCATAAGTCCCCACTCTCTTGGAGACAATTTACCTAGATCAAACACAACGGAAATGAAATGTAGTAAAAACCTAAATTTTACTTCAGTGTACAAGAGAGGACTAGGTTGCAAGTCCTTTTTAGAAAATATAAAACCCACAAACTATATATTTTCCCCTAGCTATTTCTTTCTTAGAATCTTTTAAGAGCTAAAAGCGGTCCAATAAAGTACCACGTTGTCTAAAAATATTTTCAACTGCAGATCATAGCATATTTTGGATGAAAGGGGCCCAGACAAAACTCCAGGCTTTTAATCGTTTCAAACACAAGCTTGAGTCTAACAGCACTGTGCAGATAATGCCAAATTTTAAGTCTATACCCACGTCTGCCCCTCCAAGAACCCTGGATTAACGAGGAGAGAGACTATGCAATACCCTTGTTTAACACAATTTGGGCAAAAAAACTCTATTTATATATTCTTGGAACCCAGATATAATGAAAGAATCACAAACAGAAATTCTGAAAGAATGTTAACCCACATATATCATCATATATCAATCTAATGTTAAAACAAAAGTATGAATACTAAGCAACATGCTTAAGTTACCTGAACATCATCAGCATCATTGTTGCCTAAATCCAATATGAACAGAATCGGCCACCTGAGTTATCTCTTAGTCCTACTCTATTATAAGTCATTTCTCCTATTACATTTAATTTTAGGCAATCATTTCTTAGTACTTCATCCCATCTGAGTTTTGGTCTGCCTATCTGTCTCTTATCTTCTATGCAAACTAATCTTCCCTTTCTTAGTGGTGCATCTATAGGTCTTCATTTTATATATCCATGCCCCCTAATTATGTTCTCTCTTATTTTATTACTAATACACGTCACTCCCAATTTTCCCTTCACTTCGATTAGTAACTTTCTCTCTTCTTGTAATACCCACCACTCATCTTAACATTCTTATTTCAGTTACATCAACGTCTTGTGTTGTTTCTTTTTCAATACCCAACACTCTGGTCCATATAATATAGTTGGCCAAACAACTTCCTATAGAATTTGCCTTTTAACTTATTTGATACTCATTTATCACATAAAACACCACCAATTTGTCTCCATTTTGTCCAACCTGAGCCAATCCTATTGATTATAGCATCATCTATCTCCCCATCTTTCTGTATTGTTGATCCTAAATATCGAAAATGATTATCTAGGTAATCCTTTGGTTTTGAATTGTCAACCTTATAATATCGATTCCAGACATTTTATTAAATTTCCATCTCATATATTCTATTTTAGTTCTAGTAATTTTAAAACCTTTTGACTTTAATACATTTCTATTTTTATTCCTATATTTTCTTTAGAAGTACAATATGTCATCAGCAAACAACATGAACCATGGAATGTATCCTTGTAGGCCTTTTGCTATTTCATCTAAAATTATTGTGAACAGATATAGACTTAGGACAAACCCTTGGTGCTATCCTACTTTTATTTAAAAATTCCTAATCTCTCCTCACATATAGAACGAAATCAAGTCTCTATATTTCTATACATATTCTAAATAGTCTTTATAAGTTGTATGGGGATTTGTTTTCTTTGTAAGGCCCATCAAATAATCTCTCTAATTACGATGTCATTATTTTCAACTTACTTAATACAGTATATTCCTCACTTATTAGGTGTAGAAAGTAATGTTTCCAATATCTATGATGTCATTTTCTTAAACTAAAGTTTCCTAATTTATACCCTGAGTGCATTTAACTATATATATATCTCTAGTTAACCCATCTTCACTCTTTGTTAATTTATAAATAGTTTTTTCACTCTTTAGTACCTAATTTTCCATATAAGTCATTTAATGTGTTTTGTTTGTGACTCATTTTTAATTTATGATATTTCTCTAAATCCTCCTTTTTTCAGTTTTTTGTAATTCTTTGCCGTGTTGTCGTGTCCGTATGATGTCACAAATTTGTCCGTATATATATCTGTGCTTCTTATACTCAAGGATCACCTTACAATCTTTACATGTGTCACATTCTCTTCCTCAATATAAACAATAATTGATTAGTATTTTATTAATTCCACTCTTAAATATTATTAAAGGTTCTCTTTTTTAAAATATATATATTTGTTATAAATAGGTCATATGCACCAATGAGCCAGTGGCCTAGCGGTATCAGGCCCTTACTTACCAAAGGGAGGTCAAGGGTTCAAGCCTTCATGGAGGCATGTGTGTTTGAGTATTAACTATGAAAAAAAAAAAAAGGTCATGTGGCTTTGTGAATTCTAAGGGTGTCTCTTCTGTTTCATTTCTCTCTCTAAAACCATGTTCTCCATCATATTGTGTATAGCCTCTTTGGTCAACTTCTACATGTCCATTAAAATCACCTACTATGAATATACCACCTATAACATACTTTTATGACTAGGTATATATTGCATTATTTCATATATCAACTCCCTTTTCTTTTTTCTTTTTTTTGGTAGTTTCATTTAGTGCACCTTGAGGAGCATACGCACACTTATTAAGTTACCAAAACATAAACGTGATCATTACTAGAAACGAGAATGAGAACAAACTTAAAGAACCGTTCATCTACCAATACTTGCATAGACCCTTATATATACATGCATGTATATATATATATATATATATATTTTTCAAAGTTAACTTTCATTTAGTTTACTAATACTGTACAGAAACTACACCCATAAAAGTTAATAGTTAATTTGTTATTGGATAGACAAAGAAGTACCATTGGTAATAATCAATCATTCACTGCCACAATCCTCATAACTCAAGCATTCGGATATAGTGTCCAACCTCTTATTGTCCCCTGAAACAGCAGGACACGAGTATCAGTTACCATCCTCTGTGATATGAGAAACAATGTGAGGCTGAAAACCTCACCTTGGTGTTCTCCCCTATCATGGGGGTTGAGAAAATTATCTGTATCTGCTGCTAAGAAGGGTGACCTAGTGTAGCTCTCCAATATATCTGAAAAGAATTTGAACAGAAAGACTAATATTAAGCACGGTTCTACATTGGGAAGTTGGTTGATTCAAGTAAATATATGTGCACAACAGGACTGAATGTTGCACTGACTCCCATATTTATTCACAAATCACAATCCAACCAGTAACTTGGCGTGAACCCTTTCTCATGCACTTAAATAATTGGCTCCCCTTGCAGTTTCTATATAAACTTTATACCACAGAGGTGAGAGAGAGAGAGAGAGAGACCAAACCCGAACTATTAGAAAAATCTGCGGTCAAGTCCGAGAGACTGAAGTTTCGAGGAATCTGCCCCAAAAAACCAAATGAAGAAGCGTCGGCATCCAAGACAGTTTCATTCATAGGTTGTGAATTGGACTCTCCATTGTTGAAAGATGAAACAGATGCATCCCCAATTGCAGGACGCATTTCCAGGACATTACTATCAGCACCAAACATAAATGGGGAACTGCCCGCATAGCCAGATTCTGATTTGATCAATCCCCCATTCGCTCCTTGTACAATTCCCACATTTGAGCTCTGAGCTAACAACATGTTTGGTGAAACATCAATTCTCCTGGCATGAGTAGGTAAATCAACAGCTGTTTGGATGCACGAGTGCAGTGACGGCCCACCATTGCTGAATGCATTAGGTAAACCATTACCAATAGGCTGGCACATGTTCTCCGGCTTCAGAGCAGGTCCTCTACGTTCTGGCCCATAGCATGACGAGTTCTGGTGCACTGAGAGTACATTGATTGAGTCTAGGAGTTGCCAAAGCAAGGTTAAAATTTTAAAGCAGATGTGTAACACAATACAGCACAGTGAATAGTCAACCCTCTCATCAGTCATAATTAATAATCTAAGGAGATCTAGAAATTATTAATTAACAGAATTATAAAAAGAGTTTACCATGAGAAACACATCACAATTATATTATTTCACCACAAAGATAAAACATGCATACATATTTCCAAGGTGGTGGACCTTTTCACACAAGACTATTTATTAGAATCTAAGCCATAAGATATCTCTTGAGCTCCTTTTATATGATTAATAGACTGGCATACCTGAACATATACATATTTATAAGTATTTGCCATTCTAATAACTAATACAATAAAAGGGTTTTTCCAAAAAATATATATATATTAAGTACTAGAATTATTATCATCTACCGTAGATTGTTCTCCCTATGGACACAGTATAAGACTTTTTTAAATATAAAAACAGAAAATTCTTGTATTGTGAAAGGTCATATAATACAATTTGTTTAGTGCTGGAAATTCAACATATTTATTTTGTTTTAACTTTGTGTTCCCACAAATTAAGTTTTTGCAGAAACCATCACCACAAATAATCAATTAGGAATTAGGACTAATCCAATTCATGTAATTATACTAGTTTCTTGTCAATCTGTTGGAAAGTTAATTAATTAATATAAATAAAAATGTATAATATTTATTGTATCAAAACTAAATAAAATCAAAGAGAGGTCAGGGGTTCGAGCCTCAGTGGAGGCATGTGTGTGTGAGTACCAACTAGGGAAAAAAAAAAAAAAAAAAAACTAAATAATTTTTCTTTATTTGTAACTTGATTTCTTACATACCCTGAGCTTATCAATATAATTTTTATCTAGGTTCCAGAAAGAAGCATTAGTTGTATGAATCATTGAGTTCACAATGATCTCATAGTTGAAAGATCAAAACCATCGTTATCAAAACTGAACTAGAACTGCAGGTTAAACTGGAAAACTGCCAAACTGAGGTAATCAATAGTTGACTCTAGCAAAATAAAGTAACAAAAACTTGACTGATGCTATTTGACCATAAATGATGCAATTTCCCATAACTATGCATTTTGACCAAACCCCCTAATTATGCAAGACTCCAAGCAGACCCCACTTCATCTAGCACGTGCCAAATTAAACTTTGAGCCTTAGAGCCCTCCTGCCACACCTTCTATACTCTTTAAAAGGCTGCTGCCACTGTTCTCTACCACCACTCTTTCTATAAACCTTTCTATTTTCGTTTTAAGTTTTTCTATGATGATATAAATTTATGTCCAATTTAACACAATTCCTTAATTTTTCTTAGAATTACACTCTTTTCCAGGCTAAATGAAGGTGTCATCAACATTCGAGTTTTATTTCTCACGTATTAGCACATGCCAAGATGTGTCAGCCATGTGCCCAAATTTAAGATTTTATTTTTAAAATGTGGACACATCCAAGGCATGTCAGTATGCCTGGGAGTGCCAAAGAAGTGTCATTAATGAACATGCATCTAATATGGAGACAACTTCTTAGAAGTGTTAAAATCAATCATTGATGCAAGATTAAATTTATACTAAAACCTGCCTCGTGATCAGAAGAAGACGTCCAAACTCCACCAGGATGAGAATCCACTACTAAGTACATGCCATAAAATCTGGATTTTCCTCTATGCTTCACTAGTTAGTTTATATAGTGATCCTTCCACCATATATCAAAAAGATTTCACACACATCAAAAAAATAAATCAAGAGATTTCACTGATTTCAAGACATAATATGCTACCACTTGATTGTGTAGGATAAAGTTAAATTCAGGTAAAAAAAAACAACAAGAAACAATTATTTTTCAAAGATAGCATCAACTGTTGATAGAGAATGGATGGGTAAGACCCTCGAAGTAAATCCAATAAAAATGCAAAATAATCAATTCAATATCACTAAGCAAAACAACATCAGATTTGAATATGAACAATTGAGTAATTGACTATCAGTATGCAGGCTCCAACAAGTTCTGCTCAATTTAAACATTAAAACTCCATGACTGTAAATATAACAAATTTCCAGTACAAACTACTTTCAACGGTGCTATCAATTCATCGCACAAAAATAGTTCTAACTAATGCAAATAAATCCCACAACACGTCAGGCACAATAAAAATGTCCAACTAGAAAGCAGTCTTACTTGGTGGAATATGAGATCCATTAGACATAGCTATGGAAGGAACTCCAGTTGGGCATGCCTGATGCATCAACTCAACCTGTCTCGCAAGCAACCTGTTAAATCTCATTATTTGTTCCTTCACTATCAATCTCAGATGATATGCCCTGAAAAATTCCTGATTTTCTTCTTCGAGCTTTTGCCAAACTGGAAAAAAGCAAGACATTACACTCTTTGAAGAGAAGAAACCTAAGAAATATATGACCACTACAAATGCATGACATATTGACTAGCTGCAGCAGTATCCAGATTCCAGAAGTCTACCTTAATGTTATTATGTTAGTGCAACATAAATGGAAACCTCCACAACTTTTACAATTTCTTTTATCGAAAATATTCACGCACAAGAAATGCAAATGTGCATCTTTCTAAAAGAAAAGGAGTAATAAGTTCCTAAAATATTTGTGGGCGTAATATTGACTATTACATCGCAATAGAACTGGTTTTACTTTTCTTTTTCTTTTTCTTTTTCTTTTTTTGTTGGATAGGTAAGCAATGGGCCCTACATGTTGGAAGTACTTCAAATTCATGAAGCTAGGTAATCAAGTAACCCATGAAGGAAAGACTATAATGGAAAGAAAGGGAGGAAATCATAAAAATTTGCATAGGAGGCTCTAGATTTACAAAAATTTCTCCACTAGACACAAACCAATGAAAAGAAATAGATGCCACATTCCAATTATTATTGCTATTGCTTTCCCTTGAATTCATTTACCACTAAGCATCCATACCACAACTTTAGGAATGATGAGGAAATACAAACAAGGAAAGGAATGAAGCAGCAGATCCAAGCCACTAAAAAATGAAATTAGAGATGATATAAAGATTCTTCACATTACACGTGCAACACCTATTAGGAATCATTACTAATGGTCCAAAATAGAAAAGGGAACTTTAGGAGTGGACTAACTCCACACCATGTCTGTTGAAATTTCCACTTTCTCCGAACCATTCAGCTGTTTGAAAAGGATTTGGCCAAGAAAAGGCCATTACAGTGTTACAAAGCTTTTCATATCATTACCATTGTGACCGCTACAAAAGTATTGGCGTCTAAAAAGCCCCATCACCTTATTGGATATCTCATGAATGAATTGGTGTCAAGAAAGTACATAAAATCAAGAAAGGAATAAAGAAACGACCAAGCAAGAGCAGAGTGAGGCATAACAAGATCCTCAAAATAGCACTCCTTCCATCCCAAAATTCTTGACCCTTCTAGGGATAACAACTTTTTGAAATTCAAAAACTACCCATATGAAGTTTAAAAACATAAATTGTTAGTTTAGGAAATTTTTCAAGAGTTAAGAATATTTTCGGAAATATACAATTTTTACAATGACTTTATAAATGGGAGATGAATTTTGAGACAGCCAAAAATGAAAAAAAGGAACGAGTATTTTGGAGACGTATGGAGTAGTTAAAAATTAAAAATCTAAGTCTGCGCCCATTTCCCAAAGCTATCAAAACTTTTTTGATTCACATTCTTCTTTTATTCCCTTTTGTGTTTTACTTATTGAAATCTCGATCATTCTCAAAGTTCCAAGTTGCTAACAAAACACCAAATATGAAGACGCAAAACATTGAAACAACTGCCCAAACTCTTTAAATGGTTTTACCTAGTTAACTCTCTCAACTTTCCAATGAACAAGAGAAAATATGAAAAGAAAAAGAAAAAACGTGCGTAAAAATTCAAGTTTCATTTTATCCATTATGCACTTAATACAAGTACTTAACCAGTCTACCTAACTATTAACGATTAACATACGACACAAGGTTGCCATCCAATAATACACCCAGTTTAAGAATCAGTCCTTGACCAAATTATGTGGAGCATCGGTCACCATTGTCACATATAATGTATCTGTAGTTTAAACATGTTTAACATATAGCTTTTGTTTACTGTGGTTTAAATAGTGACATGAAAACTATAGTCCAGGGATGTAAAAAAGTTAACATTATTCAATAGTAACTATCAACAAACGACAAAGATTATATGACTTGATAAAATTACTCATCATATGTCACAGTCCCATGGAATACATCCCAATGGGAGATATATGAGAGGATAAAATACAAGATAGTTACCAAGTTCAGTAAAACCGGGCTCTATTTTTGCCTGAATCAATAGGGTATTCACAACTTCTTTTTGGCTCATGTAAAGCTGGAGGCATCGTTCAATAAGATTTTGAACCTGAAATTGGTAACAGATAAGTCAAAATTGATTGATCGCGCCAGCAAACAGATTTTCTACGAAAAAAAAAAAAAAAAAGTTACTTAAACTACCTTTTTGACAGGAAAGTTTACTCAAATATCACTAGAAGCAAATCAATGAGACGATCAATAAAATGAAATGAAATGAAACCTGATATTGACCTGTGCCAGTCTGCTCAACAAAGACCAGACTGACTGGTTGAGTTGACTAACCATGGATGTGAGTTTTGAGATCCTTAAATCGTAAGTTCGTATTGTATAACACACAATGAATTAATTTTATTTAAAATAAATAAAAAGAAAATAACAAATTAGTATCAAATATTTCTATAAAGAGATTGTAATCATCATTTTTTACGACATTAGCTTATATTCTAAAAGAAGATATATAATCCTTGCATCATGGACTGCACAACAGAACCATCAACCAGAGTCTCTTTTGCAATTTTTTTGAATTAGTGCTATGTGATCTTTTTTCTTTTTTTTTTTTTTCATAATTTGCTATGCAATCTTCATAAAGGTCATTACAGGATACATGAAAAGTAATTTTTCATTTATTACTAGAAGGCTTGTCAATCTTCTCAATGAACAGCATATTTAAAAAGACATGAAAGTGAAGGGCTTGCTAGGTTTGTCACTCAGAAAATGGTACTCAAGAACTTAGAAAACAGAACTTTTTTTAATTGGGTTTTCAGAAAATAGTTATCAGAAACTGTCAACCAAGCAGATTTTTATACAGTTTTCTGGTTTTCAGTTCTCAGAAAAACTGAACCAAGCAGGCCAGAAATATCTAAAACTCAATGATTCGGTTGATTAATTGTTTGTACATATGACAATGCATTATATTAAGTTTTTATTCTATGTACTTGTAAACCAAATAGTAGTCAAGCATGACATTCTCAAGGAATTATTAGCATGTTAACATGACAAGAAAAGGCTAAAAGAACTTGCTATAAAAGAGAGACATCTGAAACTCGATGAGTAGACTTATCAGTTGTTTGTATGCATTTTGATGAATGTTTTTATCGTATGCACTTTTAGAGAAAATCAATATATAGTCAAACATGATGGCTTTATTCTGTAGCATAATTTAAGAACATAAATAACTTTGACGTTAAATTAAGTGAGGACTAAAAACAGCTCTGTTAATGGACAATAAATTATTTCCTTTTCAACATTGGATCACCATTACATATCACCACTACAGATAGATAAAAAGAAAGGAGAAAAACAGAGAGGGGGGAGGAATGGTCTAAGGTCGCATTTCTGGAATGATATATGGTATGGTTCATGTTCACTAACAAAAGGTCCCCGGTCCTTGTTACTATCACCTCTAAAGTTGATTAAATAGCAGATTGTATTAGGTTGGCTGAAAGTGTAACTATGTGGGAGCCAACATTTATCCAGATATTGCAGGATTGGATGTTGAAGTCAATGGATATTTTTTCTAAAATGCCGTACGGTGATCCCGTCCCATCAGCAGAGCTAATAATGCACTGAGGGCAAAAGATAAAAGCAGGACAAGTTTGAGTGAAATCCTTCTATAAAATATTGCATGGTGATGATGCAACTGGATTGCAGTCGATGGTCCTCAGTTATGGTATAGTACCTACCAAAGTGTATTTTTCACTAGGATTACGGCTTTGGAAATGGTATTAAATATGGACAGTATGAGGAATAAAATGCTTCGAGGCTGGTGTTTCATATTTTTCGCAGTCTATTCTTTTGTATGGTATCCTAAGCTGGCAGACTTACCAATATGGAATAAAATTGCTAACAAGACATCAGCAACAAAGTTCAAGCTCAAAAGCTTACCAGTTGTATATCTTGAAGTGAGACCTCCCTGACCTCTCCACTAGACATTTTTTCAGGGTTCCAAACCAAAGAGGTACTTGCAAAAGAAATTTATGGTGGTTCACTTTTCATGCTACTGTACTTTGCAAACCAAAAAATTGCTCCATCATTTTGGTTGGAATTTTGGATAAGCAATATATATCACCTGACACCAGATATCACAAAATATGTCCATGCAGTTAGCTACTTCCAAACATTAGAAACCAAAAAGAAGCCCAAAAACAATGAGCTTCACCCCTTAAAACAAGAACATTGCACAATTTACGGCATGTTATCAAAAGAAACCATAAGGCAACAAACAAACCCAGCAGACTCTGTTGCTCTTTTTACTTGAATTATTATTAGATTAGTCACAAGAATTTCATGTTACTTCGTGTTTGCACATAAAAAAGGCATTGGTTGCTTTATTGAAAATGTTCCAAGTTTGTAAATAAAGCACATAGGAGGTTGAATGATCGTCATGTTACAGCACAAAAGTTTTCAACAACAGCTGCTAAATCAAGTAATGGTCATCACTACCCTTCTATCAGCTGACATATTTCAAAATGAGTGTTAGTAGCTGCTGTAAATGCCCATAACAGGACATAACAGCCCTATGGACACATGAAATATACAGACCCTTCAATAATATTATAAAGAAACAACCAGGGCAAAGCTTCAACGTAATAAGTTCACTGAAGTGTACAGACCCTTCAATAATTAAATTTCACACCATCTCATGAATCTAGTTTTCCATCCAAATTTTTTTTACAAAATATAGAGAACAAAGAAAAAATTAACATGTGATCACTTTTTCAAAAGCTTAGGCTTTCTATTCGAATTAGGTACTTTTTACTAGGGTTAGGGTTTTAGAATTACAAATATACAATAGAGATTGATACTTCAGTGATCAAAAAATAATACTGAAAATGAAAAATAGCGCAACTGCTATGCAATAAAATCAAACCTTCACGATGTCGTACAAATCAAAAGAGGTGATCATCAGAAGATACACGACATATAACCTTATGTCTTTTCCTGCAACCAGCGGATCAAAATGAACATACAGATTATGGTGAATATTTATAATTATTATGTATATATATGAAATATGGTACTGTGTATATACACGTGTATTGAAGAATTACATATGGAAGTTGAAAGATTATCGGGATTGATAGATATTTACTTGATTTCGATTCGGAGACACCTCGAGCCTTGCTTTCTGCAACTTGAGAGACAGAAGGTGATTCTATTTGCTTTCTACAACTTCTCTCCTCTTTTCTTTTTTCTTTTTTCTTTTCTTTTTTTTCTTTAAATCCTCTGGTTAGTAGTTCTCTTGTTTTTTACTTACCAACTCCATTTTTTTTTTTTCCCTCCTCTTTTTTTGGTAGGTATTTTAGGCGTCACTTTACAAACGTTACCGGTTACTCTTGAGACGCGTATCAATCTCGAAAGGAGAACAGAACTGGACCCACCTGAGATCCAATTATAGAGACCGACTTAACCATTTGAGAGTAACGTGTTAAAAAAAAACACACAATGATATTTCATATTTAATTATTAAATTTAATATAATGGGTAGATACTCAACTAATAAAAAATAAATATTTTATATTTAATTATCAAATTTAATATAACGAGTAAATATAATTCACTTATCATATTAGAGATGGTGATTTGGTTATTAAAATAGAATATGTTCATTTATTATTGATACACATTAGAAATCCTCACTGATGAGAACAATATTGTTCAAAAAAAATGTATACATTTGTTATTGATCCAAATCAACAATGAGAATATAATACACCTTCAAGTAAGTGTTATAAAAAATTTGAAACTACCAAACAAATGAAAAATATATAATATGATAAAAGAGTAATGTTTTATTGAATTCTAGTTCATGACATTTTTCACGAGCTCTCTTTTAAATTAGCATATTATAATACATAAATTATATGATCATGTTCCTAATATTCGAGTGATCTCATTGTAAAAAATTTAAAATAAATCAATTTAAAATGTAATAAAATAAAAATATATGAGATGGTCAAATTTAATAGTTTAATTTGGTCAAAAGAAAAAAAGAAAGAGAAGGTAAAATTTTGTTTGATTCATGTAATCTATTATAAATGAATTTTGGTACGAAACTTCGACTATATAAAAGAAAACTCATAGAACAATGCAATAGAGTTTGGTCCTTCCTTAGTTTGTAACTTCCAAAACTAAAAAATGATTTTAAATTTGCTTGGATATTTCATAAGCACTTCTTATTTAATCATTAAAATTGAGATACAAATTTTAGATATGTGAAAAGTCAAATGAATAATTTAATAATCATTTCAATTCAATTATTAAATAAAAAGAGTTGATTTTCATTGGAAAAAAAATCTTTTTGGACCAAGGGCGAGCCTATTTTTTTTATATAAAAAAAAAATCTTATTATAGGGTCTTAAAATATTTGAAATTAAAAATAGTAAAAAAAAAAAAAATTAAATCCCGAATATTTTGAAAGACCCTACAGTATCCTATGAATATTTGAAATTAAAATGTATTGAGAACATTTATACTTACCAAAAAAAAATTATTAACAAGTAACTCCGCAAAGTTAATAAATAATCTCAATTTTGAATATTTACTTCAGCTTTGTAAATATAAATCGTCAATTTGAACTCGCAATGTCAATGGGTTGAGTGCTTGTGGACTCAGTAAAGCTTAAGTTATATGCTGACTTAAAAGTTTAAGTTATATGCTCAAAAGTTTAGCAAGTCACAAATTAAAAATGTTTGGGCTAAGTTGAGTTGAGAAATCTTTTGGGCTCACATTTAAAATTTTCAAGGAACTAAATTTTTAGAAAGATTATAAATATATAAAAATAAAAAATTTAGAACCATTCTATTGGTGGGAGGCTTGGAGTTTAGGTGACCGCCTAATTCGCATAAGGCTCCAGTGACCGTGTCTATTGATTCATGCCCTTCCATTCATGAAGCAAATACAATTGCTTCACTAGAACTTCAAAACTAAAGTGTTGTTTAATAAATTTGGAAATTAAATACTGAAAATTTTAAGTGTTGAAATTTAATTTAAGTGATAATTAAAAAATAAATAAATAAATATTTTTATATCTTTTGAAATTTTAACGTTTAGTATTTAAATGTGTCTTTCACTTTAAATTTTATTTTATTTTATTTTAAGTTGTGCTAACCGTATATTTTTCTTTTGTGATATTTAAATCAAGTTATCAAATGCACTAATTAATTGCAGATGCCTTGATAGCCTAGTGGTTAGTGCCTTCGGTAGATTTTGGGAGTGTCAGATTTCGACTCTTTGCACCTACTATTCTAACTTCTAACCTTTCTTACCTTAAAAAAATAATAATAATAAAAAAAAGCACTAATTAATTAAATAAGTGCTTAATTAATTGGGAATTAAATACTAAATTGATTTATCAAACAAAGGTGGCCAATGATGCTCTATCCCCTTATCTTGGTCTTGGAAGTTTTCCTCCTCCAATAGGATACAAGTATGCAACCAAAAAAATCAATAATATTTTGAATATGATTTACCAGTTATAATTTGTTATGGGTCATTTGGGTGGGAAGGACCACTTGCCATACCTAGCTTGGACTATTACTACACTCCAAATACAAAAGTTGCAAAACAAAAAAGGAAAAAGAAAAAACAATTTAACAAATTAAGGCATCCTAGCTGGTTTGGTTGCCGCATATCTAATTTTCGTGGTCCAATCTTTACGAGAATGGTTAACATTTTATGAGGTGCTAGCATTTTTAGTATTTTCAATCTCAAATTCCTACCTTGTTTAATCATACTTAATTTGTTATTGTTTAATCATACTTAAATAGGAAAGGGGGGATTTGATCTCGGTGCGGGTAAAAATGTGTGTAAATGTTTACGTGATGAAACAAAATAAAAAATAAAAATAAAAACAAAACATTTGACCTTGTCTACCAATCTTCTAGCCAATTAATTCACACGGTTCTTCAAGAAAAAAAAAATAAATAATGGAAAAAAAAAATAAATAAATAAATTGGGACTTAAACAAGAGTTCTCCTCCATGATTTGATTTTTCATTTCATAAATTACTGTTGGTTTGGTTGCATGGATGCTTACAAAGCAGATTTACATGCATGGTAAGACAAAATTAACAGTTCATGTGGATTTAAGAACAGGACTTAATAACTTACCAAAAAAAATTAGCACCTTAATAAGGTTAATAACTTATAATTATTCACTAAAAATCAATCGGACACCTTTTTAGGGTGCATAAGTGCTGATCTAGTAGCTTTACTTAGAATTATATATGCACATCAAGATATGACACATATATTGACTTTCATGTGTATGGTTTTAATAAATTATACACATCGTATTGAAGATAAATCCACCACAAGATCCACCATATATCCACATGCCTTTCACAAACGTACCGTGGCTTCTTTTCTTTCACTCTCTAAAACCATGAGGAGGAGTTCAAAGCTGTTTCTAAGTGCCTCCATAATTCTCCTTATATCAACCTTGATCTCGGTTATTCGTATTAGGTTTTTCGATGCTGATAAGAAGTACTTGTCCAATGATCACAAACAGTTTCAGTACCAGTACTCGGAAGTTATTCCGATCACCGGTGCGGTTGGACCCGAGAGCTTTGCCTTCGACCCACAAGGTGAAGGTCCATACACGGGCGTATCGGATGGTAGGATTATCAAGTGGCAAGGGAAACAACGCCGGTGGATCGATTTTGCCGTAACTTCTCCGGCTGAGGCCAGGTGAGCCATCAGCCCATCAATTTCATGCATGTGTTGTGTCATACCAAATTTGTAGGTAAAATTATAAGAAAGTGGACTCTCGGAGGTTTTGATGCACGCTTTTCAAATTTATTGACTTTGATCAAAATTTGATATGGAAATTTAAAAAATATTATTCATTTACCCAAACTATCCTCGGTGTCTTTGGGTACTATTTTTATACACATAAATACTATTTTTGTGCATAGAGGTAACATTTGTGTGATAAAAAATACTGCTCTATGTGATTAGAGGTACTATTTTTTAGCATAAAGGTATTATTTTTACGTAAGTAAAGTACCACTTTTGTACAAATATATTACAAAAGTATTGCTTTTGTGCACAAATATATCACTTTTTGTGCGAAGCATAATTACTACATGAATAATATTTTTTCATATCAGTTCATGAATTTGAATAGTGTTAGACTATTGGCTCAGTCTCAAAGTAATAAAACCTCCTAAAATCCATTATTTTTATAATTTTCCCAAATTTGTATATATTCCAACATGCAAAATGCATCACAATTCTTATCAAGTGTCCTGAGAACGCATTCTGCGTGATGCTCCACTTTAAAGGCTATAAAGGTGGTGTTTCGGTTATTTGTGTGCATGCATATTTTGAGTTTTAAAAACAGATTCTTCTTCGTGCATTCATTCCGTCTCTATTAATTTTTTTTTTTTTTTTTTAAAAAAAAATATTAAAATTGACTATCCAGCTAATTTTAATTCGGATATACGGTGTGTTAATTAAGGAGTATTAAATATTAATATTATTTGTTAAGTATTAACAAGAAGGTATCAATTTAAAGATTTTGTGAATGTCTCTCAACGGCATCAAGCCACCGAGATAATTAGTCATACTTTGTGTTTTGATGATTTTCTTCCCCTTTTTGTGTAGAATTAGCTGTCAAATTGGGCAGACAAGGTAATTAATTAATGAGGAATGCTAATAACAATTGTCAATCAATTCTTGCTTTGCTGCTGGTAATTAATAACTTTTTTCTAATTATTGGGGACTATAAAAATATACTATTTGAAGACCAAACTACCCTTTTATTTCATTCACTTTCCCTCTTCTCCTCACCGTATATATATCCACATACGTTTATATATATATAGGGCTGCAACTCGGGCGGGTTGGGCAGGCTAGAGACTTAATTCGGGCTCAGCCCATGTACAAAATCTTTTACCCAAGTCCAGCCCGAGCTCTAGCCCAGCCCATACTTAACTTTTCCACGCGCCTATATTCTGAATGTAAAAAATAAAAAAATTGTGTAGCTACAAGGACTCGAACAACATTCCTCCAAGAAAAATCTCAAACACTATCAACAAAGCTATTATACACTTATGAAATAACATAATTTTAAAATAAATATACTCTTTTCGGGCTCAGGCTGGGTTTCGGGCTTTATATAACATCAACCCAAGCCCAACCCGAATTTAATTCAGGCTCAGAATATCTAGCCCAAGTCCAGACCTAGAACAAAAAAACACTGCCCAAGCCCTAAAAATTTCGGGCTGGGCTCGAGTAAATTCGGGCTGGCCCAGCCCGAGTTGCAGCCCTATATATATATATACACATATATAACTAATAATCTCATTGTGAATTTTTTACGTTTTTTTAAAAAAATTCCTTTATTACATAGTATCTATTGAAAAAAAAAAGGGATAGAATTCACTATGAGATAATTAGTTATATATATATATATAAACTATATGGATATACACAAAGAGGAAAGATGAATGAAATAAAAGGGTAGCTTCGTCTTAAAATAGCATGTTTTATAGTCCCAAAAAATTAGGAGAAATATTAATTACAGTTATTCCTCTTAACTAATTATAGTAATTAAGGATGGAATTATGAAATATATGTATGTGTGTATAATGGGAACTATCAAGGTCCTTTTACCAAGGACGATGCATAAGTTTGCGCATGTCATTTGTTTTGCACCAGGTTTGTCCATAAAATGAACTTGTATGAACTAAAGCTTTGCAGGCTCATGCATCATGCTAACACTTTTAACATTACATCGAGTTTGTGAGCAGAGATGGGTGTGAGGGATCACACGATCATGATCTAACGGAGCACATGTGTGGGCGTCCATTGGGCCTACGGTTCAACGAAAGGACAGGTGATCTGTACATTGCGGATGCATATATGGGCCTTGTGGTGGTGGGTCCTGATGGTGGTTTGGCCACTAGGGTTGCAACACAAGCACAAGGCATTCCTTTCGGTTTCACCAACGCTTTGGACATCCATCCAACTACTGGAGTTGTGTATTTTACAGACAGCAGCTCACTCTACCAGAGAAGGTACAAAACATATACTCTCCTTTCAATGAATAATACATAAGCTCAAGCCCAAATTTGATAGTGTACGTTCACGTGGGCTTTAGGTTTGACCAAATTGGAAATTTTAACTGAACAATTAAGAAAAGTTTTCATGGGCCTAAAATGGCTGCAAGGGCTTAACATGGCCCACAGTTACATTTCCTTTGAATTTGATAGACTATACACACCTTTTGTTTGTGTAGACTTTTTATTGTGGGGCAAGGCGTTTGTACTGTTAATTGGGCCTTCCGGTTTTCATGATTTCATAGCATTTTATGATTCGTCAATTCATATCATTCAATGTATGTAGAAATCTATTTAGTCCTTGAATCTATAAAGAATACGGAAATAAAATAAGAATCCACTTTGAAATTTGAATGAAGAAATAATAAATAAATAAATAATAGTATTGTTTTTAGATATGTGTTAAATTTCGAAGCAAGTGTGTTTCCTGCAATGAGCCAATTCCATACTACTATATTTTATTAGTACTTTTGAGTTTCATGGATTGGGCTTTAATTACTAGGTTGAGCTTGGTACCAGCCCAGAAACGGTTGAGATAGGCCACACTTCAAAATGTAGTTTACACGTTTGTGTAATCACAGAAGTCATGTAATTTATGTGTTCATGGGATAAGCATCATCAATCACTATACATATATATATATATATATATATATGATTGTGATCCGAATTCAATACTTGAGATAAGTATTGAATTTATATTTGAAAAGATAAAACACTGCTGAATTAATTTCAAAGGTGACCCACTTGGAAGTTGAGATAAAGTTAAAGTTGTAGTAGAAATTTGCAAAAGTCAAAGGGCTATCTTCCCATGCGGCGCACAAGTCTTGGGAAGAGAAATGGATAAGGTCAGAAGGCTTAGATTTTGATGTAGCATCGCATTACCATTCCAGTAGAGAGAACACTAGACGTATGTGTTTGTGCTCTGTTATTGGTTTTTGTTTTTTTTTTTTTTCCTACCTATATTAAGCATGTTTTTTGTCATCCTCGTCACATGCAATTAAGTCTGGTCAGCTACTTTCACTAATTTTATACTACTGACGTAGTAAATATTAGTAGTATATTACAAAAAAACAAACCAATTAAGTTGGCTTTAATTAAATTAGTGGCAACAAAATTAATTAATGTAAGTGGTAATACTATATATTTATAAATTTGCAGGAACCACATCTCTGTGATAGTCAGTGGTGATAAAACGGGGAGGCTAATGAAATATGACCCTGAAAGCAAAGAAGTAACAGTTGTTCTGGACAATCTCTCATTTCCAAATGGAGTGGCATTAAGCCAAAACGGCGACTTCATCCTTGTTGCAGACACAGCCAACTGTAGAATCTTCAAGTTTTGGCTCCAAACATCCAAACTCCAAGTCTTGGCTGAACTCCCCGGATTCCCAGATAATATCAAGCGGATTCACGGAAAAGGAGATGAGTTTTGGGTGGGAATTCATTCGAGAAGAGGAAAGTTAGTGAGAAGGGTATTAGTGTCATTTCCTTGGCTTGGAAATGCAATGGTTAGACTACTTCCCTTTAGCATTACAAAACTACACTCGTATGTAGTCGCTAATTTTTTGAGAGGCGCCGGGTTTGGGTTGGGAGTGAAGTTGAGCAGCCAAGGTGATGTGTTGGAAATGTTGGAGGAAAATAAATGGAAGTTTATTAGTGAAGTAGAGGAGAGGAATGGAAGTTTGTGGATTGGATCCGTTAAAATGCCTTTTGCGGCAATTCAAATATTATAATATTAATCTTACACATCGCCAATACAATTATTTTTTTTAAGCCCATGCAAAATCATATATATATATATGTATCTTGGGCTGGAAGTTTATGTCCATAATTATTTTGAAGTCATTCCATATCGCGGTTGTTGAATACTCCCATCAATCAAAACGAGGTATTGTAGAATGAGGGGTTAAGGTTTGTCAGGGAGGCTAAAGATAATATGATATATATATATATATATATATATATATATATATTTCCACATGTACGTCTTCATGTACAGTTGACAAGTGTCCCTCTGCCATTAACATCTTGCCACATAGAATGTGACCACTGACCATGCACAACATTGAAAAAATTTCAACATCTATGCCGATCAGATAAGGTAATCTTATTTTGGGTAGACATCAATTTCAACACTGACATTAATCCCCTGCTGGTTGCTACAGTGGTCTCACTCATTGATGCTGCTACTTTTTCTGTGATGCCAAACATACCACTAGAAAAAATACAGTAGATGAAAACTACACAAACTACATTATTAAGTTGGACCACACATCTCATCTCATCATCAGCATCAGCATCAGCATCAGCCTGGGCCCCGGGTGGATCGGTTTCTTTCCGTGTTGATAACTCCGGAGTAACGCTTACGGGCCACCTTTGTAGCCTTGTGTCCACAAGTTGTAATTGGAGTGGGTCCGTTAAAATCTTCTTCCACAAGAAACGACTTTTGTCAACCTACTTTGTACTTCCACCAATTTCCATCCTCAATTAATCATGTGGCTTGCCTTTATTATTCATTTTATTTTTATTTTTTTATGGCCAAGATATGATGTTATACAAGACAATATTTCTAAAATAATATTTAATAGTCAATTTTATCATAAAAAAACAAAAAAAGCATATCCGGTTCTCAATAATATTGAATACACAATTTATCTATTCATTATTCATTTTATGAAGAGATAGGGTTATCTCATTTGACTCACAAAAAGAAAGGTTGGATCCAAGTATTCCGTCCGTCTTACTTACACAAAAAAAATTAAAAATTGAAAGAAATAAATTAAGAAACTGTTAGGAATTCTTTTCACTACAATAATATATGTAATCAAATCATATCAGCTAGACCATATATATATATATACGGAGTATATATTTGTGATTTGTATAGCGAATGGTCCTGTCTACAGTGCATTGCATCACCTATAACCGACAGATATATCTCTCATAAAAACAAAAAGAAAAATACTATCAAAGTGAGTGCTTGCAGGTACAAAAATATACTGATGGACAAAGTAAATCAAACAAACAGATGCACATGAATAAAAACCCTCAAACAATTGATCAAAACTTCTTAATTAATATTGTTTAGGCATAGCATCGAATACTATGTCAAATAGCTATTTAATATATATTCGTTATTTATTTGGCTTGTTTTTATTAATTAGTTAGATTTTTCCCTCCACATGAGTACTCTAACAACATTGCTCTAAATAAACCAAACATTCTAATGCATTAATTTATTCTTCATGTGGAGACAATGCAAAATGGTGGATGAGATGTATCCTAGACATGGGGTTGGTACAAGTCAGTGTATAAAAGTTATAAAATACAATAAAAAATAAATTATATTTTCATAGTCGGTCGAAATTCCTCCATAGCATCAATTTTCTAGTTAAAACATTCAGACTTCTGAAATTCCCATACCTTTGCTTGGCATTTTGCCCCACCCCAAAATAATTTATTTTATTTTATTTCCTTTCACTTATGAGATTTTTTTTTTTTTTTTTTTATTTTAAATTCAAAACGTCGATTTGTACTCTCAAACATAACTACGTACTATAAAATTTTCTTTTTATGCATTTTTTTGAATGCAACAATTTACGACACATCACACCACCTAAACTAATATTATCATATTTGAAAAAATAAAAAAATAAGTTACCAACTAACATTATGCCTTTGAATCTGTCTATAAGTAAGAAAAGGAATTTTCTAAAAAAAAAACAAAAAAAAAAAAACAAAACAAAACAAACAAAAAATAAGAAAAGGTTATTACATATGGCCATGGCCCATGGTTGTGTTTTGGCTCTAGCGTGTGGGAGAGACTGGTAGTTGAGGAGGACACGGCGATGATTCATCAAACGAGGTTGGACCCACATGTATGGTGATGTTGACTATGGGTCCCACTTGTTTTGACATGGACAGGATGGGAAAATTTTGCTGACGCGTCTCCCAACTAACTTCCTCACGCGCCACATCAGCAGCGCTTCGTTTGCTTCCCTTAATTGTTCACACTTCACAGACAGAGATACTAGTATTATCATCGTCATCACCCATGTTCGTTGCTCATAAAAGTAAGATGATTGTTTGCATGGGGTGGGGTCCATGGCTTTTTAAAGGAAGGTTTCAGTTCAGGTAAATATGGAACTTAGAAGTAATTACAGTTTGGAGATGCAAGTATAATTTAGTAGTGACAAAAGTTTATTAGCGCTTCGTTTGCTTCCCTTAAAAGGATAAAAAATATTTTACTTTAAAAAGTTGAAAACAAATGAAGATATTAAACTCACTCTTAAATTGTATTCACACGGCTTGTTTAGATTTAAATTATTTTACATGTCCTGCATTATGTTATTATATTTCAATATTGACCTAAATTTTTGTCAAATATCGATAAAAAATATTTTACTTAAAAAAGTTGGAAACAAATGAATATTAAATATCTACCTAACCAAGTGAATCAAAATTTAATTTTTTGCTCAGTAATAATCATTGAACTATTTAAAGGAGAAGATTGATATTTCAAGTTTCTATAAAGACATTGTGAGTGTGTTTTTTTGTTAATTAATATATATATATATCAACTATTATAATCCAATGATTTTCAAATGTATAAGTAATTTTAAAAATAATTTTGAAACATGATCCATGTAACTCTTGGTTTTTTTCTCTCCTTCTCGTTAGAATTTTTTTATGGGTAGATATCATTGGAAACTTTTGTTTTTATCTTTTTCTTATTTTTCTCAATCAATTTCATAACTAAATTTTTACCTATTCATTTTCAACAAATCCGATTGTTTTGTGTACAGACATACAAAATGATAAGATTCAAAATTCCAAATTATAGTTTTTTTCATAGACAATTGAGATTAGTTATATCATTTCAAGTTGTGAACCAAACAAGTCTGCGGTGAAAGTTTTAAAATACAAGGATTGAAATACGTAAGTAATATTGTTTTTATCAAAATATATAAGTAATTTTAATGCTACAATGTATTTTTTGGGGCTTTCTTAACAGCAAGTCAATCATACAGTATTCTTCGGACAATTGTAGCAAATGCCTAAACGGTATTTAATATTTTGTTTATATTAAAATATTACTTCTCCCTCCTTATTAGTAGTCCATTTTTTTATTTTTTATTTTTTTATATGTCCCAATTTAGTTGTTCTCTTTTAAAAGTCAAAACATTTTTTCTTTATATTTTTATCATTGTCCTTTATATTTTTAAAAAATTTCAAACTCTGTAACTATATATATTTAAATTAAAAAAGACAATTTGATAATTTAAAAAGAAAATAATGAATTAATTGCACGTGCTCTAAAAAAGTTATAAAATTAAAGGTGGATAATTAAAAAGGGATAGAGATAGTAAATAATATGATATAAGAGACTATTTAGTCCAATGATATAACCTTTAATTTAAATAAATAAAAATGAAAGCCGTACAAATGTAAAAAAAAAAAAAAAAAAAAGTGACAATTCAATGCCCTCAAAATTGATTAAAAAAAAATGAAATATAAAATTTTAATTTATTGTAAATGATTTTTAATTCATCCCTCCCAATCACTGGGTAGTCAGTATTAAATAAGTCGCACTTCAGTATAACTTCTCTCTTTTCATAATCAGTATCACAACTGGATTTTCACATCATCCATCGTTTCCGATATTATCGAATAAGTTTAAAAATTTCCTAAATCCACACAAGATGATAAAATTCAAATCATGGTGCTGACCACAACGCATCCACGTGTCCTAAAGTTATAAGAATATTATCATATTACAAGACCACAAAGGGGCACTGGTAGTAATAGTTACGAACTCCCGAGGCATTTGCATATTCCCTTCCACGTCAGGGTCTGAATCTTTCTTCTTGGCTGCCATTTCATTGCGCCGAACACCGCTTTATATAGTTATTTATATTCAACCGAGTCGAAAACTCCAAATTATAAAAAAGCAGTAGAGAGAGAATTCGAGAGTGAGAGAATACTGGCATTAAAAACTTGGCTATAGGAGCGGGCACAGCAAATGAAGTTCGGAGATGGCTCTAATGGCAACGACGGCCAAGATCACTAGGGTTCTGAGCAGCCTAACCAACAAAAACTCGAGTATCCTTTCTGGGTCTCTCTCCAATGGCGTTTTACCCAAGATTCTGGTCGACCCAGTTGGAAGTTTCGGGTCATTCTCGTCCTCTGCCTCGGCGACTCCTTTGGAATCGGAGTTGGTGGGTTCAAGACTGCTGGGACTGAAAGATTACGAAGATTATAGGAGGGCTCTGTACGGTGGCATCACTCACAAGGCTCTCTTAGTTGATGTTGCTGGCACTCTTCTTGTTCCTTCTCAGCCAATGGCCCAGGTCGATTTATTTGCTTCTTTTTAATGTTTTCTCTCTCTAGAATTCTTTGCTGTGTTGTATCGTAGTCTTTTTTATCCTCTCTCAATTATACGCAAAACCCATTTCGTCTTTGTTCTCTCTTCAATTTTTGGGAATGTTGTTCTGTTGCGTTGAAAATTTACAGAAAGATTGGTGAGAAAGACGGGTCATTTGTTGTTTCACTTTTATTTCTTCTACTCTCTCCTCAATTTTTCGGTTTACTTCCTCTTTCTTGATACATGGAGTGTTGTTTGTTGTGTTGTAGATATACAGAAAGATTGGTGAGAAATATGGGGTGGAGTACTCCGAAGCTGAGATATTAAACAGATATAGAAGGGCTTATGAGCAGCCTTGGGGTAGATCTCGACTCAGGTACTATTAATTTTACCCAGTTTAACCTTTTTTTTTTTTTTTTTTTTTTGGGTCTTTCTAATGAATGTCTGGACCTTAATTTAATCTATACATAGGGGTTATGGAATTAAATTAGACGATGCAGAAATTAAGTATGATTTCTTACGATCAGTTTTGTTGATATATGAATGAAGAGTAAGAATAAAGTAACTTCTAAGTGCCATCCAAGAAGTTCCTATTAATTGATGACTACTTTTCTTTTTGTTTTGGGTTAAAAGTTATGATTATTTCACTAATGGGTATTGTGATTTGACCCACCTTTAATTGTTCATCTAACATTTTTGGCATTATATGTGGATGTATCTATATTTTTTCTTTTACATGCTTTGCTTCTTAATTTTTATCACTTGCACAGGTAAATCAGTAACCTGTAACACATCAATTCTTGTATAAAATCCCCTCCCTTTTCCTCTCTGTACGGCACTGGAATTATAAAGTTCATCCTTAGCATAACCAATCTTACATGTAATATTTGCATAATCTTTTAACTATGATTTAGTCATAGATCTAAACAATCTTAACATGAAAACATAGTTAGAAATTGAGAATGTTTAGTCTAAAGAACCTATATAAATATATTTTTGGATAAGTAAATTTTATTGAAAAAACCGCTCAAAAGGGGAAAAAGAATCTATATTTCAAAATTGTATGATTTTTTTTGAGAAAAAAAATTCAAGAGATGAAGGAAGTTTGGATGTTAATTTTCATTTTTTTGACAAGAACTATTTTGTGACATTTCAAAGATTTTGTCTTTCAATTATGAAAAAGAAAAAAAACGAAAAGAAAAAGATTTTATCTTTCTACCAATATCTTTGTTAAGAAGAATGATTCTCTCTGTCAAACCATGTGCTTGTGGTCACGCCCTTATTTAAAAGTGTTGGAATCAAAATTATCCTTTTTTTATCTGTCAAACCATGTGCACATGGCCACTCCTTCCGGATTCTTACTTTACAAACTTGCACTTACTGAGATGGCTTTTATTTTCTTCTCGTTTCTAAAACAACCACACCCCTAAGTTGATTATTAATTTCATTTATGTTTTGTCATGGTTGCATGTTGGGTTTCTAACTTTCTACAAATTTACAAGATGATGGGCCCAAGACGTTTAAAATTGTTTAAACTTACTAAAATTGTACCTGTCTTTTAATCTTCTCCTGTCAATCTGATCTACTGCACTTTCACAGTTGGTACGTCTTCTGAATGTTCTCATAATCTAAATATATAACCTTTGACATTTCTCCGGCTTCATAGGGAGAATTATATGTTTATTTTTGTTTGGCAAGAATTTATTCTCTGTCCTGTTCTGCTATTTCTGACTAAAAGATTGATTAAATTGCAGATATGTTGATGATGGGAGACCTTTCTGGCAATTTATTGTTAGTTCTTCCACTGGCTGTTCAGATTCTCAGTATTTTGAGGAGCTATATAACTATTATACTACTGAAAAGGTACGGTAGGGTTAAGACATCAATTGGTTAGCATTTTTGAAGCAATTTTCTTACTATCGGATTTTTGCATAGAAAGCCTGTAAAATCCTTCCAAAACGCTAACAATATACTGTTTTACTATTTCTTGTAAAACATAATAAATAATGCCAACTCTTGAATATATCTTGACATGGTCCTTTTTTTTCCATCCTTTTCTGATGTTCTTTTCAATCCAAAGGCTTGGCACCTCTGTGATCAGGATGCTGAGAAAGTATTCAAAGCTCTAAGAAAAGCAGGTGTCAAATTGGCTGTTGTGTCAAATTTTGACACTCGATTGAGACCTCTTTTACGGGCTCTGAATTGTGATCACTGGTTTGATGCTGTGGCAGTTTCAGCTGAAGTAAGTAATAGTTTCCTATCCACTCCACTCTCTTCTTTTCCTAGATCTTCTGTGATGGGTGAATATCTCCTTGGTTCTTTATCGCTCTCTTACAGGTTGAAGCAGAGAAGCCAAATCCCATGATATTTATAAAAGCTTGCGAGTTATTGGGAGTTAAACCAGAGGATGCTGTTCATGTAGGGGATGATCGTAGAAATGATATATGGGGTGCCAGAGATGCAGGTTGTGATGCCTGGCTTTGGGGAAGTGATGTCCACTCCTTGGAGGAGGTAATTAATGGATTTACATCTCATGCTAGTTGTTACATGACCTGCATATTTCTAATGGCTGCTAGGAAGATTTCTTCTGCCCTATTCCAGAATTTTTTTCTCTATGTTACTCATGCTGCATTGGTTTGGATACTAATTACCGAAATTTGATGGATGTGATTTTTCTCTCCTGTTTTTTCCAGCAAAGGCTAGACATGGCAGTATGTTTAAATAATATGTTGTTTAACAGCTGCGCTTGTAGAGTCGAATGGTATTTCATTCTATAATTGTATTATACATACGAAACTAACATACCAACTTATTGTGATTACAAATTTAGCAAGCTCTCTTTGATAAAGCTCAATGAATAATGGTTTAAAAGAAAAAGAAGGAATATATTGGAGTGATTACTGGACTGCTGGCATACATGCTGTTTCCCACTGCATATTAATAAATACAAGGCAGAGTTCTCTAGCCTTTATTTTCAAAGCCTTTTTAGGATAATTGTTGTGAGATACATTTGGAACATCATTACTAATGGATGAGTTTTAACAACCAAATTGTTAGCGTAATGAACTCCTTTTGCAACTGGTAGTGTATTCTTGGGCCTATTGGTATTGGTATTTTATTCCAATATTTGATTGTGATTTCCACTGGGCTATATTTGCAAGTGCATGGTGGAACGTTATGATTCCTTTTCTTTTCCCTTTTTGTCTTATATATATATATATATATTAGAGAAACTGTTTAAACAATTGTCACATATTAAATCATGTTTGACTTATGGCTTAGCTAAAATTGCTTACTTAGAAACTTGGCTGATTTAAGGTAATCCACTTGGTTTAGTTTCAAACTTACCGAGTCACCTTTTATTACAAGGGATGCATAGTATTTTCCTGTTGTGAATAGTTTGACAAGTTGTAGGTTAGTGATGGTGCGTTCGCTGATGCAGGTGGCTCAAAGGATAGGAGTGCAGATCTGAATAAACATTGCGCGACATCGGAAGGGTGTTTTCAATGTATAAAGTGCTTTCTTATGAGTTGTATATATTTTGGTCTTTTGTAATATATATGAGAGAGATCAGAGAGGTGATGGTACGAGTAATTTGATAGTGCAATGTAGAGCAATTAAATGATGGCATTAGCAAAGACCATTTGGTTTCTTTATCACCTTCTACATCCAGCTGCTGCTTTTCATGATTTCTGTCCATCTGATTGGCGAGTTTCTTTATTAAAGGAATTTCCTTTTGAGACAGACCTTTAATAAAAGTACGGCCATAATTCAAGATATCAAGAAAACTTTGAAGTTGCTAACATGCAGTATGAGCAAAGTAAAATTGGATGATTGACATTTGACAATCTTGTTATCAACCAGTGTTGATGATTACCCAAAAAAAGAAAAAGATGAATAGAGTTGGTATAGAAGAGAATCACATTCAGGAAATGGGACCTGCGCATTCACATTCCCTTCTTATCCATACAGGAGCCATAATGGATGTTGAATCTCAGGTTAATGCACTTTCCCACCCTTCCAATGTATTCGGATTTTGGTTTGCCTTTCAAACTCTAAAAAGTCCCCTCTTTTTTTTTTTCTAAAAAAAAATTAAAAAAATAACATAACAACTCGTGTCAGTATTTTAATTTTTCTTTTTCGCATTTGTCCGACTTTGGGCGTATTCGATTTGTTAGGATGAATAACAATGGGTTAGTGGTCTTTGGCATCTCTTTTTTCTATTTCTGGGTTAAAATTATTATTTTTAAATTATATTTATATTAGATAATGATGGAGAAACTGGACAAATTAATTTGGGTAAACTACAACGCGTTCCTCTAAAATTTAGTTTAATTGCTGGTAAACTTGAGACTCCCTTGGTCAGATTTTGATGTGAATTTACTTATGTAAAACCTAAAATATCTAGCTACATTAAATTACACGTTTGCCCATATTAAATTTGTTTTTTTTCCCTTCTATCCTGTTCCTCCTCTCCGCCAACGCCAGACCCTCCTCCGCCACCATCACCGGCCGCGATCCCCCATCACAGCCACATCTAAAAGCACACACACATATATATATTTATATATACATACACATGTGTCTCTTTTTTCTCATCTTCTCTATCTTCTCTCTGTCAACCTAGACCCACGCCACCTTATTCCACCACCTTCACCGGCTACCACCCCATCACCGCCACGCCAACAGCCGTCGAATTGGGGTTAGAGGGAGAAGTAGGATTGCTGAATTTGGTGGCCGCTGGCACCGGTGATGGAACTCACCCACCTGGCTGTCGAATCTGGCAGCGATCCAATCTCCATTTAACGTGCCTTAGATCGAACAATCATTACGGTGAGACAACCCGAATCCCCCACTTTAGTCATCGTTTCGACCATCTTAGCAAACCCTGCATCAATTCGATGTCTGTCGCTTAAGGCACCGTGGAATGGATCCACCGCTTCCAGAACTGAGGCCCAAGACTGACTATATATATCCCAGCCTTTCATATTGATGATGCATGATTCCGCGGTGACCTGAAGCGTCGTACCTGCAAAAGGTAAAATGACTTTTATAGAAATTTGTGTCGTACCTTTTCTGTTGACCAGGATGTCTTCTTTATAGAATGTCAAATTATATTAAAATAGAAGTGTTATACTTTTTATTTCTTATTTTTATTCTTATTCGAGATACTGTAGTTTCTTATTTCTTATTTTTATTCTTATTCTTATATTAAAATAAAAGTGTTATAAACTTGTGTGACCGTCAAAACACCTTACCCCAACACACACGCTAATAACTAAAGTTGTTATGTAACATTTGCAGGATGATGCCCAATATGCAGCATTTTCAGCGTCAATATCATCATCATTTTGCAGCTTCCATTACAGGCAAAACGGGACTAGAACTTCAAACCCTCACACACAAAACCAGCTCTCTTTTTTGCGTCGTAGTTGTATATTGGTAGTGAATAAGAGGGCAACTTTTGAAACTTAAATTAGGATTGTCCTTTTTTTTTTTTTTGGGTTTGGAAATTGATGGAGTTGGTGGTGGTGGTGGGTGAGTGGAGAGAGAAATTGAGAGGGAGAGAGAAAAGGGCAATTTTGTACCTTACAACAAAGATTTTTTTATTTTTTTGTGTAATTTGATGACACAAAAGGGTGTGATATATTTGCAACAAAATGACTAATTTTAAATTTATTTGTAACAAAATGACTAATTTTAAATTTATTTGTAATTAGATCTAACATAAAGGTCATTATAGTTTGCATTCTTAACTCAAACTATCATATAGTATCTAGGGAGGAATTAGAGGATAGGAGGAAACAAATTGGGCCTTATTTTGGACCAAAAGTGTGTGTAACGTGCTTCTGACAAGTTTGAAGAGATAATACATCTGGAAATCATGCAAGGGAGGGTATTCCAGTAAATTCGTTGCGATACAGTAGAGTATTTACTAAAGGCGGGAAAATTCTGCTAAAGCTTCCATATGGTGAATTTGGAAGTGCGGCCTCCGTGAATCGATCGATAGGAGAAAAAGAGAATGGAGAGAATAAATGTAGCAGTTAGATCGAGGCCTCTCTGTGTGGAGGATGCCAAGAACAGCCCTTGGCGAATTTCCGGCAACTCCATCTCCATCCCTAATCACTCTTTCAAGTTCGAATTCGGTACACCTCAACCCTAACCACTCTTTCAAGTTCAAATTTGGTACACCTCTGTCTATGTGGGGAGGGTGTGTATATATATAAATATATACGCGTGTATCTTTGTTGACATTTCATTTTCTTGGCCCTTAGATCGGATTTTTGGGGAGGAATGTAAAACGGTTGAGGTTTACGAGGCTCGGACCAAAGAAATTGTTGCTGCCGCAGTTCGTGGATTTAACGGTAGCCTGAGTTCATACATTCATTTATATCATTAAAGTATAAACAATATATGATGCTTCACTTTTTATGTGTGTATACTTTTTGTTATATCAATTTATTGCGGAGTGACTGCTGACTATACCCTTTCTGAGGGTAGACTATTTAGGATGTTCATTGGTTGGTGCCCATGATGGTTGTTTTTTGAAAATTCAGAATTGCTATTGTGTGTCTGCAAGTCTTTGTGGTTGTGTTGGGATATGTTTAGCCAATTAATGGGTGAATTGTAATTATTTTCTATGTACTTCCCCCAGTTAATCTTTGTTTGTATATTAATGCTGGATTCAACACCTTCAACACTCGGGTTCAAGTTCGAATGAAATAAATAATAGAGGTAGAATGAAAAATGCATGATTTGACTCACTTATGCATTGGTGATAGTGCTTTCGTAGACCATCATCAAACAAGAATCTGCCTAGGTCCTAGATGGTTAGGTTCCTCTCATATTCAAATATCAAGCGAATTAACTTTATTAAAAATTGTATATCCTCATAAAGACTAAAATTTTGGCTGTTTTAAGCTTTAAAAGGAATTCTATATATTTATCTACAAACATTGTTGCTAGCAATGAATTAAAAGAAGATTACTTGTTAACTTTATTTAATTGCTATCTTCCTTTATTTGTTACTTAATTTTGATCTTGGACAAATTAAGTTTACAAAGGAAAAGTTTGTAGACTTAATAATTTGGTACTCTGAGATCAAATTTGACTTAATTTAGAGTCTACGGGAATTTGCTGCTCTTGCAAGCGGCTACCAATGCCAATCCAGGAAGATCGGTTCTTTAGAAAACTTGATTAACTGGCAACGTCAATGATCTATTTGAGTGTCATAGGTTTGTTGATCATTTATTAAAAAATGTGAGCATGTTTCATTTATATGTAGATTAATATAGTTGCAGTGAACTTTTTGTGTAAACTAGACGTGGGTTATGCAAAATTCCTTTTATTATGATGCAGTGATTTGAGATCTTTATATGTTATTTTATAGTCATATTGTTTGATTCTGGTACCAAAATTTTATAGATAAAGGTGTACTTGGATCTCATAGAACCTTCTTGCCCGTATTTTTATAACCTTATTGATACTGTCGATGTTTATTGAATTTTGTTTGAGGTATGAATCCTAGGGCACATTGGCACTTGTTCTTGCTGTCCTGGTACTTTGAGATATCATTAGTACTTTGTCTCTTATGGATGTAGTTTTAAAACTCCACTTTTTAGTTGTACAGGCCAACCGAGAATGCTCCAAACTTTTGAAGGCTAAGCCGTATTACCTTATTTTATGACAGGCAAGGCTTGTTCAGTCACGAGCTCTTTTAGTATTGCACTGTTTTTAGTTAAGAAACCATATGTTTCTCTTTTCTTTTTACTTTTTAAATGACTACTGATTAACATGCTCTTTATTATTTCACGTCCCATGTATTTGGTATTCAAGTTTCATGCGTTTATGTTTAACTACTTGCATTACATGTTTTAATGCTTGATTCTCAATACTTGTCAATATCATTGTAAAAACTGGAATGTATTGCTGTTTGCAAGTAGTAAGTTGTTCGGAAATATCATGTGTTTTGGTATTCAAGATCATAAGTTTATGTTTAACTACTTGGCACTTCAATCTCTCTCCTGCTTAAGCTCCATGTATTTGGTATTTTAGGTTCATGGGGTTATGTTTAACTCCTGTTTAAGCTATAGGAGGCGTTGGCACTTTAAACTCTCTAAACAGTTGCTCTCTTGTAGGTACTGTTTTTGCTTATGGGCAAACCAATAGTGGAAAAACACATACAATGCGAGGTTCGGCTACTGAACCAGGAGTCATCCCGCTGGCGGTGTATGATTTGTTTGACATTATACAAGAGGTAAGAGGTAAATGTTACTGTTCTAGCACCTTTATGCTAATAACATTTTTTTTTCTTTTCTTTCCTAGGCATGTCAATGCTTTCAGTTTTCAAACTGTTTTTAATTTAACTTGTCACATAATTAAATTATTTGTTGGTTTTTCATCAAGTCACCTGACGAGGCATCCTGTCACTTGAGCACTCTGAGGGTGGCTCTTAGTAACTGACTGGGTAGCACCTATTGATTAGGTCTTAGGATGTCAGTTGGTAGTCCGTGAGGCATGCCTTCATAGAAGATAAGGATAGATGAAGCAACTATATTGGTTATTGTGTGTTGTTTGGCCTGCACCTCAAACCAATATAACTCTATATTTTTTGCCTGATCACCGTAACAAAGTCTTTTTGGCCCTTAGTAGTGATCTTGAAGTCAATTCTTCTACTACGCACTCCAATAATTTTTTTACATTTGTTGAGTTCTTAATGGATTGGTCATCTAATAACAGATTTATACTAAAAATTGTTGTTTGAATATCTATGTACAATCCTACTTTTTCTTATATTTTAGGACATGGATCGGGAGTTTCTTTTACGAATGTCCTATATGGAGATCTATAATGAAGAAATTAATGACTTGTTGGCCCCTGAGCATCGAAAACTGCAGATTCATGAAAGTATTGAGGTAATATATTTACTGCACTGTGAACTCATAGGGGCATTCTGATATATATACTTGCTGTCAATGTTATTCTCATTTTGTTCAATATGAAGCGGGGAATTTTTGTTGCTGGCTTAAAAGAAGAAATTGTTGCCTCTCCAGAGCAAGTCCTTGAACTTATGGAGTTTGGAGAATGTAAGATTTTGGGCATATTTATTCTCTCTCTCTCTCTCTATCTTAATATTCTTTTTGTAAGTATTTTTCAAAGGCACATTTTCTTCAAACCATATTGGTGGGTCTCATGCTTAGGCTTGTTAAACAGATTCGACCTCAAACTTTGTAGTTCTTTTTTAATTTTTTATTAAAATAATTTAAATTCCTTTCACATCCACGCCAATTCTCATTGTTATGAAGGGTTTTATCTCTCACACATACATCCAACTTCCTACCCTCTTTTGATGTCTAACTGCTAATATTTTATCCAAGGGATATTATTTTTATACTCCTCCTTTGGAATTCATTTTACAGCTCATAGGCATATTGGAGAGACAAATATGAACTTATACAGCAGTAGGTCTCATACAATTTTTCGTATGGTAAAGTTACTATTCCTTTCAATCTCTTATGGTTCGTGAATATATAAGTCACCTGCCTTAATTTATAGTCACATAGATAATTGAGAGCAGGGATAAATCTGAAGGTGAGGATTCAGGCATTTCTTGTGATGCTGTCCGTGTATCTGTTCTGGTATGCAATCATTGAGAATTATATATTCCTCTTTCTTGTTTCTTTTCCTTATGAATCACTACTTTTTGTCAAATTCACTATTGCATGATAATTTTTTGCATGTGTTTCCCTGCTTATTTTTTTATCCGTGCCCGTCCATTTCTAGAATTTGGTGGACCTTGCTGGCTCAGAGCGTGCTGCGAAGACCGGTGCAGAAGGTGTTCGTTTGAAAGAGGGCTCTCACATTAATAAAAGCCTGATGACACTTGGAACTGTAATTAAGAAATTGAGCGAAGGCGCTGAGAGCCAAGGGTAGGTTTGCAGTTCTTCCAGTTCTAGTACACAATGAGTTTTTCTTCCTATACTTACTATACATCACAATATCCGATGCAGGAGTCATGTTCCCTATAGAGATAGCAAACTCACACGTATTTTGCAACCTGCACTAGGGGGGAATGCAAATACTGCAATCATATGTAATATTACACTTGCACAGGTAAATTGAAGTCAACTCAACAAATTTTATTTTATTTTTTTTTCCCAACATTTTGAGATTTATTAAAATCTTGTTTCACCAATTTGCTCTAAGACCATAGTAGTCAAATCACGTGGTATCAAATCATATTTCTACCATCACAAACCTTGTTTTGATGTTTGTCTCCCACTAGCATAAACTTCAATGTGGACCATGCCACTTTTCCTTACTGTTTTTGTTACTGGTCTTCACTGCAAATAGCCAAATTATCTTAATCAGTTTTCTCTCATTTTATCTCCAACAATACTACTTCAACTGTTCACTGTTAGAAGATGCTATTTTTGGAAAATATTATTATAGGAACCCTTGACAGAATATTTGATATGAGAATATCATAGGAGAGATTTTAGCCTATGATAGAATATTGATTGGAGTGATTTATGGTACTGATTTTAGGAATCTTTCATAAATGTATTTTCTATATTTGTCACCTCTATTCTTTCACCTATAAATAGAGGTGATCATTGTATTCAAAGATTAAGAGATAATATATTATAAAGTGATGTAGTCCTTTGGGCTCTTTGTGCCGTGGATGTAGGCCTTAGTGGCTGAACCACGTAATATCCTTGTGTTCTTCGTGTTTCATTTCTCTCTTCCCTTCTGTTTTATGCTTTACAATATGGTATCAGAGCCTAATTTCTCTTCCTAGGTTTGGACCCCTATTTTGGGGCATTCCCTTAGTATCTGAAATGTTGCTAAGGGTTTCTCGGTTCTATTTGTGACTTATTTGGGCTGCCGGTGTGTTCGGTAGCATTGTCTTCGTCTTTGCCGTGTTTCCGGCAGTTTTTATTGACTTGTTTGGGTTGCTGGTGTGTTCGGTAGCATTGTTTGTAATCTTTGCCATGTGTTCGGTGCTATTTGGACTTATTTGGGCTACCGGTGTGTTCCGTAACATTGTTCTTTGCATTCACCGTGTCTCTAGCAGTTTTATTGTCTTTTTCCAAATCGTTGGAAAAATGATCTGTTTCATGATTTGATATGCAAGCTGAGCGTTATGTCCATACACCCTTCAGCTTGAGGGGGAGTGTTAGAAGATGCTATATTTGGAAAATATTATTATAGGAACCCTTAAATTACTCCTTGATAGAATATTTGATATGAGAATATCATAGGAGAGATTTTAGCCTATGATAGAATATTGATTGGAGTGATTTATGGTATTGATTTTAGGAATCTTCCATTAATGTATTTTCCATATTTATCACCTCTATTCTTTCACCAATAAATAGAGGTGATCATTGTATACAAAGATTAAGAGAGAATATATTATAAAGTGATGTAGTCCTTTGGGCTCTTTGTGCCATGGATGTAGTAGGCCCTAGTGGTTGAACCACGTAATATTTGTGTGTTCTACTTATTTTATTTATCTCTTCACTTCCGTTTTATAATTTGCAACATTCACGAATATTTTCATTTCTAATTTTATCCTTTCTTGTCTCACCATACATGAACCTCAATTACAGGTAACACAATAAAAAATGGAGCGATATATTTAGAGGAAAGGATAGGGTAGTGCGACTAAAAATGGATTAATGCGGTTTTCATCATTCTTTTTTCTCCTTTTTTAGTTTATTGTTTTTGTGTTTGTTTGTTTTTTTTTGAGTTTCAAAATCATAGGACACATGTAGTAATATGCTACGTCACCAATCATGAGAGGTTCCTCTATTAGGCTTGGAGGCAAGTATTTTCCTTATTAGATGGTCCAGAAGGGCCATCTGTAGAAAAAAGTGACCTACTAAGCTAAGCTATTGTTGGGAACTCAATAGAAGCGCTTTGCTCCGGCCCAAATTAGGACCAAAACTCCAAAATGACAAAATTTTATCAACCTTACTTGGATGAAAGAGCTAATAGTACTAATTATTTATTAATATGCAAATGTGTGTGTATATCCCTCTGCACCCATGGTGTGAGAGAACTTGCCTCTGCACTTCTCAGCATCAATATTGATTATTGACAAGTCATAACCTTCTATGCTTATCCACGAATTCCCATACTTAGGCTTTATTTGATGAGGAATTGAGAATATGTACAACCTCTAGTATTAGGTTCTTCACTTGAAGGACTCATTCAACTTTGTCTTCTCTGGGTGGATATCTGATTAGATGTCTCACCATGGGAGATATGTTTAGGATGGATGATGGAAATTTCACTTTGTCGGCATTTTCCCCGAACTTACACAACACTTTGCAGTTCCCATCTTCTTGCTCTTGAACTTGTGGTATTTTTTCAAGATGGAACACCATGCATGACCCATGACTAACTTGATTCTCTTTGAACCTTTGTAACAGTAATCAACTGATTTATCAGCTTCTGCTGGACTTCTTCTTAAACCTCCCTCAGATTTTATTTATACGCAATAAGTAATAACACCATCACTAACTTGTGGCTGATTTGATTCATCTACAGCTACAAGATCAAAAACACGATTTGGATTTTGGTCATACACCATTTGGAAAGGACTCTTAGTGGCAGACCTATCCATGGTGCTATTGAAAGAAAATTAGGCTTGTGTCAATTCAAATCTCATTGTCTAATGTTTATCTTTGCAAGGCATCACAACAATACTACCTCTATTTGGCCATCCATTTGGGGATGATATGTACTGTCCACTGCAATGTAGCTGCCGATAACTTCCATAAAGTCTTCAAGAATAGCTAAGCAACCTTGTATCTCACTCGGTCATAGTGTCTTGCACATTATCTTATCTGAAGGGGAGATTTACTTGGGTTGCATCCAAAGTCTTCTTAAAAGGAATGAGATGAACCATCTTGAAGAAATATCAGCAACACCTCTAGCCTGTCAGCAACAAACCCAAAACAAAATCCATGCTAAAGAAAGGTGTTAATTAAATGTGTTGAAATGAACTGATATTCTCTTCCTTTTCTTTTATAAGTTTTAGAGCTCATTTTGGGATCTGGTTCAAGGATACTGACATGGTCATATTACTGTAAGTAATAATTTAGATATTGTAAAAATGGACTAGGAGGTAATCCAAGGTTCTTTCTTGCTGTGGGCGTCCTAGGACTGCTGCATATGTGGTTTTAGAAATGGATTTCAGTTCATTGTTGGATCTCTTAGACTAGTTTATGCTATAATCACTTTCGGAATCACAACCCATGTATATGCTAACGAGTGATAACCTTTGTCAGATTCGTTTATGAATTCGTATGCTGACATTATAGCATTTTGTGTAGAGTTGAAGCAGGGTTCTGGTGAAAAGCTTGTGCAGTAGTCATATGGTTTTTCAAAGTCCAATAAATTCTGGAATATTTGTCATTTTCTTGTGATCTTGAGCCATTTTAAGTTTCAACCTATTGTAACTAGGTTGAAAAGATTACAGTACTTTGAAAAGATTAAATTGTGTTTCAATTTTAACAAGGATCTGTGCATACAGTGAGTGAGATTATAGTTTGTGTCTGAGTCAAAAATGGATTTATATCAGGATCATATCAGCTCAAATTTTAGCTTCTTTTCCTTCTTCAGTGTTTGCTTTTGATGTTCTTCAGCCTGGTTTCTCTAGTTTATGCTTTCTTGTGCATGCACTTTCTTTTGTTTCTGTTTTCTCTTATTCTACTTTCTTTCCTATCTGATGGCAGATTCATGCTGATGAGACAAGAAGTAGTCTCCAATTTGCAAGCAGGGCATTACGTGTTACAAACTGTGCTCATGTTAATGAGGTTTTGCTCTAAATTAACTTGCTTTTCCGCTTAATTATGTTTTGTGTCCTCTCTTTCAATTATTTTCAGAAGTCTCTTTTGAAGTGTTTATTAACAACATGCATCTTAAATATTGTCTAAATCTTTTTTGCCTATCATAATTATCTGTTTACTTACTTAACCAAGTTTGGTCTTTATGCCAGATTTTGACAGATGCTGCTTTGTTAAAGCGTCAAAAGAAAGAAATTGAGGAGCTTCGAGCCAAATTGCAGGTTAGCCATATGTTTTAATAGATATAATCACACCGATGGTTTGTCTTAGGATGTTGTTTTTGAAAGATCAACCATTTGATTTTATCTTGTTTGTGTTTAAGGGTCCTCATTCAGAGCATTTAGAAGAGGAGATTCTCATTCTACGGAATACATTATTACAGGTAACAATGTTCAGCTTGTGATTTATTATAGAGAACAATGCCATTTGAATCCTATAGGCTTTAGTAATGACTGTATAGACTGAATTGGAGAGGGAGCGGATAGCTTTGGAGCTGGAAGAGGAAAAGAAAGCTCAAGCTGAACGCGAGAAGAGGTTGCAAGAGCAGGCCAAGAAAATTGAGAACTTGAGCTCAATGGTATTGTGTTCAAATAGGGATGAGAACCGTGATTATTACAAGAAGGTATGAACTACAATTGGTTTCTTTTCATTACATTTCTGTTGTTGTTGTTGTTTATTTATTTCCCTTGATAAATGTGACACTTATAGGTTACTAGTAAATCTTTTTTGATTGAGGATATCTATCCCTTTGTCATTATTATCTTTGTTTAGTCTTTCTGAAAATGCTTAATACTAACTGAAATTGTGTTTTCTGCATTTATAAAATTGACACATACGCTTGGTTTATCTTTTTTCCCAGTTAGATGAGGTTTGAGTTATTTCAATGTGCAAAACGAGAGCTTAGGCTCTTATTATACGAAGAAAAATTTATGGATTTGATGGGATTCAGATTGAGTCTGTTCATACAGGAAGATTATCGATACATATATATTTATATAAATTTGGTTGGGAAATAAGTAAGAATATGGGAGGATTTAAGAAAAGGATAAGAAAAATGAATTCCTCAATGAACTACAGATTAGTTTTTCAGGGCACCTTAAATTAACTTTTGGAAGGAGAACAAGAAGCAGAGGAGAGAAATGAAAAAAAGATATAAGAAACGAAAAAAATAGAGACTGGAAAGGATTAGAGAGATCAAAGCAACATTTTATTTGTTGATGTGCCAGTCCATCATAATGTGGGCATAGACAGGTATAAAATTTTTGGAGTATGCTATAATTTAATAAAGAAATTATGCTTTCAAGTCACGTGTCAATTCCATGTTGAATTCAACATCCTTATTCGGTTAGCTCATCTCTGTAGAACATTATATTAGTTTTAATGATTAAATTCTTTTTCTCTTGCAAAAGAGTACGGGGATCTTCAATTTCAGAAGAAGAGAGGTGAAGAGTGACATATTTTAAATGTGAAGTCCTTAAATGGGTTTTATTGATTGCACAAATCATTTTTGAATCCTGAATCATATAATCTCTTACTATTCACATAGATTCATTAAGTTTCTTTAAAATATTGAACTTCCTAGGAATTTGTATTGAACAGGGTTGAAACGAATTCAAATTATATAATTTGGATCATAAATTGTGGAATTTTAGTAAATATGGACTGACTAACCATGTACAAATATGTGGGTTTGAATAAATTGTTAATGATGAAATTACACTTTTTTCCTGAAAAATATGATGTGATGATGTTCTCTAAATGAACATGAATTTAATCAGTTTGCAAGGCAACAATCATCTGGCTTCTGTTGTGTCTAGTAGCCATGATGATGGGGAAAATGTCCTATGTGCCATAGGTGATGGCAGAAAATAAGTTGATGCAAGTATCGTGGTCAAGGTCACTTTGCCACCATGTGTCGGAACAGATGCTGCATTTTTGCCTTGAAGAGTCAACACCTGAATCTGATTCAAACTTTGAAGACGGTAAACATAGTGAAGAAGTGAATCTAACAAAATTATTTTTGCTTTGGTGACATGTGAGGGTTCAATCAAAGAAAAGGAGGAATGATCAAACCAAATTCGTGAGCAGCTCGATTGTTCTCTGTTTGATGGTCAAAGTAATGCAACGGTATTATCGCGTGGCCTGTGATACAGTATACAGAGAATATCCAACTCTAAAGGCTCTGGCACAGGGATGGCAAACTCTTTTGGGGGGGGGGGGGGGGGGGGGGTGGGTGTTATGGACGTCCCCACCCTGTTTACAAATACTTCATCCCATATCCACCCCGAACCCGGTACAGGTTGGTACTCTCCATCCCATTGCCGCAACTTGATTGAAGCTTGTAACCCGTCCCCACCCCATCTAGCCACCAATCACCGATTCACCATGGTCCGGGGGAGAGAGAGTTCTGATTTCAGAAGACTGCAACAAAGAAAAATTAATCAATGAAACAATCAATTTCACCATGGTTGTTCTGATTCCCGAATGCTACAAGAAAAAAATAAATAATAATCAAGCAAAGATTAATACTGAAGAAATAGAAACCTCTAACAGAAAAGGAGAGGAAGAGAGGAGGGAGAGAAACGGAGAGAGGCGAAGAGAGATGATGCCAATCTTTTGGTTGTCCGAGGTCACTGGCAATCGGCGGTTGAGGGCAGTAGTGGTGGTATGAGTCATTTCAAAATGGTTGTTTCAGAATACAAAATCTGCCGAGAAAAACTATATGAGAGAGAGAAGGATATAGCTTAGGGTTTGTGAGAGAGCGAGAGGAGAAATGAGATGTGCCATTTGATTAGGTTTTGGGTAGGTCTGAAATGCTGCTGACGGAATTTAGGTTAGGGTAGCTTAACATGAGATATATATATGTGTGTGTGTGTGTGTGTTTTGCCCTATGGGACAAAAAGGGTTCCAACTTCCCATACCCGTTCCATTAGGGGTGGGACGTGACGGGAACCCGCCTGGGCGGGACAAATTGCCATCCCTACTCTGGAAACCTCTTATGTGATTTTGTGATACAAGAACTCTGGATTTTGGTAGGCACTTTTATATGTTTACAACTTTGTTGAATGATCATTTCCTTTTGGCGTGGCCTAGAAAGTTACTAACAAGTGTCCATGGATTCAAATTCAGTCAATTAATGTAATTGTGAGACAAATAAGGCAAACTTTGTGGAGCACACGAATTATGGTGATGGATTTAAATAACTCATATGGATAATGTATGACTTGTAACAAGCATCTAATTTTCTAGACTTTAGTCTTGAATTGATGAGATTGGCGTCTTAAATTGTGTCATTGGAGGAGGAAGTGAGAAATGTCAATTTCGGCCCTACAAATGGTTGTCCACCTTAATTGTTAGATAATGAGGATTTTTTTTAAAATTCTGTATGATTAAAGCCTGTTTGATTGGTGGACTTTTACCCAAATCTCTGACATATATGTCAGTGTAAGCGGTGAATAAGACCTAGAGGGGAAAAATTACAGACCTTAAGGGGGAAAATTACGGACCTCAGGTAGTTATGTTGATTATGATTTGAGTTTTAGTTTTTATCTGTTAGTTTTTGAATCCAACCATGACATACATAACCAAGCATCCTTAATAAGTAAAGTAAGAGCAGAAACACCAAATCGTTTTGTGAAAAATCCTTGACTGGGAAAGTTTACGGACCTCACCCAGCCAAGAACAATCCACTTTACAATAAAGAAGTTACAACTAGGTCAATGATTCCCACACCCTAAAAGGTACAGTTATCTCTCGACATAGACTGACACCACACTCTCCACTCAAGTCTCTTGACTGCCCGTCTGCTCCATCAACAGACTTTGCTTTTCACAAATCTGCTTCTCAAAATGGCTGTCCTTCCTTTTGCTCATAAATCTGATCGGTTGAAATGAATCTCCCTGATATGCTGATGAATTTCTCCTTGATGAATACTTAATAACATATGATATCATCTGAGCAATTCCTACAATGAGTAATTGGGAATTTCTCTCTCTCTCCCCTTCTCACACACAAGGATTTTCTCTCTCCAAATGATTAGAGGCTTTAATCATCCTCTAGACTGACTGACTATAAACCCATATTTATAGCCAACATAAGTAGCCCATATATTGTGGTGATTGAGGCTGCAGGTTCCTTGTGTTTTTTGCGAATCTTGCCTGCATAGTCTTTGATGGTTGGTACGGTTCATGAATCATTGATACTTGTGCACATTACAATCAAGCTTTTGAGTAGGAAATTGCCAATGCTTTTATATGACTAACAAGGCCCAGATGGCCCAACACCTATAGATTTGGAAAATTATTTTTTTCTTTCCCTCATAATCAAGGTTATTTGGCATTTTCCAATTTTGGGATACCTCAGTATTTTACTTCGTCTGCGTATAAATTTGCAAGTGTTTGGTAATGAGTTTGATCAAGTCCTTTTTCTTGTTGGGAATTAGTGTTTTTTTATAATTTGGAATTTTTTGTTTTCATGTAGTTCATAAATCCCAATTTTTTTTGTTAGCTTTGCTCCATATGATTAAAAATACTATGCTTCTAGATAAATACATCATGCTAAGACAGTTAGAGAAGGTTAATCAATATGAAATTTTTTAGATTCTTGTATCCTTTTAGTAATAGAAACTTTACTGATCCCTGGTAGTTGAGATTCCTTGGAGACGGCAGAGAGTTATCAAAATTTCTTTTTTCTTTTTCTTGTGCTTCTTCGATTTCAACATGACCCATATACATGCATCATAACCCTTATGAGACAGTAGATATCAACATTTAATTACAGGGTATGCTGCCATCTACTTGGGAATTGTAAGAAAGAAGAAGAAAAGAAACTCTTAAATCAACCTTTTTAACAGCAAAAACTTTAGAAGCACCTTTGATATTGTTAACGTATTATTGTGCTGATGTCAGGAACCTTCATCAGTATAGAATTTTTTTTAGAAAGATGGTTAAAAGGGAAGAATTGCTTTACCTTTGGCTTCATGAGCAACTTGGTAGTGTTTTAAATTGAAAGAGATGGAGAAGAAGGATGCTCAAGAAGATAATGCCCCATAAACAGAGAGTCTTTCACATCTACTTTAAGTATGATGATGAAGTTCAGGTTAGTGCGATGCTATAGCACTTTGAGCATCTGTTGTAGGCCCATCAGTGTGCATGTGTAACCTGTTTTTTAAATTACAAGAATGGATTCAATTGCAAACCCGTCAATGGTAATATAATGTTGGATGAGGAGATAGTGTACCAGGCCAATTTCTTCTCAAGAGTTATCTAAGCTGAAATGCCTACATGCTGCATATTAAGACTATGGACAACATGTTTTGCCTTTTTGTATACTAATGAATTTTTGTGATTTATTTGGTGTGGTTGCTGCAAGTTTTCAGTAGAATCAAACAAAAGCTGTTCCTTTTTCTTTTGTTTTGATGGCATAAATCTTTTTCCTTTTCTGTTCATTGCATTGGCTGTTTACTAATTATGTATCATTGTAGATGACAATTTCTTTTCACGACCGCTTTGTGCTATTACTATTATCTGATTCTAGTGAAATTCTCCCCCCCCCCCCCCCCCCCCCCCCCCTCCATCTCTCTCTCTCTTAATTTGGATTTTTTTTTTTTTCTCTCTACTGCAGGCAAAGAGGCGTGATACCTGGTGCCCTGGCAATCTATCAAGGGAGACTCTTGGGGAGGTAACAAGTTATTTATGACAACTACATCTATGCTTCATGCATCATTTGTCCATCTTACTGATGCATAACCATAAATGAAAGAGTTTGTTGTAGTATTACTGAATAATTTCAGTCTGTTGTAAGGTTGATAGGGTAGATTTCTGTCAACCATGAAATATCTTTTTTGGGCTAGCATTTCTGTTGTGATGAGGTTGGATTGACTAACGAAATTACCATAATTAACTAGCTTGAAGCACCAAGAAGAACAATATAGGATATTTCCAGACTAAGATATACTTTGTACATCTGAAAAAAGTGATTTGAGCATTTCCAGGCAACTGATGAAAGCATCAATTTCTTGTTGGAAGTTGGAAAATTTGAAGTCGGAAAATAAATGCTGCAAAATACATGAGCAAATTTACTCCAGTGAAATATATATATATATTTTTGCACGCTTCACAGCTGTATTTCAGTTGGTGGTGAATTTTGATAGGAAGAGGGTCAGAGAATAACTGGATAATCCTTGTGCTGTTGCTTGAATTTCATGGGCTGCCTGTCGGAAGTTTGGTCACTAGCATCTCTCTATGATTACGCTGCTCAGAGGAAGGTGCCCTTAAAATGGTTGAATTACAAGAGGATTCCTCTTCTGTATATATATATAGAGAGAGAAAATTGTTAGCTTGTTGTCATAGTATCAGTTGAGGCTGGATTCTTTTCATATTGAAGTTTGTGTTTTGTTTGTCATCCGTTTGAAAGCTTACATTTGATTCCAGTGACCCATTAAAAGATAGAGCATCTTTTTCTTTTCTTTCTTCTATTTTTTTTTTTTGGTTCTCTCTCCTTCTCACTTATGACGAAAGTATCATTAGTCATCTGATTCAATTTAAGAATATCACAAGGACAAGGGGAAGGGCAAATATGCACAGAGGTAGTGTAAAAAATAAAAAAAAAAGACAGAAATGGTTTATTATGTAATAGACTATGTCTCTAATTATTGCTGAATGGTGGAAATGTATGTGTTACTGACCTTACTGACTATGTCGGGATGTAATGCTCTTTTGAGTTCACTTAAGCTATATGTTATCGAGTGTACACGGATAAAACAATATTGCTAGAGTTTGAGGATTGATTTTGGAAATTTCCTTAGTTAGACATTGAATTCTATTGTACATTCTAGTTTTGCAAATTTTAAATCCTGATTTTGGAAAAAAAAAAAAAAAAAGATCTTTCTTTATGCTGTAAATGTTGCCGTGTTCTAGCTCTACAAACTGAGATATAGTGCTCTGAAAATATTATAAAGTACATATAGTATTAATGCTTCATGCACTTTCCTATCTTTTCTTAGTATGTAGTAAACTAACGAGTCACGAATATAAATTGATATTGTTCCTTGGCACTTTAGTTGCACTCTACAGTCCAAGCAAAGGCTTCTGCTGTTAAACCTGTGAAAGCTGGGCGTGACATGGGACCACTTCTTCCTTTTGAGGAGCTAGTAAATGAAGTTACCATTAATGCCTCTTGCAAGCATGAGGAAGATTGTGCTAGTAATGCAGTGGAGGACTGTACTCTTCCTGATGCACGAGCTTTGTTGCATGTTACTAGCAGGAGAAAAGTTCCACTCAGGAAGAAAAGCTTACTCGTGGTTTGTACAATGCCTTTTTCTCTTCATTTCTTGTATTAACTTCTGTCACCCAATTAATTGTTTCTCTGGCAGGAGGACGATGAACTGGCAGATGCACAAGCAGAATATGAGAATTTGCTTTTAAAGTTTGAAACTCAGGTTATTATTGTACCTTCCTTGTTTTGGGGAACTATAGAACACAATGGTCTCTATATTTATTATCTTTTCCTGGTTGCAGTGGATCACGAGTGAGGTACAAATTGATTACTTAACAAGAAAACTGTCTGAGGCTGATTTTGGTCTGGATGAGACTTGTAAGGACCATTCCACATATCATCCTAATAAAATTACCACTCATGGGGACACAAACATAAGTTTAAGGGATTCTGAAGCTATTCTTGTGATAAAGCAACTTCAAGAAAAGGTTTCTTTTGCTTCGTGTTTTCTTCTACTTTTCTTTTCTTCTCTCTCACTTGTGATCTGGTTACTACTATTGTATGAATTCCTTTTTCTTTGGTTTTGCAATATTTGTCATTTTCGTTCTATACTCTGTCTTGCAGATTAAGATGTTAGAGGTGGAAAAATTTTCAAGCCAACAAAATTTGGATTGTGTTGTTGAGTTAGCAACAGAGCAGAACATATGTGCTAGGGAAAAGTATGAAGAGGTAATTACAGTTTGAATAGTTCAAGCTCTGGATTTTCTAATATATATATGCTTATGAATCCCTATTAATTTCATGGGTTGCTTTATCAATTATTTCTGGAAACTAATCAAATGAATATGACTAGTCATTAGGGAACTTGAACGCTGTTGCTCAGCGTTACTTGTAAATGAACTTGACTAATCATTAGGGAACTTGAACACTGTTGCTCAGTGTTACTTGTAAATGAATTTGACTAATCATTAGGGAACTTGAACATTGTTGCTCAGCATTATTTGTATTAATCTATCCACATGGAATTAAGTTCCTCAATGAACTCAAGTTTGTTTAGTCTCCGCTGATCTTGTAAATTTATTTTTCAAATTAAGTCATCACCTTGCCTTAGTTAGGCTGGTTATTTGATTATATGTTGGATTTAAAACTTCAGTCTCTGTAAGTGTTCGTGAGTTATCAGAAGCAACATTCTACTAGGGGTGGAGATTTTTTTATTCTGGCAAATCTGTTATATTTTAATCTGTTATTATTAGTTTTCTGATCTGTGTTTCTGAAGATCATAATAGAGGGCAATTTTTTTTTTTCCGACTTCAATTAAGTAAACTTTTTAGGCTCTTTTAATTTCTTTTAGCATCATCAAGTTTTCTGAAACTACTTTTTTTTTTTTTTTTTTTCTGCTAAATATTTCTGAAACTTCTTGCTTATGTTACTTTTATTTGAATGGAAAAGATATATAATTTTCATGTCTCCTTTGGGTAGATTTTTTGCCAATGCACATTTGAACTTCAGTGGCATTCTCGTGATGTAAAGTTTTCATTCTTCTCTTCTTTTTTTGCCTTTCTTTTGGGTTAATTCTCTTTTCTTCTTCTTATGATTTTAATAACAGTTTAGTGATTAAATTTATTCCTTCTGGTTTGATTTTTAATTTTGATGTAAATTTTTTTTCAGAAATTTATCAACTTTGGGTTGGGTTTATATTATAAGGATGTAATTCCTCTGAATACATTGAAAGAGATAGTCCGTCAAATTTTACAATTTTTCTTTTCCACATATCTTTAATTTTTTTCTAGTACATTTTCTTCATATAGTAACCAAATGGCTATATCCAAAACCTCTTTTAATGGATGAAGGTTTAGGATGATACAGATATTTATTTGATGTTTTGAGAATGTAGTTCTGTTAGTAGTTCTCTAAAAACTTTCAGGTTCTCTCTCTCTCCCCCATGCACGCCTGTGAGGAGTTTTATTTTATTTATCTATTTATTTTTATAGAAAAAAAAGAAGGAAAAGAAACACACACATGAATTTGGTTCAATTGTAAAAAACTTGAGCTGAAGAATGTGACATTGCTGGTTTGAGTATGAGAGCAGTCACTTTCTACTAAATTAATTCCAAAGATTGGACCTGTCTCCATTATTGTCCTCTCAGCACCTATGTTGAGTCCACCAACACTCTGTAATGGTGTTGTAGGGCTATGTTTTCTAGACATTTTTTTTTTGATAACCGGGGTGTCCGGGGCAAAGCCCCGACTAATCCACGGGACCCGTGCAAAGCGACCCCCCCACACGGATCGGGTAAAACTCGGACTATGTCCGTGGTTGTGGCCCCAAGAAATTGCTCGCGCCTAAGGGGAATTGAACTTGAGACCTGAAGCTTAATGAGGCTCCAGGGCCCAAGCCTTTTCCACTAGGCCAACCCCTTGGGGTTAATTTTCTAGATATAATTTTTTATTGTTTTAAACAATGAGTTTTTGTATTTTTGTCAGCTCTATGAAGAGCTTTTAAATGCACGGGAGGATGCAAGGGTGGCTTGTGAGCAATTAATTTCTACAGAATCAACCACAGTAAGTAATGTATGCATCTTCTACTTGTCAATATTTGTTATGATATACTTATTAGCTCATATTCTTCTGTCCAAGCCTATGAAACTAATGTTTCGCTAGCTTCTTTTAGGAGGAAACTTTTGACTCGATGAAACTATTAATGGAAGTCCATGAAATTATCTCGGAAGTTCACGCCTCAAGAAATGTTGTCGAGAGTGTCCCTTCAGTTGTTGACGAATTTTTTGAGAGTTTCTCTGCTATATTAAACCTATTCGCTGTGAGAAGTCTCTCAGCATCTTTGATTGCTTATTATATTGTTTTACCATTTAGTTTGCAGATTAACCTTTTTTTCCTTTCCTTTTTCCATATGTTTTCTATCAAGACTTCATCATCTATGTTGTGCAGGATCTTAAGTCTTTGATAAACCAGAACTCTGTGCAACTGAAAGATATTATTAATAACCATGAGACGTTACACAGTTTTATGAGTTCCAAAATTACTGAACTTGAGAATGAGAAGGTGTGATCATGTTGCCACTGGATATTTGAGATAATATTTTCTCTGACCATTTCTGATAGTTTTCTATATATGGATGGATGAAATGTAGCTTTTTTTGTACAATCAATCTGGGGATCTTGACAATCAGATACGAGAATTAAATCTCAATGTTCAAAATTCTGAAAAGGCATTAACAGTAAGCTACTTTTACTTTCACCTCTAATGACCTTATTGTTATACGAGATTGTTTGACTTGTTCAGTTCTCTTGCAGGAACTTTCAGAAGAATATGAAATGGAAAAAGCTGACCTCCTTTCTCAAATTCGAACTCTTGAAAAGGAAGTATCATGTTTATCAAATTGTTCTTTGGCCAGGGAAAAGGAAACTATGAGAAAAGATCTTGAGAAAACAAGAACAAGGTTGAGAGAGACAGAGTTCAAGCTTAAGAATGCCATCCAGGAGAAAACCAAACTTGAGGTTTTATACCATCTTTTGATTTTCTTGTTTGACTTGTTGCATTTATTACCTATATTTGATATATATGCTGATTTGTAGGGTGAAAAGGCATGTGCAAACAGAGAAATAAAACTCTTGCATGGACAGAAGGCTATTCTTGAACGTGATATTAGCAAATGTGACTCACTTACTGGGAGAAGGCGTGATTCCGTTATTGACAGAAGTTCAAATGTATTCGAACCGAAAAGGGCAAAGGGTCTTTCAGTTGCCATCGAGCAAACAATGCAGGTGATGACATGTAGACTTCAAGTAGCTATACGTGCCCCGGGGGGAGGGGGTGTAAATAATTTTCTGGTAAATTCAAATGCAGAGAGTTATGATAGAATGGAAAGAGTACATGACAACAGCTGAAACATATATGGTTCATGTTTTTTGGGGTAGTGTAAAAGGTCGACATCAATTTTATTCTAGGACATCAGCCACATAGCCGGATCTATATTTTTTGGCTACTTTGTTGAAACTGTTAACCATTCTTACTGCACAACGAAGATTAGAATGCAATTTTGTGCTTTTAGTGGCAAGTATTGAGTTCAGGAACTAATCTGGTGATTATTGCTCCATCAATAAGCATATCAACTTGTTTCAGATTAAGTTTCAATAATTTGTTAAATGAAATCCTACGTAATGTTCACCAGTTGTTCCCTTGAAACATGTCCATCCTAAGATATTTTGGCATATTGTTATTTGCTGCTGATGCACATTTTGTTTCTCAATCTGCCTGCTTGTTTGGTTCTGTGACTAATTTTTTTTTTTTTCATGTCATCCTCTACATTTTCTTTGCATATAGATATACAATTTTTGATAGCGTGTCAGATTTCTGTCTGATATTTTGAAGTTGTTATGGGCAAGTGTAGTGTTCACTCTCTAAATTTAATTTTGGCTTTTCTGTTGTTAAGGAAGAATACAAAAAGCTGGAAGTTCTTGCATTTGAAATGGAGACAACTATTGCTTCTCTGGAAGAGGAATTAGCAGCTGCTAATGGGGAAAAGGAACAGGCCACAACTAGAAATGAATGTGTGGTTTCAGAACTCCATGCCCTGTCTGACAAGTTGAGCATGTCAAACTCAGAACTGAGTATGTTGCAGGAGGAAGTTTCCAGCCTAGTAAGCTTTTCTATGTCTAATCTCTTGACATTTCCTGGTTTCCTTTTGTTTCTGATAAATTTCCCTGTTGGACTTTAAATGGCTAGTGTTGCTTCTTGTTTCAATCTTTTTAACCGTTATCCTATTATTTCTCTTATTCCAGAGGCTACATTTGGAAGAATTTAAGTTCTATAATCAAAAACTGGAAAGCTCTTTTAATACGGTGGTAGAACAAAAGGAAGAGATGGCAATGGTAGCTGAGAGTTCAGAGTTATTGCAAATAAAATATTTACTTAGTCTTCTCTTTTTTCAGTATCATATTGATTGTTGTGTCTTTTGTTCTACAGCAACTCACGGATGCCCTTTTAGCAATGGAGGAAGAAAAGGCAATATGGTCTGCTAAGGAGAAAGCTTCCATTGAAGCCATTGAAGAGAAAGCAAAGTCATATAATGCTGAGATCATGCTTTTATCAAAAGAGATGTCACAGGTGACATTAAAAACTCAGCTTTGCAGTGAATGTTGAAGCATACTATTGCATGCTTTTTTTATGGTTTTACTTTCTTTTTTTCCTAGTTGGTACTCACACATACATGCCTCCATTGAGGCTTGAACCCTTGACTTCCCTTTGGAAAGTAAGGGCTTGATACCGTTAGGCCACTGACCCATTGGTTTTATGGTTTTACTTTCTCTATATTTATTTATTTATCTATTATTATTTTTTTTTTTTTGTGCTTACTGCCCTCGACGAGGTGTTACTTTTTTTTATATGATTAGTTATTTCAGTAACAGAAATCATCATTTGAAGGATGAACGGCATTATTTGGAAACATGACACAATGTATTATTTGGATGCTCTTATTAGCCATTTATTCTTGGTAAATGAGCATGGTGAGCCACATTAAAGTAATGATTAAACAAAAAGGCAGCCCAAGGAGGTTGCTGGCTAAAATCAGGAATACTGATTATTTATTCTCGACAAAGAATACAACAAAACAGTCTTGGCATTGCCTGTTTGCAAATGACAAGACACGACGCGGTGTTTCATTTGGGTGTTATCAGTTGCCCATTTATTCAAATGAGCGAAGTGAACCAAAAATAAAAAATAAAAATAAATAAAAAAAGGCAAAGGAAGTGAAGTCGCTGGCTAAAAACATGAACCTTTTTTTTTTTTTTTTTTTTTCAGCAAAGAATAAAAGGAAATAATCTTGGGTTGCATATTTGCAAATGAAAGACAATGCCCGCTTATCGCCATCAGGATACATTAAAAAAATTGTGACAGGTTCCTGTATGTTGGTGTTTAACGGTGTAACTCTCCTTCAGTTTTCTGGAAATCACCAATGTTTGCTGCCAATGCAGGGTGATTATCCCTCTGTGCGTGTTAGGTACCAGAGCCACATCATGTGAAAAAATCTTGCTATTTTTTGGCCAATCTGAACAAGCCACCACAGTGTTGTCTGAGTTGGAGCAACAGTCAACTAAATTATCCTAGAAACCATGGTGTCCACATGTGGTTTCCTGCCATTCTTATTTCTTTTTAAGCTTTAACCCCCATATATATGGGACGTTTGGTTGATTGAAGCACTCTCAAATGGACTAGTTAAGTGAATTTGAGGTTTTTTGTGTGTATCCTTTCTGAAAGAAAAGTTTATTACAAAACACAGTATTTGCTTATGGTCTATTTTGCTACACTTTGCTACATTTTCTTACATTAATAAATGTTCTAGATAGTATTTATTAAAAGTTTATGCTTTACTAAAGATATCCACATTAAAACCTACAAATTTCTATAAGATTATTAAAAAAAAAAAATACCAATAGGCTTGTGGCCTAGCGGTACAAGGCTCCTACTTCCCAAAAGGGAGGTCAGGGGTTCGAACCTCAGTGGAGGCGGTGTGTATGAGTCCCAACTAGGAAAAAAGAAGAAGAAGGTTCTTCAAAAATACATTACACTCTTGTACCTGAAAATAGTAATATATTATATGAAAAGGCTAAAAGCATGTAGGGAGATAATTGATATGATGGCCTGTATATAGAGTACAAATATCTATACTATCACCACAGAAGTCAAAGCATTTGAAAAATCTATCTATACTACTTTTGTGTTCTGAATATCAAAAGCATCCCACTAGTACTAAATATGGATTTGTTTCTGACTTAGTTTGTTTGAGATAAATTCTAATTAGGTTTCTGCTACTTTCTTTGTCGGCTTCATATAGTTTCATTATGAAAGGGATTTCTTGACTAGTAGGCCCATGCATAAGTTTTAATTGGGTGAACATTTTTCTGACAAAAGTTGATCCAAAAGATTTCTAGACGAAATGTTATTTGCAAATGATATCTGAATATTTTGATGATGAATTTGATAAACTGCAAGGTGAAAAATGAATTGGAGTTCTGCAGAGAACAGTGCAAGGTCCTTGAGGAAAGAGTGACATTTTATGAGGAAAATGAGAAATTGGAGAAATGCAGGTTTGTCTAACCAAGTTGGTTTTCCTGTGTGTTGTTCATTGGTATAATTTATTTGGTCTCAATTATTAAATTCCTTTCAGTGTGTTGGAGAATATTATTATAGGAACCTTAAATTACTCCACAGAATATTGCTCTGAGAATATTGTGGGAGTGACCACAAACCTGTATCAGGAAAGAGTGACATTAATCATCTGCTTTTTTCATGCTTTAAAATCCAACACTTATTTAGAGTGTTTGGACCAGTTCAATTGTCAAATCAGCCATGAGGCTTGGTCACATAGGCCTACACCCATACTACCAAATAGGCCAACATCTTGAGCACATACGCTTTTGCATTTTAACTGAGAATTTTTTTTTTTTTAATATCTATTGAATCAGAAACAAATAATTTGGTATCTATTTTATGTGTAGAATGAGAATGATACTGAAGTACAATGATCATTAATGCTATTTTCTCACTAAACCAGTTGGCTTGGCTGCTAGTTGCTTAGTAAAACGATCTTGTCGATTACATTGCCAAGGACGACCAAGTAGGATGTGTCATGCATCCATTGGCACGTAACGCCATACTGATTGTTTGTGAGAAGTCTTACTGAAAAATTACGAAGGCACCTTGGAGAAACAATAACCTTGTTCCTTTATGTAACCAGAGGAGATGGTAAGGATGCAGGTGGCTCTTGGTCTTGAGTTTCACTTTTTCCAGTGTCTCTTGAGCAACCAATTTTTTGCTTCTAAACTATCATTATCACATTATAAAGTTTTCCACCTGCTATGGAACTTGTTTGAAAGATGGTTTCACTTTTTACCATGCTATTCTTCTTTATCTTTGACATGAGGTGCAAGCTTAATTACTGTAGTATATCACCAACCACATCACCTTCATTCTCACTTCCTCAGTATAACACATTCACTTGCCCCCTTTTGCTATACTTTTTATTTTTTACATTTCCCACCTCCTTTTGCTAATTTTCATTTTCAAGCCTTTCAAAGTTTTCGTGAAGTACTCTTGATCTTCAGCAAGGTTGACATGAATATCAGCCCTTCTTTTTGGAAATTCATTAGATTGATGCCAATTTCTGAGCACGCGTATAACACTTAATATCACTTTTATGTTGAATACTGTTCTGCGTAAACTCCTTCCTCCTGTAATGTTTTTTTGCTGTCTAAGATGTTTCTGAGCTGCTGTTTTCCCTTTTACCAACTTTTTGGAGGAACCATGAATGCAGCTGGACCAGACCAGGACCTGAAATCCAAAAATGATAACTATGCTCTAGAACTTAGATGAAAAACGAAAAAACTTTAAGAAGCTATTTTGATTCTAGTACTACAATTTAAAGATTCGAAGAATTTTAAATTCTTTGATGGTTGTCCTTAAAATTTATTAAGGTGATATGCTTATTATATATATATATATATACTAGCTGTTATGCTTTCATGGTCTCTCATGTAAATAGGATGTTATGCAACTTATGATTGGATTGGACTTTCCATCAGTATTCATTTCTCTCTATATAAATATATATAGATTTTGTTTCACAGACATCCTGATTTTGGCATTCCCCCTTCAGAAAAGAAAAATAAGAAAAAAGCCTACTTCTCTCGGATTAACTTGATAGAAATTTTTTCCCATTTTTATTGTGCTTCAGTATGGACAAGTCTTTACGGAATGATCAACTAAGAGATGACCTCAGAATGGCTGACAATCAGAGTGAAAGGTCGCAAGAAGTAAGTTCCTTGGCATTAGTATCCTCTTATTATCATTCATTGGTTACAACACAGCATTTAACTGCAACTGCTTGTTATGCATAGTTAACTAGTTCTTTCTTCAGACTTTGAAGTCAAATCTGGAGATGCCTTCTTTGGAGCATCGCCGTGCTTGTGAGGAAGTGGATAAGCTTCGGATGGAGTTGAGTGTGGTCAGTAAAGAAAGAGAAGATTTCTTAACCCGGGTTAGAGAGTCAGATGCAGGATCAGTTCTGACTGATGACTTCCAGGTTTCACCTCTGTTTTAATATTAAGTGTTCACAGAAAGTTAATTTTTTTCTACAAGAAGATGACAAGGTGGATTTTGAGGACGTACGGAACTGTTGTCTTGTTTGATTGATTGCATGTTTTCCTCTAGCAGAATATTAAAAATCAGCTCCTTATTATGACAATGGAAAGGGATAAGTTAATGACTCAGATTGAAGAGCAGCAGAGCCATGAAATTGCATTGGATTTGTGCAAGGAGAGTTATGATGAAATGGTAGGTTTATTGTTTCTTTGCACATTTGGCGCCTTTTGTTGTCTGAGGTGTAATAATAATGTGATAATTCTTACTCACAGTTATTGAAGGCAAAAACTAAAGTGGAGGAGATGACTGGGAGACTTTCTAAACTGGAAGTGAAAATGCACAATGTAAGTGTCTTATGTTTATAATTTTCTGGTACAGGGTGGTTTTGCATCTCTTGATAATAATAATAGATAAATAAATGAAGTGGGCACCTTTAAAACTTTGCTGATTTATTTCCAGCAAGGTTTAAAGCATTAATATCGACATGTAGTCTCAGTGAAGCCCTACTCATCATATAGGCCCCCAATTCATGGAAGGGCTTGCAGTGGAGCATGCAATGCGTGTGCTACATGCTGAACACAAGGATTGTTATTTTTGTCCCTTTGTCTCAACCATTAAGCTTGTATGTCCTTGAAACTTTTAATGGATTTCATCAACATTTAGTTGACAGCATTCAAAAGTTAAAGTACGAAGTTTACTAAAGGGAAGTTTTAAACCTTTTGATGATTGAGTTCTTTTATAGGCTTGAGCTTGCATTACAGGGTAATTAAGCGGGCTTTGTTGACTTTAATTGCCTTTTTCATATCAACCTTGCTGTCTTTTTGAGCCTCGTTTAAAATGTGACCACAACGAGCCCTGTTCAGACTGGTGCTTGCCTTAATTTTAGGTTAACGTATATGACAGTGCTGTCTTTACAATTAAAAATGAATTTTATATTGAAAACCTCTCGGGTCTAGACCTTATTCTCACATGATTCTCTCAAGGAGAATCCAAATCATGTTTTTCAATTTGTTTGAGGGGTAAATATTACAGATTCTGTTTCTCTTCTTGATTGGTTGACTCATTGTCATACTATATTTTTTAAATTTGGATTAAAAAATTCATATATTTTTGTTCTACCTTCTTTAATATTTTTCTGCATTGCTGGGGGGTGTGGAAAAACTTGAACTTGAATTTTGTTATTTTCAGTGGTTAGCGGATTACATCAACGCCTCAAACTTTGAGGCTACATTTTGTTGAAGGATTTGAAATAAATTGATTTAGGTCCAACCTTTTTAAGGAGTATGGATTAAATTTAGATTTAATAATTTGGATTAAGTTTCATCAGTATGCGTAGTTTTGTTTTAAGAGTTTTATATGTATAGATTTCAAATAAATAAGGTGGAAGGACATCTAGCCTCCCCTTGAACTTCTGATTCCACCTTCAATTGCCAATCTTTTATTTAAACTTCAATTCTTTTTTAAAAAAATCCATTCATTTATCAAATTATACCGTTAGTGTTGGATTTCTACAGTTAAATAGACCGTATGGGCATGACTCAACAAATGAAGGATCACTTAATTAATTATAGAAAAAAAGCATTGCTCAAATGATGATTTTAGACAATCCGGTCAACCATAGGAAGGGAAGCACATTTACATTTGCGAAGGAATTGAGTCAGGATCTGAGCTTTAATTTTATGGTTTTTCTTACCAAGTCCTAGATCTTAGATGTACTCGTGATCAGTATTTCACTTGAACAAGAGTAAAAAATATTTTGACGCAACTCTTCTATGTACTCTGAACAGGATGAGATCAACAACAATAAGGTTAAGGCAAAGCTCAGAATGAGGCTTCAAGGGGCACAGATGAAGTTGGATACTTACCGTCTTAGATACAAAGAGGCAATAGATGAGACAGAATTCATGAACCGGAGATTCGAGGAGGCTTCAGCAAAGCTGAAGGATCAGTTGGCTTCATATGGCACTGAGGTCCTCAACCTCAAGAGACAGATTGCTATAAAGGGCAATGAATGAATCCTACTTTAAAAGCTTCATTCGAACACTTTGGCAATATACAATTATTATTATTATCTATTTTAATTTATTCCAGGCATCTTCTCTATTGTAAAATTACAAGGGATTTATGTTTCTAGGATTGCACAATTTTAAAGAAGCCCAACAAAGCTGAGCCTTGTATATCTTTAGGCGTTTTTGGTTTAGCAATCAACCTTGGAATTTGAGCTTGCACTTGGCTTATGTAACTGTTCCTTTTGAAAAAGTTAAGATATAGATGTACATGATGTAACCTTTCAGCGGCTTTTCCTACTATAAAGAGTTTGATGGTTCTTTTTGTATTTGCGATTTTGGATTCTGAAAAAGTAGACTCTGTTGTGAAAATTGTACGGAAATGCAATTGTAGGTTCATGCTCCTAGTGGTTGAGAGATTTTTATACATAGAGAAAAAAATCTCTCCGAATGAGAATGATGTGTTTTTGCTTTCAAGTAAAGAAAGAGCTTTGCGGGATTGAGCTCGTTCTATATTTGCTTTGCCTACTTGGTGTGGCTGTGGCTGTGGCTGTGGCTGTGACAAATTCAAATTTGCTGTAATTGGTATTGCTAATAGAATTATGCATTTAGATGATGATGTATTGCTACACCCAGCGTGTAATTACTATGTGAGGGGTGCAATTCTCAAACCAATGTTGAACCATTCTCTTCTTGCTTGGGTTGCAGCTTAATTTTGGCAGTACCAGTTTGATTTTTAGTTAAGTTCATATGCATGCATGTAGGCTTGCTTCATATATCATTTGTATTTCAGCTACGATGATGGGACAGTGTTGATGGATAATTTTGATGAATAATTTGCTAGCTTGGACTCGAATGAGGTGTCAAAATTGATGAATAATTTGCTAGCTTGGACTCAAATGAGGTGTCAAAATCTGCCTCTATATTCTGTTAGCCTCCTTGTGATGGTAGAATATCTGATTGCTCACTCGTCTTCAACTCCATCGCCAAATATTTGTTGCCCTTTACAAAATAACTTTTTCCATTAAACCACAAATATCAAGAGGCTCAATAACAAAACAAGCACTTTGCGTTGGGAGAAAAAAAAACATCTAATTCATGCATCCAACTTTGACTATTTGGTTGCACTGATCATAATCATTATTTTATTTATAAAACATACATGGACACAATGTAAATTGGAGAATAGCTACAAGAGTGAAAATTACTATTATAGTAATTTTTATTTTTATTTTTATTTTTTGGGAGGTTAAGCAAGTCATCTTTTAACCTTTTCCACTTCACTTGTATACAGGTTACAAGTCCTTGAATGTACGCTTATAAAGGAACTTGCTATGTTTCTTTTTTTTTCTTTTTAGGGTCGGAATGTCATCAGCCGTCTTTTTCTTTTTTGCTTTTTAGGGTCGGAATGTCATCAGCACCATGTGGCGGTGTCTATTTACTAATGCTCCGATTGAGAGTTTTTATGCGTGCGTGTGTGTGTATACATATATATATACCTAAAGGTTAAAATTGGTATTACATATTTATAGATTAACTTTTCTTTCTCCAGATTTTGAACGGATAAAAAACTTCGAAAAAATTATGGGGTAGAAGGGATGAAGCACCTCCCTTTCTTTCTTTCCTTCCAATCAAACATGGAAAGTTTTTTCTATCTTTCCTCCATCCTTACTTCCAACCAAACAGAGCACAAATCTAGCATTCAATAAATTACCATGATTGGGAGTTGGTATTCCTCACAAAATGGGGACAAACTAATAAATCAAAATATGCTCAACGCGAATAATCAAACAATTCCTCTAGAAACAAGACTGGACTAGAGAGACGACGGACAGTCAAATGGTTTGGGTGTTGAATAGATCAGCTTTATACACCACAGTACCACCCGAACAACTCCATTTCAAACATCAACCACGGCCCATGTGAGGAAAAATAGTCCACAGTTTAACCACCATGAAGTAAGGTTTCAATTTAATATAATGCATAGATAGTTTGTTTATATATATATAAAAAAGATTAACTTAATAGTTTCTGTATATTGATATAGAAAAACATGGATGGAAAAACTCATTCCATAAATCAAAATGCCAAAAGATGCTCTGCCTGGTCTACATGTGCTGCTGGTTAAAACATAAAATAAATAACAAATTCAAGGATTATATAATCATACAATTTATCACGTTGACTAAAAGGAGGGTAAAGGATGAGTTTACACTATCTTCCATTTCTGCTCCATGGCATTGCAGACCCTTGAAATACAGTATGCTGCACTCAGTGGATAATCGGAAACTGCAATATTTGGGAGCCAAGAATAAAAATAGCAATCAATGGGATGAAAGGAAGAAAGACATACAAAGATCCATGATTATATCCAGGGTATGGCAGACATGAAGCAGCAATAAGAAAGATAAAAAAATTAAAAAACTTAATCAGCAATATTTTAGCACTATCATCTACAACAACAATTAGTTATAGATAAGAATGCCTTTGCAAAAACCTATGTTACAGGGAGTAAGCCATAGGTAATGCATGCTTGTCTAGTGTTGGATTTGTCTGTTATCTGCAATTTTATATTATTTTGATTCATGGTGCACATCCCATATCAACATGATGATGTGTCAATGCGAGTTCCATGCTGCAAGTTGTTTACCAAAGAAAAGTTGACAATAAAAAAAAATGTGGAAGAAATGCATTAAAATCAAAAAGTTTAAAAATTCGGTGGACTCAAACTGAATATATAGAATGAAGTTAGTAAAGAGTTGATTTTGATAATATAATGACCAGTCTACAAAACAAAGGATTAGTCAAAGTAACCATTTTTTATATTTATGATCAATAACACAAAAGGATGGCAACTTAAATGGGGACATAATAAGCAGAATTGGAGCATGGTGGACAAAATGGAGACAGATTAACAGTGTTTTATGCTATAAAATAATAATGTACAAATTAAAAGGAAACTTTTATGAAGAATTATTAAGCAAACTAGCTATTTTATATGGTGTAGGGATTTGGACTTTAAAAATAATAATAATAAACCATGTGACAATGAGAATGTTAATGTGACTGATAAGAGTTACTAGAAAATATAAGGTTACTAACCAAAATGCGAAGGAGAAATTAGGAGTGGTGCCCCATTAGTGATAAGAGTAGGATAAAGTAGACTTACAGATGGTATGAACATATACAAAAAAGACTTATAAATGCATTGGTAAGAAGAGGAAGACTAATTTGTATAGAAGGTACAAACATGAGAGGAAATCATTAGAAATGATTTTTAAAAGTTAAATATTCTAGGAGAGATGACATGTAATAGAAAAGAATGACAAAAGACAAGGATGACGGTCATAATGTGTCAACAAGAGTACTCCAACCTCAAGAAATGGGTCCAAGTACTATAGGCAAAAAAAGTACTAAAAAACAACTGTTTTCAATAAATTTTTCTCACTTTTTCCATAATTACATCAACAAAAAATAAAAAATAAAGCTAAAATATCATGCTCCCTTTGTTTCTTTCAATTTAGAAAGCAACCCTATAGTACAAAACAAGTTTACTATCAACCATTATTAACAGTTGTTATCCAGTCCTGCTAAGGCATTGTGCTGGAATGCCTGTTTGGTTCTATTCACTCAAAATAATCTTTAGAAACTTTGAAAATGAGGAACAGTTTTTTAAAGTTTGTCCTCTAAAATTGGACCTTTTAAACTCATTTCATATAGAAATTTTCTTAAAACAGTTAACCGAACAAATTTTAAAACAATTTTCAGTTCCCCCCACCCCCCTCCTGTCTCTCCTCCCTTGCTTGTATTCTCATGCTCCAGGGTCCAAATTGTACTTTTTAGGATAACACCAAAATACCTTCCTATTCCATATTGGTCTTATCCAAAAAAAAAAAAAAAAAATGAATATCTTACACATCCAACTATAAAATACTAAGGTTAGTATTTGTAATTTTGTATAAGATAGTTTAGTTGCCTACTCAAAACTATCAACTAATAGGTTCTATTGACTGTGTAGTGCATGGACACGATCTTGTTTAACTCCTCTGATAACGAGCACAGCCCATATTTCTCATGAGTTGGGAGTTTATGGATTGACTTTTGACATCTTTTATATGGATGGAACAGGTAGAATTCTTTGAGGTAACTGACCTCGAAGAATAAAGCTTTAGCGGTTGAAACTTGATATCGGTCTCTGAGCAGCTAGCCTTGCATCCTCTTTTCCTTCAGACTGCATTGGGGATCCAAGGTTCCATTGAAGATTTCGTTCTTTGTTTGGGAGAAAGTCTCGTATATGTAATTCGATTAAGAGGGAAAATACCTTCTGAAATGGTGCTGCATGTGTGGTAGAGCTGAAAACACATTTAATCATCTTTTATTGAACTGTCCGGTTTGAGGGACTTATGGTAAATCTCTTTTTTCCGTTGCATCCAGTGTTTCCAGATTGTTTAGTGATACATTTGCTAGCTGGTTATAGGGATATAACCATGTGATAGTGCAGCCTATTTGGGGTATGGTTCCTCTTAGCATGTTCTGATGCATTTGGAGGATGAGGAACAAAGCAGCATGCTATCTTGTACACTTTAGCACTCCACATGCACTTTGGTTGCTCCCCCTCAGCTCTTTCATTGGATTCTTATTATAAAAAAAACACAAATAATACCAACCATAAGCCCTAAGAACATTATTTTAAATTCACAGGGTTCCCTGCATGACATTGTTGACGTGCAATAGACACTAGATTACTTGGGACAAAAAATATTAGTGATGGGTGTTTTCAAATACATCCAGCAATTAATTGACAATGTATATGAAATTCAATCAAAAGCAGTCCAAACATAATACACTATATATAGTTAGTAATGGATAGGATTTTGATCTTTAGTAGTCAATACACGAGGAACTAATTCCTTCATTGGTAAAACATCAGAGAGTAGAAATTATATAATACACATTTTTGTGCATGTCTTCTTATTTATCTATGTCAATATTCATGAAAGAAAAGAGAAAAGATAGTTCAGAATTAGCTTACTTGATATAAAGTCGTCTACATATTCCTTATCAATTTTCCCATGGGCCATCGCACCAACCTGTGAATGCATGAAATCATGTAAGATCCAAGCCTCAATCGGATATATCATAAATATAAGAGCACGAATTAGTTTGGGCATACCACAAAAACGAGGTTCACATCATCATTAACAGCAGCTACATAATCCCTCATATCAACCAACTTCTCTGAACTATGTGAGAAGCCTGACGTACAAGGAAACAATTTAATTATCTCGGATACTGATTGATTAAAAAGAGAACACAAAAATGAATGTTCAACTATTTTACAGTCAAGTTATTGGGAGAATATAGAAAAATGATTACTAACCTATTTTCCTAGAGTTGATGGGTAGATATTGGGTTACAGGTTTCTTGATCACGCGTAAAAGCTTTTCACGCTTACCAACAGCAGTTATACTAAGTTTTTGTAGCAGCTGCACTGCAGGATTGTTAAAAGAGTAAATAAAGAGCATAAAAGGGTTCCTGAAAGGCAAAGGGAAGTACTTGAGATTCAGTGCAAGTGTGCAACAAATAATTGCTTTGGGATATCAGTAGAACTTACACATGATTCCAGAAAACCTCTTATATGTCCGTGGAATACGAACATGAGGCTTAACTTCAAAAAGAACATCTTTATCTGTTCTCACATACAAAGCTCGTAGCCTCCCAGATTTATTTACTGGGCTATCTAAAATTGTCAGGATAGCCTGAACACATCAATATTTAGCAAACTTAACACAAAAAATATTTTAAAAAAGATAGTACTAATTGCAAAACTAACTACAACAAATTACAGGACCAGTGTTCCATAGTTTCAACCAACCCAACCTGACAGAGCCATAAACCCGACTACTAATAATCAAATTATGCAATTAATAATACATTTTTTTTCAAAGAGACAACTCAACAAAGCCTAAATCCCAATTACAAGAAAGTAGGTACAGCTATAATAAATTTTTTAACCAATGACGAACATTTTCAAAATGATTCTCAGATAAAACAAAAATTTAGAATTTATCAACCAAGCAAGGAAGGAAGTGTTGACAACAGACACTTATTGCACTCTTGAATCGGAAAATTAGTTTTCGAGACATAAAAGTCAATGTGAAGCATATAAAAAGAGCCAAAGAATCAAAACCAGTTCTCAGCCAAAGGATCTGCTTGGTTTGTCACTCAGAAAACAGTTCTAAAAAACTCGACTGTCTTTTAGAGTTCTCTTAAAACAGGCCTTTTTATAACTAATTTTCACTTTTTTGATTTTCAATTCTCTAAAAATAGAAAACTATTTTTTGAGTGACGAACCAAGCACACCCAAACTTTTCAATTACAGTCTCAAGCTTGTAATTCTAAAATCTACCTACCTGATGAGCAATGTCAGGCCTGTAATCAGCAGGATTCCGGTTATTTCTTCTCAGGAAATTAGCATGATCATCCGAGTTCAAAAGCTGGTAACTCTGTATGAACAGGAGTAGACAATTGCATTAGGGTCACTCACCCAAGAGAGGCACATACTCACTGGGTTTGTAGCCTTGCAATTCTTGACATGACCCATGAGCATGAGTTGGACCCAATATGGATTAGACATTTAAGTTAATCTTAACGGATTCAAGGTCATAAAAAGGTTGAAATGATTAACACCTATATTATACATATCATAGTAGTGTTTTAGACGTCAATACCATAAACATGATCTGATAGGTTTAATATTCATATCATGCAGACAAGAATTCAACCAGCACCTATTTAATCCGTTAAAATAAGGCATTTTAACAATTTTGCCACCCAAAAAAAAAAGATATTTTTTTTTGAGAACATGTGATAAAATCCAGAAAAATCCTAAAAGAATTACTTTATTGTGTAGTAAACAAGCCAATTTATGATTCAGAAAAATGACAAGATTAATAATGATTGTGTTTGGAGAGTACCCAATCCCTGACTAGTGGAGTAAGCAATCCTTGACACATGAAAATGACACGGCTCCATCCTATTGCAATCCCTAAAAAGACATACACATACATACGCACACACATATAGAGAGAGAGTGGGTGTAAGCCAGAAGTCAGTAATTTCAACATACCTTTCCAACTTTTGCAACTTCCAAAGAAGCCTTCTCGAGAATGAAAATAACCCCTGTCTTGGTGTTCTGATCGCATGGGACAATTGGAATACCTGCAAGCTCATGTACGACTTCATCTGCTTTCTCCTCGTCCTGAATGGCACCTGCTGTCTTTGATTTTTCAGTTGTTCCTGCAGTGTCCTTCTCAACTAATTGTTCTATCTCTTCTTTATCATACTTCTCTCTCTTTCGCTTATGACCTTTTTTTCCATAAGGCCGTACCATTCTCGTTTCACTTCTATCTTGAAGTTAGAAGGTTTTGCAAGAAGAAAATTAGATGATTAGCAAGAATGCATCATTTTTACTTTTTACGTTGGGAAGAACAAATGAAACCAATAAATTGTGGTAGGTTCTGTCAAATTCTGTAGAACAAATAAGAGGAGAAACGAAAGATCTAAAATTCTAGCATACCCCTCACAAGAAAGTCAAAGGGAGAATAGGAGTTACAACTATCAGTAGGTTCCCATTAAACAAGTTCTTCTGGAAAAGTAAAATAATGTATTTGCATAGATAGAACCATTGTTGTTAAAGGCATGCACCTAGGCTCTAAGTTCATACAGGCACAACATTTGTGCCTATTGTGTGCCCAGGTGCGCCTTTGACAACATTTGCGCCTTTAATATGGAATATGAATACACTTTAATAGTAATTTAAGTTTTCAATTGTGTGCCTTGTTTCACTCAGGCGCGCACCTCACCTTGCGCCTAGGCTCCAAAGGACCTGTAGCTACTTAGTGCGCCTTGGGCCTTTGATAACACTGCATAGATTTCCATGCTTGCCCAAATTTATGGAGCACGCTGATACTCAAGCTTGTGAACCTCATTGGAAGCACAACGTTGGTGCTGTCATAATAGTAAATAAAGCACCAACGGGCCAATGGCCTACCAGTATCAGCCTCTTACTTTGGAGGTCAGGGGTTCAAGTCTTAGTAGAGACGTGTGTGTGAGTACCAACTATGAAAAAAAAAAAAAAAAAAAGCAAAAGGACAGGAATGAATTGTTTCCAAAAGGCAAAAGTGTAACAAAAATGGGAGAAAATAGGTATTGAACATATAAAGGTACCAATAAACATCTGCTACAATAACAGGCATGTCATAAAATAAGGTGGGGGGTTGGGGTTGGGGTTGGGGTTGGGTGGCAAGCTTGTGAACCTCGTTGGAAGGACAACATTGGTTGCTGTCATAATAGTAAATAAAGCAAAAGGACAGGAATGAATTGTTTCCAAAAAGTAATAGTGTAACAAAAATGGGAGAAAATGGGTATTGAACATATAAAGTTACTAATAAACATATCTGCTACAATAATGGGCATGTCATAAAATAAGTTCATCTCTGTAACAGACTACAGTGTCATCGCCATGACTGACCAAAAGGATTTGAAACCACCCATTCGGGGGGGAGGGGTGGCACGGCAATATGAAACCAGACTAAGAAAGTCAAGTTAATAGATGATGGGTTTTGTTGTATACATTTTATTAGCATTTACATGGAGAAATTGATGTAAAGGTGCATCTGACTTTACAAAAATGCAACAAAACCATACTCGTATTTTTGTTAAGAAAAAGAATTATATTACGAATCTTTTAGATAAACCTCTTAAAAAATTAGAAGGCATAGTATACTGCGATGTGTGATTTGATTGAAATTCTGATGTTACAGATTCGGAATGAGAAACTGTCATCCCATCGAATAAAAATATTCCTTTGTTGCCTTCCGTAGATGTTTTTATTTTCATTAAAATTTTCATTTATAGTCAAGTTTAAAAGAAGCAATTTTATTGGTATAACTTATGGTTTCATTTTATATATATTATAAAGTAACAAAAATTCTGGGAAGAACCAAAATTCCAGATTCAATATGGGACGATTTAGTATTTCTTTATTTATTCCCAATCAAAATAAAATCGAGCAAAACAGAAGAAAACGTAACTTTAGAACCATATGTTTGCTGTGTTGGGCTTAATTCAGTGAATATTTACGCTTTTACTGTCCCTAAATATAAATAAATCTCAAATTCATAAATATAGTTTGTTTACTTTTCCTCCCATTTGTCTGAAGCCACGCACACATACATACACACAAACACATATACTGGCAGAACCTTGCATACAAAGTTTGAGTATGGAAAAACAATTGAAGACTTATTATTGATCTAAATTAATTTCCTAATTACGACTTAGAATTAGTTTATTCAATCGCGAGAATGCTAACATGCGGCTGTCTGAAATCCTCACCTTCTATTTGGTTGCTAAGACAACTGACATAAACAAAAATGAAAAAGAAAAGCAAATTTTAATACCAAGTTCAAAGTTGCTTTGTGAATGGGAAAAGAATGGTGCAAGATTCGAGTCATTAGTTTCTTTTCTTTTCAATCATGTATCAACTTAGCATTAGACGAGGAGAGATAAGAAACAGACCTAAACCATAAAGTGGTAATCCATAGTGATGATATAGACGATGATTATATGGGCAAGGGGTGCACACGATTCGTTAAATTTGTCTGTTATAGGTGTGAAAATATATATATATATATATATATATATATATATTATGTGTAAAAGCAGCAACTATTTTGTACAAAATTATAATTTGCAACTCACAAGGATCAATCACAAGAGAAGGAGAAAAGACCTTCTAACTTTAAATGGGACTCAACCAGCAGAAATTCAAGAAGGATAGAGAAGGTGTGATTGTCGACTCGCCTGAAATAGCTGTAAGAGAGATCGCGAATAGAGCGGCGAAGGAAAGTTGAGTCCTGGTGGTTGATGGTTGACGGACGCCGGCGGCTGAGGGTGAACTGAGAGTTAGAGAGATGAGGGAAGAGTTCTGATGGGTCGGGTTCACCAGTTCCACTGATTTGTTTGCACCTATAACCGACAAATTTGGCTGCTCAATTTTGTGTTTGGGCCTAAGCAAAGCCCTAAATATGGATATAGTACGTTTTTTTTTTTTTTTTTTTTTCCTAAAAAAATACTGTCATGTTTTGAAAAAACGTAAACCATAAAAAATAAATACTCGGCATTAACTTGGCATATGGGTGGGCTAAGGCCCTCAGAAATTTATTTTAGCGGTAGCATTTTAAACAATAATGAGTGCTGAGAGAAAAAAAAAAAAATCAATGAAAGTAAAAGATAAAGTTTGAGAGCATTTATATAATTATGCAAGATTTTTAGTTGAAAATAAGAATTTTAAAATTTTAGTGAGGGCAAAGAATAAAGTTACAGGAATATTTATATAATTACCTAAGATTTAAATATAAAAAAATTTAAAATCCGAAGTGCCCCCCACTGGGCCTCACATGAATCTATTCCTCGTTTATGTGGGTTTCAAATGGGTCAAATGTAAGTCAGAATTTATGGGTCAAGATTGTCAAATATGCTTTGGGTCAACCCAATTAAACGTTTCAGTTCTCTATCTTTTTTAAAAGATTTTTTTGGATAAATTATAATAATCTCCTCTAAAGTTTGGCCTAATTACAAATAAATCTAAAATTTGTCATGCTTTTTGCAAAGACCCCAATGTCATATTTTGTGATGAATTTACTTATATATATTCATTATTATATTATTAAAAATATCCATATATATATACCTTATAAATTATATATATGTTGATATGTGTTTTGTGCATGAAATATAAGGAAGAAGGAGAAGGAGATGATTTGATTTAGTGAAACCACGTCATTTGAATTATTTAATGTGAGGGTAAAATTGTTATTTTTAATAATAATAATTTTTAATTTTTAATTTAAAATTAATAATAAAGTCAAATTTATCATTTCACAACGCGTTAACAGCTAGGTCATGGATATAGGGGTCAAATGATGAATTTGTTAGTTTAGAGACCTATTTAATTATGTTGGAGGTTTTATGCACGATTTTCAAAGTAGAGGAGAGTTTTTATGATTTTAACCCATTTTTGTATATATATATTTATATTAGCAAACCCTAATTCTCAACCGTCACGCGCACTGCCGTCATGTGTGGACCATCAACCACTAGGTGTAATATTCCTAATTTTAAAAGGATAGTTCTGATATTTATTTTATTGTTTCTAATGCATTTTTACTTGTTGATGTGCATATGTGTTAATTTTATTACTTTAATTGTGGTTTATTATTTACTTGTTTTCTTTGTTGGGGTTCTTTGTTGTGAGTTTAATTGAATTTACTTATTTAAATTGTTCTATTTTAGTTAGTGTAATTATAGTAATTATTTGGTTGTTTTAATTAACTTAAGTAGAGGGTTGTTTTAATTGATTTAAGTTTAACTGATGAATTGTTTAAATGTATTTATTTTATTAAATATAATTATTTTCTAAACCTAACGTGACTGTAGGGTTGGTTGCATGTATGGTATACACTTAAGTAGCCGACATTGATATTATAAACTAGTTGGGTTTTACGGGCCGAGTTTCAGTTTAGGGTTTAGGTGGACTTAGATTTAAGGTGGCCTATAAATACATGTAGGATTTCAGTTTAGGGTTTGAGAACCCAATTCACGGCATACAGAAAACAGAGAGACGTGTAGAGGAATCTGGGAGAGAACAAAGAGGGGAAAACAAAAAGGGGTTACCGGAAAAGTTTAGAAGGAAGACGTTGAGATTTTTGGAACCGAATCTCACAGGCAAGTTCTAATACTAACTCTACCACTTTGGCCTGTGTTCTTTGCATCCCTAATTAAATTCCAGGATGAAATAAATTTAATTTAATTTGTTTTAACTTGGTTTGTACGGTTTTTTTTTTTTTTTTGTTTTTAAAACAGTATGTGTTTTCTGTATCTGTAACTTGTTCGTTTTTAAACGGTTTTGCATAACTCTTATTCTAATGATAATTGATTAATGTCTAATGAGTTTAAATAGTTCTGGAAGATGTTTCTGTGCATCGTTAATACAATCCCAGGTGGAAGTAAACCGTTAAATTAATTTTTGGTTGCATGGAAATTGTTCAACATCGTGTATGTTACCGATTGGGTTTTTGGCTTGTTTTAAATCTGTTTGGAAAAATTCTTGTTTCGATTAGTTTTGATTAATGAACAATAAATTTAATTAACTTTGGAACACTCTAGGACTGAGTTTTAATCAATAATAAACTTGGGTTGAGGAATACAGTTGCCGGACATCGCCGAAATTGGAAACGAAGAAGTACAGGGGAAGAGCCTGCTCTAATTAGAGTAGAGCAGGCTCTACCTTAGGTAGGTAGAACCGGCTCTACCTTGTTGTGGAGGCGGCTCCACCTTTTGCAGCGCCGGCTCCTTTGATTTTTGCTTCCAATTTTAAGTTTTTGCGAGACCTAGGCTACGGGGATTGAATTCTTGACATTCTAGGCTGAAAATAGAGTGTTTCTAAAGGTATTCAGAAAGGTCTAAACCTGTGTTAAATTTTCAGAAGGCCTGGTAATTCATAATTGTGATACCCCCGGATTTCTGGATGTGGGTTGGCCAGGCCCACACCCGATTACCCGAGGATATCAAACCAATTAACAATAATCGAACACATAATACAATTAAGAAAATAAGAATAAATAAATTGCTAAAAAGAAACTAGAAAAATAATCCAAAAACCTCAGAATAAAATTTTATTTATAAAGAATTATTCTGATACACCCAACTTCTCCATTTCTACTACAACTCGGGAATCCATCTAGTGGACCCCTAAAATATCTCACTGAACTCAAAAGACTGGAAATGAAACCCAAGTCTAAAACATGAAATAAAATCCTGGTCATCGGTGGAGTGAATGACTGTATCTGCTCAGCACGATCCAGCTCTAAGTCTGGAACTAACGAACACCTGTAAAAATAAGAGTGGGTCAGGCCCACATGCAAATTCTTCTCTAACTACAATCCAAACAGTGACTCGATACGCAGATACACCCTAGATATCTCAACAATAGCTATCTGGTCCATACATATAGATATATCCACACTAAGGGACATTCATTGGTCTACAGTAGGGGTCTCAACCTAAATAGAAAGCAACATGCGAAAACGCACCCAAAGGTAGGCATGAGGACCTAGACCTAACAGGGTACACCTCAACCTACTATAGCCAGCTACGCATCCACTGCATATACGCACCCTAACCAACGAGTCTGAGGCTCAAGCTCATCTCGTGGTACCATAAACATATATATAAAGTCTGTCCAAAACCAGGGTATGTAGTTCAAATATTTATTGAACTGACATACAATAAATATGCTAGTTAGTCTATCAACTTATTTAGTTGATATGACTTAACTATCATCCATTAATCCAGGAAGCCACTCAACTTAGTTGCAGTTGATTTGACTTAACACAATTAGGATTCAATATTTTTAAATCCATTCCTTTAATCCATTAGGTTAGGTTTAGGCGTTTTGAGCTAAACCGTCCTCTAGTATGTCACCGTCTCATACCGGTGCATACAATCCTCCATATCCATGTAATTGACAGAATATATTTATTCAGCAATTTAAATCCAAAACCATGTAAAAATTACAGACTATCAATAACAGTACAGCAATTTAATAACTAAAACCAAAAGCCAGGTAATTGCATAATAGTTTATACAACACTACAGCAATTATAGTTCAAAACCATAATCCAATTACTTGTATGATAATATCTAAGATCCCACAATTAACATCCAAACCATGTAAATTACAACCTATAAATAACAGTATAGCAATTTACAATCCAAAACCATCCCAAATAATTACAGAAGACTATTTATAGTTTCAGCAATTTAAATCCAAGAGTTAAACCATGTATTTGCAGGAAACGGTTTAAAGGTTCAACAACTAGCATCTATAGCATGCGTAGATCACATCTAATATATCAATGACTCTATCATGCATTAAAAATAAGTTTTTAAATCACATTATAGTCCCATAAATTGTTAGATTAATTTGAGCAACTTAATTTTCTCCATCAGGTAACCGCGTGCTAAGTTGTATACTGATATTCTGTTTAATCTGTTAGCACAGAGCCCCAATAAGCTACAAGTCTAATTGTTATTCAAAAGACTCCATCACACATTTAAACTTTAATTTAGAACTATATTATAGCCCCTTAAATTGTCAAATTAAAATTAGACAATAAATTTCCTTTCAGCCGTTAACCGTACACAAAGTGGCTAAATAGCGCACAGTTAATTCCGTTAATACCAAGAGGCTATTTTATGCATTTCAAGACCTTAGTTACATGTTAAAATAATTATTTAAAAACCCATTAAATTTCTAAAATTGTTCAATAACCCAAAATGCCCAAACAGTAGCTAAAAATTACAGTATGCGTCAAATTGAGAAAGAGCCTACTCTTGGAAAAATTAGAGCAGGCTCCATTTCAGCCTAGAGCCGGCTCCATACAACCTTGGAGCCGGCTCTAATCAGGTGGGAGCCGGCTCTTGGTATTCCAGAGCTGGCTCTCTTCCCCCTTGTGAGCCTTCTTTCCGTTCTGCTCCGTTTCAGCTTCTCTGCTCCTTCACCGGCTTATTCCTATCACTCTGTAGGATATTAAAACTGAACTTAGGCGTCTAATTAACACCCAGTAGCATCCCATTAGTTCATTACAATCATTGGAATCAATTACAGGAATTTAAATTTGAACTAAATTTGCTACTGAACTGAAACATGCTTAAGGAACTAAACTGAAATTAATTTGAAACAACAGTTCCACTCCAACCCCTCTGTTCTTCCTCTAATATAAATTTTTAAAGGTTTTAAATCTCATCTAGTATTAAATTAGATCTTCGTTTATAGCAGTCAAACTCAATACCATGTTAAAACAGTGACGACCTTTTTACTCTAAAAACAGAGACGATGCAACCATACATGATACAATTATTACAGATAAATTTCACGGATAACAGATAACCAAACTTAACATATAATAGTCATGCATGGTTAAATTAATGTCCAATTAATCCTTAGAG